GCGTCACGCAGTCAAGACCCAGAAACACTTCGAGAACATCCAGGCGATGGTCACGATATGTGGCATTAGGTCTACCACACTAATTATGTTGTTATACCATGTTATAGCCTTCGATAACCTTTGGTAATGAACGTATGGATATTTTCCCATTGGTTTTATCAAAATTATGTTTTATCATGCTACATCATGTTTCATTTATAATATATAGTTTAGTATTGGTTCAATTTTGTTATCCTCTTTGGTGGTGACTAACAGGGAAAATGTGATGGTAAAAGCGACGGATGCGGATTCACAGTTTCCTTCAAACCAATCTGAGATATCTAAGTATAGCAAAAATCAACATTCATGCCTATATATATATAATTACATACATAATATAATATATATATATATGTTGCTATCATCGTAGTAGCGTTAACATAGCTTTTGGAGTTTCCAGGTCAGAACTGACAAAACCTGGTGATCAGAGCATGGCTGGATTTGACTTCATTAACAATACCATCAAAAGTGGTGATCGGAGCATGGCTGGACTTGATCCCATCGAAGTATACATATCGAAATGAATTATCAGATTGTGATACGATTTTATGTTTTCAATTTGATTTTACCCCAACATCGTGATCATTTGATGTTTTCAATATGATTTTACCTCAACATTGTGATGCATTTGATCAAGCCGGATTAAATAATGATACGATTTTGATGTCAACAAGATATTTAGCATTTCATCATTTGATGAAAGAACCCTGGGCTACTCCTAACGGGGCTACTCATAAAACTTGCTATCCTTTCCAAAAAAAAGGAGACAATTCCAGGAAAAAAACGTAAAAACATCTTAAAAAGTCAAAAAAAATATTCAAAAATCCAAAAAATCAAAAAAAACTGGAAAAAGTGCAAAAAACGTTAAAAAAAGCACGAGAAAAAGAAAGCGGGAGTGAAGCGGGAGCGAAGCGACAGGCAAGAAAACCGTGAAAAAACGTTGAAATCATCGAATCCGCTTCGCTCCCGCTTCGTTCCGGCTCCGTTCCCGCTTCAAGCCCGTGGAGTCTTAACGCTACCATGATCATTTCAATGTCTAGGTGCCAAGGGTTGTTGCCACGGAAAAATCACCAGAAAACACGCGTCGTGCATCAAGGTCAATTTACGCACCAAAAAAATCACCAAGTTGTTGCCACCAAAAAATCACCATGAAACCCTAGGAGTGTTAACGCTACCATGATCATTCCAATATATATATATATATATATGTGTGTGTGTGTTTATGTATATGTATTTATTTAAATACACAAACGCGCGCACACACACATGTACAATCATGTATATATATATATACATATATCATCCAAGCATACCATTTGACTAGACCAATATCAAAGGTTCACCACGTGTTTCCCCTTTGCCCAACGCAAAAAAACAGGCCTTGGTGTCAAAGAGCGAAGCTTTTTCCAGCGAGGTCACCAACAAATTGTTGGAGGTGCCTCGATTTTTCCCCTCATGAAGCAGCCATTTTTGTGGATACTGGTTGGTGGTTTGGAACCAGCAACAAATAGGGATTTAATGGGATTTTATAGGGATTTATATGTAACCATTATAAATGGTATGATGGTATACCGGGATCCCATTGACACACCATGACACACCCAAAAAAAAAAGTCGCTGAATGAATTTGATCAGTGGATCTATCTACTGATTATGAAACTTAAGATGGATCTGTCTAGGTGTCCTACTTAGTAGATTTGTTTGACTATTTTGTCAATGGATTTATCCACGTATTTTGTTACTGGGTTTGTGCAATTGTCATATCAACGCTTCAGTCTACTGATCTATTCAACGGATCGGCCCAATGATCTGAATGAATTGGTCTGAATGATTCGGTCTGAGGATCCTGTGAATGGGCCTGTCTAATTCTATCTATCTATCTAATCTAATCTAAATCTAAATCTAATCTAAATCTAATCTAATCTCATCTCATCTAATCTAATCTAATCTAATTTAATCTAAATCTAATCTAATCTAATATATCAATCTATATATCAATCAATCAAACAATCAATCAATCTATCTATCAATCTATCTATCTATCTATCTATCTATCTATCTATCTATCTATCTATCTATCTATCTCTATCTCTCTATCTATCTCTCTATCTCTCTATCTATCTCTCTATCTATCTCTCTATCTATCTATCGATCTATCTATCTATCTATCTATCGATCGGTCTATCTATCTATCTATCGATCGGTCTATCTATCTATCCATCGATCGGTCTATCTATCTATCTTTCTTTCTATCTATCTATCTATCTATCTATCTATCTATCTATCTATCTATCTTATCTATCTTATCTATCCTATCTATCCTATCTATCCTATCTATCCTATCTATCCTATCTATCCTATCTATCCTATCTATCCTATCTATCCTATCTATCTGTCTATCTGTCTGTCTGTCTATCTATCTTTCGATCGATCTATCTATCTATCTTATCTTATCTTATTTTATCTTATCTTATCTTATCTTATCTATCTATCTATCTAATTTATCTATCCATCTATCTATCTATCTATCTGTCTATCTATCTATCTATCTATCCATCTATCTATCTAATCTAATCTAATCTAATCTAATCTAATCTAATCTAATCTAATCTAATCTATCTATCTATCTATCTATTATCATAATATCCTACCTGCCAGTACATGGCTAATTGAACTCCCAGACATTGCCCCCCGTAGAATATGGCCCACTCCGATTTGTGGCTTTCAGACGGCGCCTCTGATCACCATCTGTTAGGAGCCCAAAGACGAGGAGTCCAGTTCCAGTGAGGCGTGAAATCTGAGGGATGTGTTCCCCAAAATTATGGCTACCTTACTGTGGAAAAAATGGGAGAACATCATGTGTCCCATGATTTTTCAGGCAGTGGATGGAATGGGGTACGATATTTTCAGACACCAGTGTATCAAAGAGTTGTACCTGGGTCAATTGATCATGCGTCACTTGCACCAAACCCCTAGCCTTTCACTGGAATCCACTGGAACTCACCATTTCCCTAATTATCATCGTGGTTCATCATTGCCGTCATCACCCACAGAAGTGTCTCATGAACTAATGTCAACAGTAGCATCATCACATAGGTTTCATCCTGATCATTTGCCTCATAGGATCCTCTTCATTGCGCTTGCCATCACCAAAAAATCATCCTTCATCATCCGTATGCCTTGCGCACGTTCTCATGCTGCGGACATGCTTCTTGAAGCATCAAACTTGAGACCAACATCCTGTGATGACATGGTTCTGTTGGGATGGTGTTGGCACAAAAAACCACCATGACATTTACAGGTCAACATGGAGGGGAAAAAAAAACACCATGGATATCCATGGATGATCTTCCAGAGATCCCCATCGATTTGAACAAATCACGTTGCTCCAGCGGTTGCTCAAATTTACACCTAACTTTGATGCTTCCACATCCCAAAGATATCTGTAAACATATTTAATTTTATATAAACATCAATTGACCTGGGGAAATTATAACGACCTCACTGCGACCTCACTGGAATCATAGTTAATAAGGGAAATCATCCCAAAATGGCCTTATTTCAGGTTAGTGAAATAGTATAATTTACCCAGGCAATTCCTTCTTTGGTTCTAGCATGTTCTAGCCATCTCCATCAGTGTTTGAAATTGCCGAAGGTGAACGATCCGCCCGCAGAGGAACAGCAGAGACTCAGATTTTTGGGAAAAGCCGGGAATTATGGCATGGTTTATATGGGAAATCAATGGAAATCATGGTTAATATGGATTTATTATGGGGAAAAACATGATTTATATAATTTATATTTATTACCCTCTGGTTATTTAACATAGCCATGGGAAATGACCCATTTATAGATGGTTTGCCTTTAAAAAATTGTGATTTTCCATGGCAAACTGTTAGTCATAACCAGATGGTATATGGATTCAACTGTTAGTCTAATAATCTTGACGCAATGGCAATTTGTCCCAAATTTCCGTACTGATTCGATGGCCATATTGGCATTCAACCGGCTTCCATAATTACCACATGGGTCAGTGACTGAAATACCAAAAGCATATTTCATTCCTTCATGGGGATACCAGGATACAAGAATTTAATTGTACAAACCATGTTGGCTAAGGTGTTTTTTCCTCACATCTAAACGCGTCCAAGAGCTTGGTGTTTTGGAATGATGGGGTTATCAGAAGCAACCTGGACGTGGTACGTCCAAGGCTGTAGATTTCACTTTTTGGTACTTATAGTGTTTGGCCTTTTTCCAAACTTCATGTTGAAAATCTACAGGGCATGTCAACGGTTCAGTTGGTAGCCCTCCTGCACACTGGCTGGTTGATTTCTAGAGGGGTCCCCAATTCAACCACCAGTTGTTGTTTTTTCGGCAGGCCACCCCCAGGCTAAACACAGCTGGTAAGTGCAGGTACCAGTTTGTCTTACCCAAGAAAGATGCTGGAAAGACATTCCCCATTTCACTACTTCTTCCGGAGAGGTGGGGCAAGTACACTTTTTTTTTGTTTGGATGATGCATGCAAGTACTACAAGTACAGCATTTGAGAATCTGATTGAGTAAAGACCCGCATGCCTTAATCCAATACCTACAGTTATGGCCATTTATCAGTTATAACTGGTTATAAGTGGGATTATACATTTTATAAATGGGGTTATAAGTACTTATAACTGGTAAAGGGCCATAACTGTATGACCTCAACAAGCACAATGCGCCCCGAAAAAACCCGTTGCTGCGCCCCGTCAAGTCTGTGGCTCAGTCCATGGATGGATCCCTGAAACAAAACATGTCGACTGATCTTCCCCGAAATGACAACGCAGTGCTGCAACTTATATTTCCAATGGCTACGATATGACATGCATATATATATATAGAACTATATATATATAACTATATATATATATGTGTGTGTGTATGTGCGATATGTGTTGAACTGTGGCAAACTCATTATATATTGAAGGCTGCTCAGCATGGCCCATGGTGAAGCCACGCGTCTTGTGCCTTCACGGCCGTGGGCTGAACAGCGATGCTTGGATCAAACGACCGGCCGACCGGACGGGGCGATGAATCTATTTATAGTTGATTTACCTATGAATGGTGATTTTCTATATAGGAACTAATGGGATATATTGAACTATATGAACTATATTAACTATATTAACTATATTAATTATATTAACTATATTAACTATATTATTAACTATTTGGTTGGTGGTTTGGAACATGAATTTTATGTTTCCATATATTGGGAATGTCATCATCCCAACTGACGAACTCATATTTTTCAGAGGGGTAGGTCAACCACCAACCAGAATATGATACTTAAATGGTAACCCACCCAAAAAAACACAGCCGTTTGGGGGTTATTAATCCAGGGTTGAGATAGAAAGGTTTGGAAGTTAGTGGGGCACCTGGAAATATGAAGTACATATCAACGATATACAAGTTAGTGGATTTTTATGGATATATGATATATGATGCAATGATCTAAGATTTGGATAACAACTCATGTTGGATTAAAGTGGGCGATAGGATTTTTGACTATCTAACGCTTGTCTAAGGGTTATCTAAGGGTTATTTGCTGGTTCTATAAGGGTTATCTGACAATGGATAATTTCTTATTTGGAATGGCGTTGATTGGATTACCAGAGTGTATTGCAGTATGCGTCATAGCAACTCCCAAAGAACGGTAGAATTTGGTCATATCATGTCATATCCCAGTCGTCAATCGTGATGAATTACTTTTCCGGTGTTCGGAGTGGTGAGTGAGTTGATTGTTATATAGCCATCGTGATGGATGAAAGTTGATTTCCCATTTGCCGGGTTTCTACCAGTAGCTTCCTTGGGAGTTTATCCCTGCTGGCCACTGAACTGAAAATGCTTGTGGATCCTTAGAAGTGTGCCACTTCACCTTCAGTTTTTTAAGCAGCAAACTTGTGGTCGTTTGAGTCTTAAACTATGAATTTAAAGGTTGGGGACACGATTGCTCAATGATTTTGACCAGTGGCCTGGCTGCCCAAGAATATTTCATGTAGAACGCACAAAAATGTCATCACCACAGAGTGACCGAGTGCCCAAGTTTGTGTCTGGGAATCTGTGGACCAAACTGACCGGAAAATTGACCCACAAAATTGCAATTTTCCAGAAGAAAGCTTAAACCATAATGCAGCCAAGCAGCCCTTGATTTCCAAAGTATTTGGACAAAGGATTGCATAATAGCAACATCCCACAGCCCACTTGGAAGCACAGGCTCCACAGTCCTTCAATCCCTGGGATGCTTGCCCCTCGGCATGCCAAGGCCTACTTCCGTGGTCAGCTTCTAGGGCTGATCCGCCGAAACCCCGAATTGGATTTCTTCTTTCTGGAAGGACACCTACCAGCAGAGGCGACCGAAATGTGTGACTGAAGGGGGAGCCGGTCACGCCGGTCACTTGGTCAACTTCTTAGAGCCACGCCACAAATGATACAAATGCGGATATATATATATATAAATAGTCCACTTAATTCATGGTATTTTACCCAGTGGGGAAACATGTTAAATATATATATATGTAAACATAGTATTTGCATGTATTCGTTTGGCGGTACCCTAGGCTAGGGTTCGCCAAAAAAACAGAAATCGCAGTCACAACAGAATTATGCCCACCACAGCGGACATAATTATAATTAAAGGGCGAACTCCATTCCTTACAGGAAACCGCCATGATTGCTTAGACAGCACTACTGGTGACTTGAACCAATGTCATCAAAAGAAAAGTCCATCATCCTCCCATTGTATTCCATATCCCATGCCATACCCATATAAAATCAATATTAGACCACAAAAAAGAAAAACGTATAAATTCAATTAAATTCATACAAATCCATGATATTCCGTATGATATTCCACAATATGAAATTATTGTGTATGTATATATATATATACCCTCCGGTTATTTAACATAGCCATGGAAAATCACCATTTTTATGGCTATGTTAAATAACCAGAGGGTAATACATATTATAATTCTATCCGTGTTGATCAAATCCCCATGTTTTCCCATGATTTCCCAAAGCACTGGCTCCTCGCAGTCCTCGCAGTCCTCGCAGTCGGGTAGGTGGCGCCTGAAGCTCTGGGCACCTGGCGGGTGGCGTTGAAGCCACAGCAACGACGGGCCTGGCAGTACTTCACCCTCTGCAGCGACGTGGCGCAACGCGGTGGCCATCCCATTAGTATACTAATAATGTGGTTAAAACAATGCCATAAAATAGTAAACCACCGGGAATGGTTTATAGATGTTTATAGTACCTATTTATGGTGATTTGGGGGATGGTTTATTATTGTTTTAACCACATTAATAGTGATTATTAATCTGGGTAAATTATAACGACCTCACTACGACCGAGCCCTGGAATCATGGGTTAGTAAGGGGAATCATCCCCAAATAGCCTTATATCAGGCTATAATTCACTCAGATTAATGGGAACATCATCTATTTATTCATAGATTGTTGTTGCTGATTTTCCCATCACCATTAGTAGTATCCCATCAGTATATCAATACTGTGGATATATTAATGGTTATTTATGAATGGGAAAATCATGCAAATCAATAGTGATTGATTCATTGTCATCAAAAAAACATGAATCATTCATGAACTTGGATATACCCTCCGGTAATTTAACATACTAGTAGCTATTGAAAACAGCCATTTATAGTGGATTTTCCCATTAAGAAATTGTGTTTTTCCATAGCTATGTTAGTTTACCAGAGGGTACTGTACCCTAGGGAAAATGTAGATAAAGATGTGGAAAACTCATGGTGAAACTTTCGGAAAAGAGTCGAAAAGAATGGTTGATGTGAATTTTGATGAATTCCAGTTTTCCACATCTATCGTGTACCCATCTGAGCATATGTGAATATCAAGGAAAACTTGATGGGATATAGTAGAGTAGTTAATATCATTTAATATTTGGATATAGCCGGATTGAATGGGAATATCATGGGGTAGAAACCCACGATGAAATAAATATTTTAATGAATAAATATATTTATTATATATATATATCATTATATATATACACATTATGTTATACATTCCCCATTACTATTGAATGTAATGCTTTTAATGGGAATATGTTATCGGTATATGTGATATATGCACCAGAGGAGGCCCATGGAGGCCCCTATCATTTGACCATCACTTTGGATTCATAGGTGTACGTGACTGACATCCATTGATATAACCCATATAAACTCCTAATGTATGTATATATATATAATGGTTATATATATTATATCAAAATGGGTGATATGCACCTATGAATCCATAATTTTAATTTTTAATATAACCCATTAACTGTAATTAACCCTTATATAATCATTAATATATATATATATGTATTTATAATTAATAAGGACATAACCCATCTTAATCTATGTCCTCATTGTTCCACTTCCTTAGCCTCCCCTGTTGGGTCACCTAAGGAGATGAAGGCCGGGTGGTGGATACTGAAAGGGACAACCCCCTGGTAAACTCACAGTTTGTGAACTGGAAAATCACCATGTTTCATGGGTAAATCACCATTATATAGCTGGGTAAATCAACTATTTTTAAATGGCCATTTTCAATAGCTATGTTAAACTACCAGATGGTACAATACAGTGTTCCAACTTCAGTAATGGAGACCAATCGATCTTCATAAAACAGTGTTTTCAGGAATAGCCATGAAACTCAGCACCTAAGTGTACCAAGAGATCTTGTGATTCTTTTAAACTCGGGGTTCCAGACCAAAAACTTCCAGTTTAAGAACTACCGGAAAACGGACACATTTCAATCAAATATAGATGATTAACAGATATTAATCGTGGATGTGAGATGTCAGATTTTTTTCGATAAACCTTCGCTTTCTCCAAGCAATGCACCATGGATGCACCATGCCATGGCCAGGCGCGGAGCCAGCGAATCGCTGGAAGGCGGGGCATGACGCAGCGGAAGGTTTTCAGCATGTCTGGGAGGCGCGGTTGCGCAACGTGCCTGGGAGATACTGTGGATGGACGAGCCCCATAGCCATCACCAGAGTAACTACCCGACCTGGTAAACATACAAAAAACGGTGGAAAATCACCATGTTTCTAATGGGTAAATCAACTATTTCAGTGGGCCATGTTCAATAGCAAACTGTCACAAATTACCAGTGTATATAGCATGTAACTATTGGGATGCCATGGGTTTTCGATGAATCCCTGGGACTATCATGGGATAGTGGGAGGCGATAATCCGATAAACCAACCAATTGGTGCAGGAGTTCGCAACCTTCAGGCTTCAATTCCATGAATTGATTTTGCAACATCTTCACCAGACACCCATGGGTTTTTACCATGACATATATGGGTTTCGGTCTCTGTTTTTTCCCCAGTCATTTCAATTTTCGGGTGCATGGTGGGGATGATTTTGACATTGTTTTAACTGATTCAAGAAACCAACATGGGAGAGGAGAATAACTAGCTTGATGGCTTGGCTGATTCAGAATCACGGCAACACTTGAAACCAGTTTCATCATGGACAAATGAGATTATCGCTGGCATGATGATTAACATGTTCCAGAGAGGCCCGAGATGATTCCCAAATATGCTTCATGGATGGACAATTTACCTACAAAGCTGCTAGAACTGAAACAACAGTGTTTTCATGAGCAACATTGGGAAACCATATCCTATTATATAATTATATCATATCTGATTGGTGGTTTGGAACATGTTTTATTTTCCCCCATTGCTTGGGATGATGATCCAATCTGACGAACTCCATCATTTTTCAGAGGGGTAGGTCAACCACCAACCAGTATTATTTTTTTCCTAACATGTATATTAACATATACCAGACGTTTGTTTACTGAACATGTATATAATACCTAGAATGTTTACAGTATATATCCTATTAAATATATACTGTTTCGCATGAAATATCCCGTGGTATTTCCCGGATATCTCCCCATTTTCAGTTCAGAATGTGTAGGGACCTCCCTGGCTGATGGGACCCCCATTTCCATGAAAAATATTCCCATACGTTCGGCTGGGTGTTGGAACACGGGAGTAGTATGGGGTGCCATCATTTTTTCGGGCCCCTGTAAATTCCAACAAGGTGGTAAACCCTGGCTGCCATAAACCCTCCCCGAACGGTAGTTGTTTATGGCAGCCATGGTTTACTACATAAAAATCACTAATTATATTGATCACTATGAATCACTTTTGCTAATTACATTAATCACTACTATGATGTGGGGAATGATGAAATCAGGTCTAATTGCCCCATCATATACCATCAAATCACGATTCATCACTACTACATTATGCATTCCTTATCCCCACCAATTGTGGTTGACTTTTCCATTCAAATCCAATTTCACTATCAATCACACATACTAAGTCACTATTAATCAAAATGAATCACATTTAATCATTATTAATCAGCATTAATCATGATTGACCACTATGAATCCCTATTCTCCCCTTTCAATGGTCGTTTCTCTTGGCCAACTCGTTGCCAGCTCGTTGTCTCAGGAGGCGCTGCGCGAAAGCCGCCTGGCCGGCGGCTTCTACGCCAGCGTGGGCTTCAGTCAGGGCGCCAACGTGGCGGCAGCCTTGCTGGCGAAGCAGGCGGCGCGGCGAAGGTATGGGGATGACTAGTGGAGGACTATGGGGGGTTTTTGACCCATCTACCCTCTGGTAAACTAACATAGCAATGGAAAATCACCATTTTTAATGGGAAAATCCACTATAAATGGCAATTTTCAATAGCTATGTTAAATTACCAGAGGGTAACCCATCTATATCATGAATATATCTGATTGGTGGTTTGGAACATTTTGATTTGTTTCCATAATATATGGGATAATCCTTCCCATTGACTAATATTTTTCAGAGGGGTTGAAACCACCAATCATATATATATATATATTATGATTCATAGTGATATCTGATCATTGGAGATTATATACAAATAATTACATAATGAATATCATGGTGCAAAAGCCTAAGGGATCCTGAGGGTTATAAGTCAGTCGTATCATCGAATATAATCCACTCTGTATGTGACCAATTAAGCTAATTCTGTTGCTGACCAGCCAAGTAAGTCCATGGCCCAGGTAGCAAACTCAATCATCTCAATCGCACATCTAAGTAGCCACCCGGAAAAGGATCAAATACACTAAATCTAACTAATCATATTGGGGGATTTCTTAAAATCGGGGATCCCCAAAATGGATGGTTGATACTTCAACATCCCATCTATAAAAATTGATGATTTGGGGCTACCCCCGTAGTTTAGGTCATCTTCCATCCAACCTGTTTCGGTCTTACGGAGTTGAAATCTACGGCTGGAATGCACTCCGTACTACCCGACCTGGGAAACATGCAAAAAACTATGGGAAAATCACACTTTTTTCATGGGAAAATCACCATTTTTACCGGGAAAATCAACCTTTTTTGATGGGTAAATCACCATTTTATAGCTGGGTAAATCAACTATTTCTATGGCTATGTTCAATAGCCATGTAACAAATTACCAGAGGGTAAGTATTTGGAAGTAGCTGTAGTATGGGATGACTATAGATCCAAGTCTTTGTCGGAGTTATGGCTTAAATTGTACTGTATCCAACTATAGCCCATCCAGCGCATTTGAGGTAATGATATGGGTTAAGTTAATGCATTTAGATATTGAGTTATATCAATGGCCATTTCAAGAACCAAAATTGGAGGTACCTACCATATATAAAGCCTATATAAGGCCCCATGTAAGGGAATATCCCCACAAAATATGGCCAAAAATATGGTACTAACGTACCTCCATTTTAGGGTCCTGAAATTCCCATTGGTTATAGCATGCAAAATGTGTTTAAACTGACCTGCTTACTATTTTCCAACTCCTCAAGGTGCTGCTCCTCAGTTCTGAGTTCCGAGTTGTTTTTGAAACCCCCATAAATGGATATATCGTGATATATCACATGCCATAGATATAGAAGCCTGGTCTAGTTATGTTAGTGGCCATGGTTTTTATAATGGCCATAAATTAGTCATGAGACTCCAGTTATAAGGCATCAACTATGCGAAAAAAAACTAACTTATAGCCAACTAGCTCGGCTCCAGCCATGCTATGCGGCTGGTTTTGGATGGCTTCAACCCCCCAAGGCTGCCTCGCATGAGACGTTGGGCTTGCGCTGCTCCGTGAATTTGTGCGGCGGCATCTGGGGCTTTTGGAGCGATGGCTGCTCGATGGTCACAGGCCGGGAGGATTGCCATGGTGATTTAAGGGTGGTTTTAGCATGTTTTGGCATGTCTTGGCTATATATGGATATAATGATATATGGCTATCATATATCTATCTAACATACAAATATGTAATTGTATGTATATGTTAGGTCTAATTACTATAATTATGTGCTCATGTTGGTGAGCTGTTTGTTGAGTTGAACTCCATAAAATGCATTAATCTATGTGCTCATGTTGGTGAGCTGTTTGTTGAGTTGAAGCCCATAAAATGCATAAAAATCTGGATCAACATGTCCCTGGTGAGGAAGGCTGAGAACCATACACCCTCTGGTAATCAAACGTGGCAATGGAACACCCACCATGTATAGATGTTTTTTTTCCCATTCGCAGCTCCATGTAACCAGAGGTTTAACAGTTCGCCATGGAAGCCATGGCCCTAATCGAAATAGATGGTTTACCGTTCTTAATTTCATGGTGGATCTTTCCATGGCAAACTGTTAGTTAGTCATAACCAGAGGGTACCTATTAACATGGTGATTTCCATAGCTACCAGAGGGTATATCCCAATGATATCCTCCAAAGGATCTTCAAATGCCATGGTTTGACACGTGGCGAGGGTGGCGAAAATTGTGGCGTTTTTTGTCGGTTTTTTCAGCTATCACCTCACGGGATTGATCATCATCATTTCCCCAGCCGTGGCGGCTGTGGCCATTTTTGGCGAGACCTCAGTTTCTCAAGCTAAATGGTACCTGCAGTTATGGCCATTTATGAAAGTTGTAACTGGTTATAAGTGGGATTATACATTTTAATATAAATGGGGTTATAATGTTATTCGAATATATTACAATGTGAGGACCCCAAGATAGCGTTCAGTTGGTGCACATAACTCCAATGTCACTATGGTTTATGGTACTTATAACGAACTAGTTACTGGGGCGTATAAACCAACAAACATAACTGGGGGGGGCCACATTGTACCTGAGAAACCCGTATTCTAAGCCCACCACTTCCAAGTGTCAACCGAAGTGTCAACCGAAGCTCTCAGGTGAAAGTGCACCCAGCCTGCCTTTGCGTGGCTCGGCTGGTGCACCGTCATGGAGGGGTGTTGTCAACATTGTCAACACTCAAGGGAATGATAGTTGACTAATAGTTGATTCAAGTAGAAATTGACCAGCACCATGGTATATTGATGGTAAATTGTTACTAATACTCTAGTTAGTATAGTTAGTATAGTTAGTATATCCATTACCCGTAGGATCCTAATATATACTGGGTCGAGGCTACGCCGGTCGGAAGCAGCTATTGAGTGGTTGAACCACAGCTTCAATGAAGGCCGCGAGTGGCTAGCCAGTTGGAGCGACATGGGCTGGCTATATGTATATATCATATTCCATGTGTTCCCATAAAACGGTTATATTATAAACCCATAATATACATATATATATATAGGATTTATATAGGTGTGTGTGTGTGGCATATCATCCCATATTTATATACCATATTATATATTCCCATATCATACCATATATATATCCCCAAATATCGTTTATATGGTAAACCAATTATACCATATTAATATTTATCTAGTCATATATCATGTATTATATACCTATTGTCATCCCCCACAAAAAAAACATATACCATCCTCGGTCTCATCCCTTTTTGATGCGTGTCGCAACGCAACGCAGGGGGCGTTGCCTCGTTGCACATCTTGGGCCTCACGGATCCCTACCTGGCGCAGTCCAAATCCTTAGTGGAAGGCGCCGTAGATTTCCGTGGCTGAATTCTGCGGTTTTATGGGGGGTTATAATGGGGGGTTATATGGTAGATATAAATATATAACTATATATATATATATATACATATGGTTTTATGGGGAGTTATTTTGATTTTTATGGTAGATATAACGAACTAATTAGTATTCATGGGGGGTTATAATGGTTTATAGACCAACTTATAACTCCGGGGCCCATCCTGTAACAAGGGAAAACGTATGAAGATATATATGGGATGAACTCTAACAAGAATATCTATTATTATATTGACATTTTCGGGATGAACTTCATTCCCAAAATTGACGTAATTAACCTCAACTCAATGGGATCAAGATGAATGAAACCCCCAGTTTAGGACCCGCTTATGATCTTAAAATATCTTAAACACCCAAAAACTCCCAATGAAGGTCGTTGTTAAAAGCTCTCATTTTATCTCACCTAGCCCAGATTGGACCCATCTGATAACTCGACAATCTAGTTGATGAATATCTGGGGATACCAGTCGTAAATGGTTCATCATCGTTGCTTTGGCGACCCGCCCGCAACGTCTAAAGTCTTTAAAGTGGCTGGGAATTAACTAATCCTAGGTTGACATCACTTGCCCACTTAGTGAGTGATTCGTAGTCATATAAAACAATGGGTACAACCTAGTTGTACGTTGGTCTACCCTCTTGCGTATAGCCTACTTGTAGTAGTAATTGATCCTAGATTCTGAAAGGGAACAAAATCACTCCCCCATGACCCCGTTGATTATCATCCAGCTATTTTCAGAGGCTATGCCCCTGAGAACTGCGAACGCCGTGTTCTAGAGCACTCTGGGGGTGTTTTGACGCAGGGTCATGGGGAGGGTCATGGGATACGTCAGATATGGGGATGGATGGAAACCCATTACATCAGTATACCACATTTGGGGGGACGGATGATATGCCAGCTGTTTTTCGGTTCACCAAGGTACCAGGTTACCAGGGTACGAGGATTTTGACATACCCATGAATTATGTTGACCTTGTATTGACGTCACCACCACTTATGGTTATACGGAGAATCATCTCAAGCTTGGTATGATTCAGATTCGTGATTCATTTACAGATGATCTTCCGGATGGATTTACCCATTAAAAATGGTTTTGTACTAGATCTTTTCATGTTGGATGTAATGTTACACTATTTGGGATCATTTAGGATCTAGTACGTTTGATGTCCAATGTGTTAATAATGTTTGAATAATGTAAACAATAATTCATACAATAATGTTGTTATGTATCGGTTTGGATGTCCCGTCTTTACATGTTCATGGTGGGATATATGGTTTAAAGATTTCTTAATGTTGTTTTGATACTATGACGATCATCTTCCACGGTAGGCCTTCTTTTTGCTCCGAGGACACACGCCCTTCCCGCTCGAAAGACCGCAGCGGGAAGAGATCATGGACGAAGTCAGCAAGTTTCTGAAGAAATATGCTGAGTAGGGGGTGATGATCAGGGTTTACTCTGCTTTTTGGAGCCATTTCTTCAGAAATATCCCCGCGATAAGCCGCAGCCATTCATTTATAATATATAAGAAATATGGCTTCCCAGCCATTCCCTGAAATTTTGTTTTTCGGGGGTGATAAGGGTACATTTCTCTGGATAACCACTAGAAGTTACACCTTTAGCAACCTAGCTGGAAACCAACCAATAAAGTGGTGATTTCTGGTGTTCGCTTTCAGCAAATGGACATTCTACCAACAATAACTGGTAATAGAGTGGAATTATCGTCAATGAATGTCAATGAGGAAATGTGATACTTGTCAATGAATGTCAATAGTGAACCCCCCCATCATTTCCACAGGTTCAGAATTATTTTGGAGTCTGGGGACACAATAGTGTACCCCCACACTAATCAGGAGCCAACATTTAACGTTTTGTTTAACATGGCAATTTGTCCACAGAAGTCAAACTCCTTTTGGATCATCTTTTGTACGGTGGAACCGGTGAACGGAATGATTTCGCCATCATCTCCCAAGATGGGAAGATCGGCAGGAGTTACTTCTAGAGAGAACGGACAAAGTTGTGTTGCTTTGTTGGTTCGGTTTTGGCCACTTTGATAGATTAGATGACATGCTGTCTGATATCCTTTGACAATCAAACATTGCAATGGAATTCACATGAATTCACCATTTATAGGTGACTGTTTCCATTTACAAAGTTCATTTATTTCTGGGCTTTTCAAGGCAGTCATGTATGATGACCAGAGGGTACATGTCGTTGTTGATGGAAAACTCTCTGAAGTTAGATACATGTTCGGTTGCCCAACAGCAGCAGTCACCACAAGAGTGGGTAGCGCTGGAGTTCCACAGGGCAGTCCAATGTATGTATCACGGTATCCTTGACTTCATTCCCGAATCGCTTTGGAAAATCGAGGGTGGCCTGGCTAGTGGCTGCATCATCAGTGTATGCATAACCTATCCTTCATGTCAAACATTGCACACAAGCCGGTTATCATCCAGTTTGCTAAGCATATTTAGGTAGCTTGTATGAACAAATAGGCATTTTACATCACTTTACCAATAGGTTCAGAAGGTTCAATAGGTTCAATAGATAGATGTATCGATCGACATATTGATAGGTGGATCGAGATATTGATTGCTACAAGGTGCTGTTCACCAAAAAAAGGTCAAACAAGTTTGTCTATTTGTACCCCATGAGCCAGTTAGATTTATATATACATATTATATATATATATATTTATTATTATTATTATTTATTATTATTGTTATTATTATTATCATTATTTTTATCATTATTATTATTATCATTATTTTTATCATTATTATTATTATCATTATTATTATTTTTTATATATATATATATATATATTAGCTGATACACACACATATATATATATAATGTATATTTATAGATAGATAGATAGATAGATAGATATGTGTGTATATATGCCTTGTAGTGAAACTTTTCACCACATAGGAACCAGAAAAGTTCGATTCCCCTCTTCGCCGAGGACAGCCTCCCCCGACCTGGGAGCCGCGCCAGGGCGGAGGACGCAGCCGATGCAGCCGTCAGAGTTGGAGACGGCATCTTCCGAGCGACTTGGTGCTGTGGAAATTACTGGGATTTCTCAGTGGTATAACAACCAACCAGTTGGGTTTATACTGGGAAGCAAATCAGAGTTTCCAATATGATTTCAGTATTAACTGGTATAAATCACTGGATATGATATAACTATAGATATGATATAACTACTACCCTCTGGTTATTTGTTACAGTTCGCCATGGAAGCCATGGCCCATAGAAATAGATGGGTTACCTATTAATTTCATGGTGATTTTCCATGGCAAACTGTTAGTCATAACCAGATGGTAATTTAATTTTGAACCAACCAGTGAAGAGGAAATATCAGAATTGAACGCTTCTAAGCAATGTGCAAACCGGCTTCGAACAACAACTTAACTGGGAATTTGGGAGATATTTTTTGGCATTTGTAAGCTGGTTGGTGGTTTGGAACATTTTTCATGGTTCCATATATATATATATATATTGGGAATAATCACCCCAACTGACTAATATTTTTCAGAGGGGTAGGTATACCACCAACCAGATCAGATAGCTAAGTTGACACGCATCACCAAGCTGTTTAACGGGCAGAAGGGTACCAGGGTTTTGACCGCCATTTGTTGCCTATGATAAGTGAATGAACAGTTGTGGTTTTACAGTTTAAAAAACCGCAACAATGAGGAGGCTATCATCGATTGAGGTTTCCCAATGTTATTCGAATATAATAGAATTAAGGCACAAGAGGATGGGATTTCATCATTTTTGGGAGGGACTGGCGGCCCTTTCCATGACATTCCCATTGCATGCACATGATAGTCCATTGTATTCCATTTATATTTCCATATCATTCCCGTTAAACCCTGTCAAGTCCCTTTATATAAACATGATATTTCCATAATATCATTCCCATCATATCCCCGTATCATTGAGGAATGACAATTATAAACCCTATGCCTATTTTACCATAATATTCCATGGTATTACTAGCATTTATGTTCCCATAATATCTATATTCCATTTAAATCACATTTAAAACATTGTGTATATATATATGTATATATTATCAAACAAGTTATTTGTTTTCCAATAACAGGTTTATTAAACTTATAAAACATTGTATTTATCTAATTCCCATAATGTGTTTAAACTGTTTGAAGCCATAGTAGATTACCCCCAGCCGTGCCACCTTCGAAGGTTGGCTTCCGATAACTTTGACCGGCGCTGCATGTCCAACAAAATCACCACGGAAGTGCCCACGCTGCTGCTACGGCATCCCATCCGCGAGCGCCTTGGACATCGACTGGACGGTGCCCAAGGGTAGCGAAGTTGGTGAACATAAGAAGAACAAAAGGGCTTATGGTAGATTTATCATATGTATATATATATATATATGTGTATGTATCTCTATCTATAAATCTATCTATAGTCACTATAGTCACGTATGGACTTTGTAAAGCAACGGACGATTCACGAAGATTTGAACGGATGGTGCTTGAGGTTATGGGTGTAACCATGGTTATAACCCACCAGAAGTTGGGGAGATGACCCCAACTAATTATCCTTTGGTAAACTAACATAGCTATTGAAAATGGCCCAGTTATAGTGGATTTACCCATTAAAAATTGTGATTTTCCATAGTTACGTTAGTTTACCAGAGGGTAGCTATGGTACTAAGGTGCTATGCTATGTGATGGTATGTGTATCCACTCAAGACTGGAGCTGCCCAACAAAAAACGCGTGCAGGGACCTCACAATGTGAAAAGAATGGCATTCTCGTGCTTTAGATGTAACAAGACATGTAAATTCTCGTGATTTTCCAAGGTTCCGAGAGTTATGTATACATATACAATCATATATACATGTGTTTATATATATATACATATATATATATATATATATATAATATACATATGTATTTATATATATATATATACATACACATATCCTTGTTTATTCTGGAACCCAAAGAAGGCTAGAGCATGTGCCATGTCCAAAAGCATGGGTTTCGTATCTTCCGAGGCCCATGGATTAAACATGTTTAAACAATGCTGTTTTTTGATGTTTTTTGTTTTTTCGTGTTTGTTTGAGGGAATGTAAGATGGAAACTCATAGCTTTAAAGCACTTTATACATCCTTATGCTGGTACCATTTTTATACCATCTTAAAACATACATCCAACACAGTTTGTTGCTCCGATGATCCATGGAGTTGACATTGCTAACCTTATTCCACCTGCCATGATACATCGAGGTTTCAACATGTTGGCTGGGAAGCTCAGATGAGCTTTGGTTTCCTCCGCAATGGGTTTCCTACGCAATGGCTACGGGCAAAGAGGGATTTGACCTGACCACCATGTGGGGATTATCGAGAGCTATAAAATGACTCGAACCGGACTCATAGCGGCTACTTGCAGCTTCACATCCAATTTGGATAAAGAAAAAAATGACCTCACTGCGATGTGACTGGAATCATGTTCTCTTGAAAAGAACATGCCCATCACGTTAAACCCGTGGTGTTACCCTCTGGTCAGCACGGTTTGCTGGACCCCCCTCCCTTTGATGATATCTCTTTTGGGGGATGCCCGGCAGTCGCCATCACACCGGAGGGCTATGGATTCTATTTCCATGAGAATCCCATGATATTCTCATCATATTATGTCTTCATATTGTTGTTCTTATATATCCATCATATTTTTGGGATGATATTCACTAATGATCCCAAGAAAAATCTGGATATATCATATATTTTATTTGAACCATGGTTATATCTTAGAGTTCCCAATATTTTATAAATGGTGATTCTCTATAGTTATGTGGCTGTTTACCAGAGGGTATCTTATATATCCATCTTATATATCCATCTTATATATCCATCATATATACCCATTTATAGATGGTTTACCTGGGTTTACCTATTAAAAATGGTGATCTTCCATGGCCAACTGTTAAATATCCAGATGGTAATTCCCAATGTTCCCATGATATTCACATGATCTTTCCATGAAGGCATGAACCCCTTGCGCCTTGCCAGGTCTCCATTGGTTGGCCACGCTGCACGACAAAGACTTCAACGGCATCCTGGCAGATGAGACGCTTGGAGAAAAGTGCTTCGTAATTGTTAGCCTCTGGAAAACAAACATGGAAAAACTATGGTAACTATGGATAACTATGGTTTATACCTCTATATTTAATGGAACATTCATGGAATATGGAATGGGAATGATTATGGGTTAGCTTTAATGGGAGGAATTAATGGGAAATGTATCATTTGTGGGGTATTTTATGGATTTCATGGAGGTTGTACCTTTTGGTAAGTTGACAACTTGACCTGACCATCACCAATCGTTCAGTGGAAACTAATCTTCCAACCCCGATGAATGGCAGGGTCTATGTTAATTTACTGGAGAGTAATAGTGGTTAATAAGGGTTAATCATGATTAACAATAGTTATAGTCATCCCCAAATAGATGGAAAAGTAAATCCCATCAAAAATTTGATGGTGATTTACTTTTCCATCTATTTGGGGACGGCTACAATACTGCTTAATAATAGTGGTGAGTAGCCTTCTGCAACCGTTTACGTTTGGGAAAATAACATGTTTGGATCATTTTCGGGAAGCCATGGGTCTTAAACATCTATGTTAGCTCACCCTAGGGTAGATTCTATAAAACATATATATATAATACATACATACATTACATACATTACATACATTACATACATTACATACATTACATACATTACATACATTACATACATTACATACATTACATTAATTACATACATTACATTACATACATACATACATACATACATTACATACATACATTACATACATTACATACATTACATTACATACATTACATACATTACATACATTACATACATTACATACATTACATACATTACATACATTACATACATTACATACATACATACATTACATACATTTACATTACATTACATACATTACATACATTACATACATACATACATTACATACATTACATACATACATACATTACATACATACATTTACATACATTACATACATTACATACATACATTACATACATTACATACATTACATACATTACACATTACATACATTACATACATTACATACATTACATACATTACATACATTACATACATTACATACATTACATACATTACATACATTACATACATTACATTACATTACATTACATGACATTACATACATGACATTACATACATTACATACATGACATACATTACATACATTACATACATTACATACATTACATACATTACATACATTACATACATTACATACATTACATACATTACATACATTACATACATACATACATACATTACATACATACATACATACATGTATATGAACTTATTAAATTTATTTATGAAATTATATATTTTGTGTGGTTCTTCTGCCTGATTTTTGAGGGTTACTATGATGTTATATGAGCTTACATGAAGCTCTCTTTGTGCAGTTTCGCAATGTTATTCCAATTGTTGTGGGACCTTTGGCCAGTGTTGGAAACAAACCAAGGAAATCGGAATTCATTTTTGTGCATATGGCCAGGTATTGTTTCGAGGTACGTATGATCACATTCAATAACATTACATGTCAATGATGACGAGAAGATGCAACGCCCGCCCTGGGCTCACCATTTTTTGGGTCGCGGGTGTCTGACCAGACTGTGGGATCTGCAAATTTTCAAGCTTCCCATTCACCAGGGGGGTACCATCCTATATAGCCTTAGGTAAACATACAAATCATCTATCTGTGTAAATTATAACGACCTCACTGCGACCGAACCCTGGAATCATGGTTAGTAAGGGAAATCATGCCCAAATGGCCGAACTATGCAGGTTAGTGAAATATTACAATTTACCCAGATCTATGGTTTATAGTGATTTATAGTGATTTCATGGGATTTTATAGTGATTCAATGGGATATTAATGGGGCTTACCCTCTAGTTATTTGTTACAGTTCGCCATGGAAACCATGGCCCATAGAAATAGATGGTTTACCTATTAATTTCATGGTGATTTTCCATGGCAAACTTTAAAAAACAGATGTTAAACTATAAACATCTATAGGCATCATCCCATTTCTAGGGGTATAACATGTATAACAGATTATAACAGTATACCCCAATAAGATTCCTATAGTCTATTCCTGCCAATCCTGCTAATCCTTCGAGGTCCGAGGTGATTGTGACAGCATCTCACATTTGTAGGGCCCCTGATTGTATGGCTTTCCGGGCTTTCCTTTGGAAGCGTTCCAAGAAACACAGATGTTGTGGTTTCCAGAGCTTCATGTGGATGTGCAACCAGATTCTTTGTTTTCGAATGTCTTCCCACACGTCTTCAAACGATCTGTCGCTTAGCGGCTGAGCACGAACACCCATGTGCTGACGGATGCTGACAGATTTTCTATGATTTTCTCATCAGGATGGGTTTGGGCAAGACCATCATGACCATTGCCCTCCTTGCGCACCTAGCCATTCAGACGCCCGGAATGTTGAGAGAGGTGTGCACTAGGGGCCCTGGGGGTCCTGAAGAGTCCTACTACTGGTCATTATTCATTGTGTATGTTTTTTTTTTTTTTTTGCGGGAGGCATGGTTTCTAGCATTCATAATTCCAAACCGGGAGTGTTGAGGCATTCTTGTTCTCGGGACATGCGATTATTTGCACATACATACATAGAATTAATTAGAATTACATATATATATTATAAATTATATATATATACATATAATATAATATAATATATATATATGTTAGATACATATATATGCACATACATCACTTCCCTGATTCAGTTGAATAATTATCTTTGATTGCGGATCAATTTCCGCGATTCCGTTTGTGTCATCGTGTTCGTGTTCTTCTTTGGTTCCACTTCCAGCTGGCGCGCTGTCCAGTTCTGGGTTTGTTGTCCTTCGGTCAGAAAGTGTCAGCTCTATCTATAAATCTATCTATAGTCACTATAGTCACTATAGTCACTATATGGACTTTGTAAAGCACTATGTGGTTGTATATATATTATATGTGTATCCACTCAAAACTGGTGTAACCGACAGCAAAACTGGCATATTCTGATCGGTCGTGAAACAACCTGCCTCCAAGATAGATACAATGTGAGGCCCCCAAGATAGCGTTCAGTTGGTGCACATAACTCCAATAACTATGGTTTATCGTACTTGTAACTATAGTTACTGGGGCTTATAAACCAACTTATAACTGGGGGGCCCCACATTGTAGAAATCATTAGAAACAAGTATAACCACTATTGATAGGGGCAAAACGACCGTAATGTTGGTAAAACAACAATAAACCACCCCCCAAATCACCATAAATAGGTGGTATAAACTTATAAACAATTCCCAAATGGGCGGTTTATTATTGTTTTGCCCACATTAGTCGTTTTACCCACGACCGCTCCCTGGCGCTGTGAGGAAAGAAGTTTGGGGCCCTCATCTCATCGTGGTTCCAAGCTCTGTGACTTGCTCTGTCCAGTCGGGTAGCCGGATTGTTCTTGCAAAGTCTTGTCCTGATTGCCAAACCCAGTTGACATGTTGCCACCATGTTGCCGCCTGTAATTTGTGTGGTTTCCTGGCAGTTTGTCATCAAGTAGCTCTAGATCGCAGTGATCGAACTGTGGCAAAAGAAGCTGGTGCCACCCTTTACAGTGATATATGCTGATATGCCTGATATGTTTGGGATGGATCTTCATTGCGATTCAAATATCTCTACATCGTGTTGTCAGTGTCGCTCCCCTCAAAGGTGCTACTGAATTGGGTCAAGGAGCTCAAGAAATGGACACCAGGTGCGCGAATTCCACCGGTTGGGAACAACAATCAAACGAGGTATACATCAGCTTAGAGACCTAATTGAGATGGAAGCCCAACCATATCACCACTTTTCAAGCTCATTTTTGGGGGTACCATCGGAGATTTCAGGGCCAGTTGCCAGTTGCGTGTGCGATCTCGCCCCACATGGCAGGATCTGTATATATGGCTATGCTATGCTGAAGTAATTCAGTACCAATGTGTGTGTGTAACAATACTTCTGGTGTCTTCGTTGCCCCGTTGGATCGTAAGGTTGTTTTTCATTAATTATGTAGGTTGCATCATGTCATGGCTGTGGCCCAACATGACACCAAACTCCTGGATACCCCAAAAGAGGCCCACAGCCTTCAAAATTGTTGCCCCAAGGCGTGCTTCAATCCACAAATTTACTGTATCTTACCCCCCCCCAAAAAAAAAAAAAATCCTGGATTTTTTGGTGCCAAAAGTAATCCCCCAGTGCCTGAATACACCAGTGCCCCTAGTGGCCTGGCAGGTTTGAAAGTCTGCGCCTACTTCGGCGATTTGGAGGTGCGCCTCTTTGCATAGCCGCTATGCTGAGTCGATGTTCTTTTGGTGTTCCGTAAGCAAATCATAGCAAATCCAAGATAGTTTCGCCATGAAATGATCATTGTCTCGGATGAAGAGAACATTTACAGGTTCTATGTTTGGTGATGATTGTGGGATTTGAATGGATTTGATGAGTCAAAACCATAGCCTACATATTTTCCCTTACATCCATCCATTCATGTTTGTTTCCGCTCATGTCGAAATGGATGGTTTAACAGTTTAACATGTGCCAAGGAACCATGATTCACTCGCTTGGTTCGATGCAAGCCTTCGAAAACAACTGGTGGATCACTAAAATGTGCGTTTTGTTACTGTTGTTTAAGAAAATATTTTTGCACCAAAACAACTACTTGTAGAGCGGTGGATATGGCCAGAGTTGATCGGAAGCTCCGCAATGCAAAATTTGGCTCATCTTCTCTGTGGGCAGAGTCTAAGGTGATTGGGAAGCAAACTCGCCGGGACAATAGGTAGACAACCTGGGAAAAAACTGTTGCCTTCGAAATCTTGAGCGTAAGGTCTTATACTGATCCCTTCACCCCAATGTTAAACGTCCCCCCCAAGAGAAACCTAGGGGTAGTTTTTATTATTAGGGGTACTTAATTTTCGGGGGAGAAGCTGGCTCCTAATATTAAACTAAAAACAAATAAAAAACATTTTTCTTGATTTCAAAATCGATTAAATTCCCTTTGACAATTACAAAATAATTGATTACAAAAATAAAATTAGATTCTAATTGACATATTGCCTAAAATTGGATTTCGAAGCTTTCCCCTAATATTACGGCAAGACCCTATGGTTTGCCCGCAAGGTTAGAATGGAGTTCAAATATTATCCTCCGACATGCTCAAAAACCTGCGCAGGGCCAGTGTTTTGGTATTTACCAGACGACGAACCCTAAACCCTAAAACCCTAAACCCGAAACCCTAAGAACATAAAACCCTAAAGCCTAAAACCCTGAAAACTCTGAATCCGAAAGCAGAAAACACCGCATATGCACAGTATTTTCTGCGATTTATCTTCTCATGTTCGATGACAGGGAATCCTCAATGTTGCAGTCCGGGCAAACCACGGCGTTTGTGCGTAACTTAAAACCTTAATAAATAAAACTACAATTTTCGATTTCAAAATCGATTAAATTCCTTTTTAAAGTATAAGTAAAATATTGCCAAAAATTGGATTTCGAATCTTCCCCCTAATATCAATTTATATATACAACCTTATTTCTCAAAAAAAAACTTAAATTTTACGATTTTAACCACCGGAGCCTAATCAAAAACACCCCGGGGCTAACTAGGTCGAACCTTCAAATGGACCTTGATGTTTAAATTGTTTCCCTAAAGGGGATCAATTGAAAGTCAAATTGACCAATCTGAAATTTCCCAAGACAAATAATCTGGGTTAGTTTTTAATATTTAGGGGAGGTTTAGTAATAGAAAGGATTAGTTGAGGCTTTTTTTCAGGCCAGGTTGGCACAGCGACCGCTTCATGTTGCATGCTTACCTTGGTGATCAGGAACAAGCTCCTACATTTGTGGAACTCGTTCAAGAAAGCATCGAACATGTTGAATCAACATCAAGGGATGATGTGATCATACCAGTGAAAAGTACTCACTTATCTTGAAACCCATGTTCTTTAATAAGTTTCTCCATCATTGGTTCAACCTTTAGTAGATTGCTTAGTAAGTTGAGTACTTCAAAATTCAAGATGGCATATATTTGAAAGGTAATATTACAACAGATATATTTAGCATGACCATTACTTACCTTTGTTTTGGCAAAAAAACATGTAATAACAGTTAGTAAGTAATAACAATTAACAATGATAATAACAATAGCAGTAAGGTTAGTAATAGTAATTGTTATAGTTATTTTAGCAGTAGTAATAATAATATAGTAACATACACACATATATATATAGCGCCGGACAACTACTTAGAACATCGTTTTGGAAATTTTTCGGTGGGTACGCGCGCTCTACTTAGAACATTTTCGGCGAATAGGGGGACGTATGTTCTAAGTGACTTAGAACATATGAGGATCCACTACTTAGAACATGCCATCATATATACATGTAAATATATGTATATGTATACATACATACAACTTAACACTGCATATTTATATTATATATACAGGTGGTGTGATGTTGCGTTAAGATACATGGAGATGTCTGAGGTATATTGAAATTATATGACCGATTGAGCGGTTGGAATGGTCCAAAGCCCACTTGTGGCTCAAATTGGATCCTGGGGGATCCATTCAACGCAGGAGACTCCGAACCCAAAACTATATAACGGGGAGACGCCGAAACCTCAGCTGGAAACCACAACGGGGAGCCACAACGGGAGAAACACAACGGGAAAATGATGCAAAATGAGAAATGTCACTTTTATACTTTTAATACTTTTTAAAAAGTAGATTTCGATCCATAAATTGTGTCCAAAATCAGTTTTAAAACATTCAGTGGTTCATTTTAAAAGGTATTGGAATATTTTTTTTAAAAAATATTTTTTGATCAAAACATGTTCCAAAAAGTAGTTTCTATTCCAAAAATGCACGTAGATAGCTGGGGAGATTCTTACTTAGAACATGGGGGAACCCCCAAAACCTCTACTTAGAACATCCCGTGAACGTATATGTTCTAAGTAGTGGTCCAGGATCTCTACTTAGAACATGTTTTGGAATTCCAAAACCAATGTTCTAAGTATATGTCCGGCACTATATAGATACATATATATATATAGATACATACATATATATATATATATATATGTGCATTTACATATATATATATTAATTTATATTTATATAAAATATATGTATTTATATATATATATACACTTATTTATTAGTTTTACAATTTCTCAGACTATAAACATCCCCATGTTCATTGATGGTTCCTCCCCGTCAACTTTCCAACGTTCGATCCTGGCGCACGTTCCTTTCGAAGGAGCGTCGTTTGAAACGTCGCGGCTGGGGCGTGGAAGATGCATTCCACGTCTGCGTGGTGTCGTGACGTGGCGGTGAGGGATGTGACTTTAAGCATGCTTTTATTACCTGTTAAACCTGAAATGATGAAGTTCCTGAACTTCATAACAGTTTATATACATCGTTGTAGAGTTATAGATCACACACATATATATATATAATGATGATGATGATGAGGATGAGGATGAGGATGAGGATGATGATGATGATGATGATGATATTACCTGTGTGGTATGATGTAAGTTCAATGTAGCACAGTATAGTTTAACTCTCTAAATTCACATTGACGTGAGTCACCTTATGCTCAAGGTATAGTGTGGCTTTGCAGGATGTGCGGTTCTTGCTCCTGGGCAATGGTGGATATGACCATCGAATGCGGTGTGTTTAGTATTGCGGAGTTGGGATTACCCTCCAGTAAACATACAAAAAGCTATGGAAAGCGGACCATTTATGGATGATTTACCCTACTAAAATGGTGCTTTTCCATAGTTATGTTAAATTACCAGAGGGTATTGACTTCGGTCAATGATGCTGCGCTGCTTTTTTGAGATGGTCGCAGTGTTCTTGAATGACCAATTTTCTTCCAGCAGAAACGGAGGATAGTGAACAAAATTGTGACAGACGGTGATGCCAAGATATGCCAAGATATGCCAAGCGTATCCTGGTCTTTGATCCATCAGCTTGGCACAGTTTGTTGTGTTTTGTATGACTTTATGATGTAGGAATGTAGGCCTCAGTTATGCATCCATCATACCAGGAGTCTAGAGATCTGATGGTCCTGATGCTAGATGAATGTCCATCGGCATTGTTGAGAGTAAGAGTTTGAATACTCTACTGGCTCCACAAAAAAAGAAAATTCAAAAACAGAGCCAGTAGAGCATTTAATTAAACATTTCTCTACTGGATTTCTTTCATTTGGGGTCTCTGAACGACTTGGGGGTATGAGCTACCTCCAGTTGTTTCACATGTTGATATGGACACTCCACCAGTTTACAATTCATGTTTATTTTGGTTCATATCTATATTTTGTTATCATATGCAGTAATGTCATTTTGATATGTCGATCTACTGGAGGTTGGGCGTTTTTCCCGTATGCGTAGCAAGGGTTCCCGTTTCACTCTGGGGGTCTGGGGGTTGGAGTGTGTTCGCTCGACGTTGCGTCCGCGTCCGCAACCGTCCGCAACCGTCCGCAACCGTCCGCAACCGTTCGCAACCGTCCGCGCGAGGACCGTATGGCCGTGCCTATGGGAAGTTCTGCAGAGGTGGTAATTTTTGGAGGTTTCAGACGTGTCGTTGCTTCGTTTCGCGTGGCAGGCGTGGCACTTCGTGACATTCAGACGTGTTCTGGGAACGTGTCGAAAGTCGTTTTGCGTGGCAGGCGCAATACTTTTGCGACGTTTTCAGAAGATGTGTTGCAGTTTTCGTGGCAGGCGCAGCACTTTGGACGTGTCCATCGCCATTTTTCGTGGCAGGCGCAGCACTTTAGACGTGTCATGTTGCGTGTTTTTTGCAAATCGCATTGGCAGGGCTGCGTCAAGTGGCGACAAGGTGCAAATTCCGTGGCAGGCGTGGCATTTTCTGACATGTGCTGAAAATTGACGGAAGCCTCGCACGAAACATCGATTTTGAGGTTGCAAATTTTCACGTTCTAAGGAAAACTCGTAGGAAAACGTCGATTTTGAAGCTACAAAGTGTGAAAGTTGGAGGAAGTCTCGCACGAAATGCTCGTTTTGGTGCTCCCACGTGTCTCGTCTCGAGTCTCTGGTTTCCCTGTGGCCTCGCCGTGTCTATGGGGGAAGCTGGAAAACATGTTCTTGCGGCATGTTTCAAACTATGAAAATTGGAGGAAGTCTCGTACGAAATGCTGATTTTTCTGCATCCACGTGTCTTGTCTCGAGTCTCTGGTTTTCCTGTGGCTTCGCCGTGTCTATGGGGGAAGCCGCAAAACCTCTCCTTTTCGAAGGTTTCCAAGCAGCTTGTCATGTCGTTTTGCGTGGCAGGCGTGGCACTTTGTGACATTCCAACGTGTTTGATAACGTGTCGAAAATGTCAAAATTGGAGGAAGTCTCGTACGAAATGCTGGTTTTTCTGCATCCACGTGTCTTGTCTCGAGTCTCTGGTTTTCCTGTGGCTTCGCCGTGTCTATGGGGGAAGCCGCAAAACCTCTCCTTTTCGAAGGTTTCCAAGCAGCTTGTCATGTCGTTTTGCGTGGCAGGCGTGGCACTTTGTGACATTCCAACGTGTTTGATAACGTGTCGAGAATGTCAAAATTGGAGGAAGTCTCGTACGAAATGCTCGTTTTTCTGCATCCACGTGTCTCGTCTCGAGTCTCTGGTTTTCCTGTGGCTTCGCCGTGTCTATGGGGGAAGCCGCAAAACCTCTCCTTTTCGAAGGTTTCCAAGCAGCTTGTCATGTCGTTTTGCGTGGCAGGCGTGGCACTTTGTGACATTCCAACGTGTTTGATAACGTGTCGAAAATGTCAAAATTGGAGGAAGTCTCGTACGAAATGCTCGTTTTTCTGCATCCACGTGTCTTGTCTCGAGTCTCTGGTTTTCCTGTGGCTCCGCCGTGTCTATGGGGGAAGCCGCAAAACCTCTCCTTTTCGAAGGTTTCCAAGCAGCTTGTCATGTCGTTTTGCGTGGCAGGCGTGGCACTTTGCGACATTCCAACGTGTTTGATAACGTGTCGAAAATGTCAAAATTGGAGGAAGTCTCGTACGAAATGCTCGTTTTTCTGCATCCACGTGTCTCGTCTCGAGTCGTTGGATTTCCTGCGGCGTCGCCGTGTCTATGGGGAAAGCTCCGCACTCCTCACTCCACACTTTACACTCCACACTCCTCACTTTACACTCCACACTCCACACTCTACACTCCACACTCCACACTCTACACTTTACACTCTACACTCCATTTTTTTTACATTTTACACTCCACACTCTACACTCCACAAACTAGACTTTCCACTCCACACTCCACACTCTACACTTTACCCTCCACACTCCACACTCCACACTTTACACTTTACACTTTGCACTCCACACTCCCCACTTTACACTCCACACTCCTCACTTTACACTCCACATTCCACACTCCACACTCCGCACTCTACACTTTACACTTTATTAAACTCCTCACTCCTCCCTCCACACTCTACACTCCACATCCCCCACTCACACTCCACACTCTACACTGTCCACTCCCCACTCCACACTCCACACTCTACACGTTGCACTCCACACTCCACACTTTACACTCCACACTTTACACTCCACACTCCACACTTTACACTCCACACTCAGCGCTCTACACTTTACACTTTAAACTCCTCACTCCTCACTCCACACTCTACACTCTACACTCCACACTCCTCACTTTACACTCCGCACTCCACACGCCACACTCCACACTCTACACTTTACACTCCACACTCCACAGTTTACACCCCACACTCCACACTCTACACTCCACACTCCTCACTTTACACTCCACACTCCACACTCTACACTTTACCCTCCACACTCCGCACTCCACACTCCACACTTTGCACTCCAGACTCTACACTTTACACTCCTCACTTTACACTCCTCACTTTACACTCCACACTCCTCACTTTACACTCCACACTTCCCACTCCACACTCCACACCCCTCACTCCACACTCCACACTCTACACTTTCCACTCCACACTCCACTCTCTACACTTTACACTCCACACTCCGCACTTTACACTTTACACTCCTTACTCCACACTCGACACTCTACACTTTACACTCCACACTCTACACTTTACACTCTACACTTCACACTTTACATTTTACATTCTACATTCTACACTCCACACTCTACACTTTCCACTCCACACTCCGCACTCCGCACTCCACACTCCACACTTTACACTCCACACTCTACACTTTACACTTTACACTCCTCACTCCACACTTTACACTCCACACTCCTCACTTTACACTCCACACTCCACACTTTGCACTTTACACTCCTCACTCCTCACTCCACACTCTACACGCTACACTCCACACTCCACACTCTACACTTTACACTCCACACTCTACACTTTACACGCCGCATTCTACACTTTACACACTCTACAGTCCCCACTCCACGCTTTACACTCCACACTCCACACTTTACACTCCACACTCCACACTTTACACTCCACACTGCAGACTGGTAACAGGGGAAATATGTACAAGACAGCTCAAATAAACTATTGCAGAAAAGTGTTGTGCGTGACTGCATATCCATGTGTTTTGACATCTGTACCATTAACATACGTGTGAGCATTCGGGTTCGTGGGCTTCATCTTGTTTGCCTCTTCTCCTGGTTTCTACACGGGACTCAGGAAAAGAAGGCGCTGGTATTACATGATCCTGGACGAGGCACAGCACATCAAGATCCTCGGCAAAAGTTTCATGGGATTCCATGGGATTAGTTCCCGGTATGTGTGGAGATATGGGTGATTTGTGGTTGATAAATACCTCGGTTGATTGGTTGCGAAATGTTGCGAAGAAAGAAATTGTTCTACAATGGGTTATTGGGGATTATGATGGATTATGAACAACCCCGCATGAATGGGTATGAGATGGGACACTGCGGTGTGTTTAATGGCTCAGGAGATGACCGGTTTTGTTGGCCCGAGTAAAAGAAGGAACCATGAGTCAACTACATCAGATAGTGCGATCTAAGATGATGATTTTTGGTGTTGTATTTTTGTTGGCCTACTCTGGAGTGATGATCATTCTAAAGTAACGATTTAAACATCATGAATCTAGTCCGTTTTGAAGTTGAAACCACCCAACAGGTACACATTGGCAGAAATTTCCATGGTATTTCTCAGGTGACAGCCTGAAACCAGCAGCTTGTCATGGGATGCTCCATGATAGTCCGTAGAAATGGAACCCCATTTAGTTCGATAATTATTGATGAATCCTATATGTTTTTATGTTCATATATGTTCAAAATGAAAGATATCATAAAAGCAGCTTGGATTTTCCAGCCACGTAACATGTTACAAGAGAGTAACATGAAATATCACACAGTTGATTAGTTCCCAAAAATACATTAAAATACCCGATATCCCATTAAACCAGATTAAACCATATTGAACCATATTAAACAACATTAAACCAGATTAAACCATATTAAACCATACTAAACCACAACCATAATGATATTAAACATTAAATTTAAACCATATTAAACCACATTAAACCACATTAAACCACCATTTCGTGCAACCGTCCTTCCCCGGCAGACTGAGGAATTGTCGTTCCCAGAAGTGGCAACAGTTGATGCGTCACCTGGGCGAAGATGGCGCGGCTGAATTTCTTCGCTGACAAATATTGGATCCTATGGATATCCTATGGTAAACGATGGGAAAAAACATATATATATATATATTTATATATAGAGATGGAAAATCATAGGGAAAAATTGAAAATATATGGGAATCACTAGAAAAACAAAAAATATAATGAAACTATCCTAATGTAGGTTACTGATTAGTGTGGGGAGGCCCCCCCCAAACAAATTTGGGGTACAGAATAGTGTAAAAAAACCAAGGTACCGGGTACAGAATAGTGTAAAATAAAAAACAAAGATAGATTTAAATTGATTTCAATTTACTTTCAATTGATTTGAATTTATTTTGAATTGATTTCAATTTACTTTCAATTGATTTCAATTTACTTTCAATTTACTTTCAATTGATTTCACTTTACTTTCAATTTGCTTTCAATTTACTTTGAATTTACTTTCAATTGATTTCATTTTACTGCCAATTTACTTTCAATCGACATCCCATAGAAATCCAATAGTAGTCCCAAAGAAATATCATAGAAATACCATGGAAATCCCATAGGAATCTCACAGAAATACCATAGAAAGATCATAGAAATAACATGGAATAGCATAGGAACCACAAAAGAAATCCCATGAGAATTCCAATAATAATCCCATAGAAATATCATAGAAACATCATGGAAATACCTTGGAAATCCCACAGGAATCCAATAGAAATTCCATAGGAATCCAATAGAAATACCATAGAAATCCCATAGGAATCCAATGGAAATCCCATAAGAATACCATAGAACTCCCATAGCACCCCTTCAGAAATCCCATAGAAATCCTCCAGAAATATCATAGAAACATCATGGAAACCCCAAAGGAATTCCATAGAAATCCAATAGTAATACCATAGAAATACCATAAAAGAAAAAAGCTTTAGCAAAGGAAAAGGTAAAGGGAATGCTTGAAAAAAACATCACACCAGGAAGCATCTGGACACAATAGTGTACCCTCGAAACAAACCACACTATTGTGTATCAGGGTTGCTCATGGACTACCCCCTTGAAAAATTGTTTGAGTGATGTTTTTTAATTGGGTTTTAATAAGGCATCATATATTTTGGGAAACTGGGCATTTCTGAGAATTTCAAATGAAAGAAAGTAAGAAAGTAATTAAGTAATTAAAAGAAAAAACTTTAGCAAAGGAAAAGGTAAAGGAAATGATTGAAATAATCAAAAAATCATGACCTCAGGAAGCAGCAGGACACAATAGTGTACCCTCAAACAAACCACACTATTGTGTATCAGGGTTGCTCATGGACTACCCCCTTGAAAAATTCTTTGAGTGATGTGTTTTAATTGGGTTTTAATAAGGCATCATATATTTTGGGAAACTGTGCATTTCTGAGAATTTCAAATGAAAGAAACTAAGAACGGAATTAAGTAATTAAAAGAAAAAACTTTAGCAAAGGAAAAGGTAAAGGAAATGATTGAAAAAATCAAAAAATCATGACCTCAGGAAGCAGCAGGACACAATAGTGTACCCTCAAACAAACCACACTATTGTGTATCAGGGTTGCTCATGGACTACCCCCTTGAAAAATTGTTTGAGTGATGTGTTTTAATTGGGTTTTAATAAGCCATCATATATTTTGGGGAACTGTGCATTTCTGAGAATTTCAAATGAAAGAAACTAAGAAAGGAATTAAGTAATTAAAAGAAAAAACTTTAGCACAGGAAAAGGTAAAGGAAATGATTGAAAAAATCAAAAAAATCATGACCTCAGGAAGCAGCAGGACACAATAGTGTACCCTCAAACAAACCACACTATTGTGTATCAGGGTTGCTCATGGACTACCCCCTTGAAAAATTGTTTGAGTGATGTTTTTAAATTGGGTTTTAATAAGGCATCATATATTTTGGGAAACTGTGCATTTCTGAGAATTTCAAATGAAAGAAAGTAAGAAAGTAATTAAGTAATTAAAAGAAAAAACTTTAGCAAAGGAAAAGGTAAAGGAAATGATTGAAAAAATCAAAAAATCATGACCTCAGGAAGCAGCAGGACACAATAGTGTACCCTCCAAACAAACCACACTATTGTATACCTGGATGTAATTTTCTGTGGAAGGCATCTGGGGAAAATTTCAATGATTCTGGGGAAAATTTCAATGATGGAAAATCAAAAGTAAAAGGAAAAAACTTTAAATAAATGAAAAAAATGAAAAATGTTTGAACAACAAAAAAAGACCAAGACACATTTGTGTATCCTGACACAATGACACAATTGTGTATCCTGACACAATTTTAAAAAACAATTTACAAAAATATAATTAAAAATAAACATTAAAAACAAACAAAATAAAATAAAAAATAATTAAATTAAAATTATTATAATTAATTAATTAAAAACAAATAAAAAATAATTCAAAATAAAATAAAACATAATTAAATTAAAAATTATTATAATTAAAAATAAAAATTAAAAATATTTTAAAATTTTAAAATAAAATAAAAAACAACTAAAAACTAAAAAACAAAAAAATGGAAAAAAAAAAACTTTCACCAAAATCCTGTGGACACAATAGTGTACCCCTCGATCATTTCCAGAGTTACAGAATAATTTTGAGGTCTGTGGACACAATAGTGTATCCCCACACTAATCAGTATCCAACATTTATCCTATTGGAAAAAATAAGACATATTATCTGGTTGGTGGTTTCTAACATGAATTTTATTGTCCATTTCATATATGGGATGTCATCCTTCCCATTGACGAACTCATATTTCTCAGAGGGGTAGGTATACCACCAACCAGCTCTGGTAATCGATGGGAAATATATATATATATATCGAAATCTTTCTAATCCTATGGGAAATATATGGAAATATTGGATCCATAAAGTATGACCAAAAAAAACGTTAAATTGTGGTAAAATATGGTAAAATATGGTAACAAACATATGTAAAATATTGTAAAATATTCCTGAGAAGAGTGGAAACTAAAGATTCGAATTCGACCAAGGTGCCTCAGAAATTTGGGTTTAGCGGGAAGTTTTAGAGAACACATTAGCCAAACACACTTGACTATGTTTGGGTATCCAGAAATTCGGATGTTTCTATGTTTTCTGCTCACGGTGGGTATTAGTCATCTTAAGGATTGGGGTATCCGGCGCTTAACTAGTGCCTCATATGGGAAGTCACACAATGTGCGTCCGGTTTTAAATTCAGATGTTATCAAGCATGTGACAATGAGCCATTTTGCAAGGGCTGGCTTGACGAGGGTTTGGCAGAAAACAACATAGAAAAACAATGATCCGACATGTATCACATCGCATGTTTGTAGGTGAATCATGTTAAATCAAATGATTCACCAACATGGTGTTGGCAAAATGTTCATGCGATATCATGTGTATGATGAGCCCATGGTGCTTTGAAGACATCATTATCATAGAATTGGATGATGGGAACATTTTAACTGGAAAGCCCTATATTTGATGGTAAAAACCATGGTTTCCGGTTAAGATTTTCCCGTGAAAACCAATCCAATGACATTATCATCATTTTCTGGATGTGGTTTGTGGTGAAACCCTGAACATGTGGAGCAACAAACCCGGCATGCCCATGGCATCCCATGGCTAGGTTTCAACACGGAGCGCCGCCTGTTGCTCACTGGAACGCCCTTGCAGAACAATCTCACTGAGTGCTTGGGCTCTGGACTTTTTTTTTTCGGAAATCCTCAGATTCAGAAGGGGCGAAATGGACATGGATGTAATGATTTTCTGGCTGGTAATCAATATTTCATATGGATGTTTGATGATTTTTGCGTTCCATGTGAAATAATTCTTTGGTGATTTCTGAGGGAGTGGAGGCAGGGGCTGGTTGCTGAGCCGGACAGCTAAGGCTATGGTCCTTGATGCACTTCCTCATGCCAGCATCGCGGCTAATGAGATGCGGCATTTTCTGTGACAGCCATGCTTTCGCCCAAAGTGAGATTGGTGACGTGATTCGGATTGATGTGGTTCGTTGTACCATTAAATTCACGCTTTGGTTCATTGGTCTTGCATGACCTTTACTATAAGGAGAGATATGAAGGACTCAGTCGTACTGCTTTGTGGCTCCCGCCGAGGACATGTTTCAGTCTTACCATGACTTCAAGGACAGGGGCACCAAGAGGGCGATAAAGCCTAGCCTAGCCTAAAAAGATGGTTTGACTTTTTCATGGATCCTAAACCGGCCTTAACCCCCCATCCTTTGCGCTTACCCTGGCATCCCTGGCCGTATCTGAATTTTGACCTCAAAACTCCGGACCTGGATGATCAGAGGGAGAGTTGGATGATTGGCTTCCCACTTGTTTGTATCCAAGAGATTTTGATATTGGCTTCCCACCCATTTTGTGGTTTTCAATGTGCAAAAAGCACCGAAAAACCTGATCCGAGCGCTACAGCATGCTGCAGAGGAGTTCTTCTCTGATCCCTTGCAATTGGCCTTACATGAGAAGAGGGTGGATCAAGAGCAGGACCCAGATGCCTCGTCCTTTTCTCGTTCGATCTCGTTCGGAAATCCGCTGGGGAACACACATTTCATCATTGCGTATCCCTTCTCCGACTTATCCCAAGGCTGTAATTCTTAGGGAAGTGATATAGCAAAATTTCTAAAGACATTTGTTGGCCCAGATCAAACCGAAAATCATCTCAAACCCAAGAACGGTTTTCAATCATCTACAATCAGATCATACACTTGAGATCTTGACGATACTCTGTTATAGGCTATAGTATGTTTTTTTTGTTTTTTCGATCTTAAGTGTGTTTTCTTGAGCTATTTCATACATATTTTCTGTTGGTTTAACGTTGTTTTTTTGATGTCCATCTCATAGAATTGGATGACGGGAAAATTTAACCGGAAAGCCCTATATTTGATGGTAAAAAAGATGATTTACGGTTAAGATTTTCCCGTGAAAACCAATCCAATGACCATCTTAATGATACACAGTTATGGCCCGAAATACCAGTTATAAGTACTTATAACCCCATTTATAAAATGTTTTTTATCCCACTGAAATAACCAGTTATAACTTTCATAAATGGCCATAACTGCACCTTGATTCCACTGCGCCCAGGACTTGGTGGCTCGCTTGCACAAAGTCTTGCGACCGTTTCTGCTCAGGAGGCGATACGAGATGTGGGAAATATGTGGGAAATATGTGGGTATAAATCTTATGATCACCATGATTAAAATCTGAATTTGATTGATTGGTAATTAAATCTTATGATCACCTTTAAAACCCTGCATTTGATTGATTTTGATTGATTATGTTTATTGATGGTCAAAATACGTCAAAATGAAGCAGTATTCAACCTGTTTTTTATGTCCCATGATTAACCATCATGTTGCCCATAGGATGCAACGGTCATACAATTTGGGGCCCCAGCTCAATCATGGGCTAGGTTGGTCTATGAAGCCCATGAACCATAAAGCCCATAGTGAAATTGGAGTTATGTTCACCAACTGAACGCTATCGTTGGGGTCATTTTGTTCCTTTTTTTCTGAAGGCGAAACTTGATTGTGGTACAGTTATGGCCATTTATTAGTTATAGCTGGTTATAAGTGGGATTATACATTTTATAAATGGGGTTATAAGTACTTATAACTGGTAAAGGGCCATAACTGTATGGTTTTCTCATCAGGGGATCATGGAGTTCCACCGAAAAATCGCCTTGTTGAGTCCCCATCGCCTCATTCTTTGAGTGGTCAATAATAAACACTCCCAATAGCGTAATGGAGAGATGGGCAAAAAAAAGGATCCAGCTGGCTGTGATTAGAATCGCGGTGTGTTTCGACGCCAGGCTGAAAAGTGAAGTGGAACGTCAATTGCCAAACAAGCACGAGTATGTGGCCCCTTTGCCGTTCAAAGCCTACTCCTGGTTGAACCCCCCTTGATTTGGGTTTGGGATGATTGTGCATAAAAAGGTCAAGAACTTGGTATATTCGAGTATATTTCATTATATTTCATTCATTGTAGGGATATTACATGATCCTATATATATATATATAATTGATGATAATTGATATAGTAACCATGTCCTTACCTCGAACACAAACATACTCAAAGGATTTTGCCAGTTTCCGGGCCAAAGGAAAACTACCCTGCGGTAAAAACCGCCACATGGCTTTCTGGAAGATGTCCTCAGCTACAAACCTCAATTTAGTGTGGGGATTTTCCCAGCAATCGCCGTGATTTTATGGCACTCACAATTTTATTCTAAGTTAATCATCATAAATCATCATAATTCATCATAAATCATCGTAAATCATAAATCATACACATTCATAAATCATCATCATGGCAATCATCTATAAATGGTCCATTTTCCATAGCTATATAGGCTTTATATGTTAAATAACCAGTGAGTAACTTTTTTTTCCTCTCGGGCTTCCCGAAACCCTCTTTACGGAGCCGACGGAGCCCAGGTGCGATGTCCCCTGTCGCGACGGCAGCAGGTCCTCTATGAGGAGTTCATGCAGAGGCCGTGGGAAGTGGTGGGACATCGTTGATGAGCCTCCAGCAGCCAGCGCGGCAAGGTTTACGTTGGGTGGTGCCCCAGTGAGGCAAATCGCTAAGTTGATGAACACAACTCCAATAACTTGGGTGTATGGATGTGTATGGTAGATATATACCTATACTTCATGGGGGTTATAAACTAACTTATGACTGGGGGGGCACCACCTTGTAAGAGTTTGGTAAAGATTCGATGGCCCATTTATGGATGATGTTCCGAAGAATCGTTAGATGTTAAATAGCTGTTGGAGTGCCAGAGGTCTTGCTGCGGAAACTCTGTAACAGTTCGTATCCAACCTCTCTAGCGCGGCAGGGTGACTTGAAAAGAGAGAGAGAGGGGTCAATGTTCATAATGATGGCAATAGTCATGATTAATTTTGGTAAATATCTAGTTGGTGGTTTGGAACACGGCTTCTATTTTTTCATATATTGGGAATAATCATCCCAACTGACTGTCATATTTTTCAGAGGGGTAGGTCAACCACCAACCAGATATGATAAATTATATATGGCAATGATACGTATTAAAACGGATGATGGCATTATTAATAAATGCACGATGCGGATATTGGAGATGATTAGATGGATGATTGCCGCAAATGCTTTGATCAAAGATGGTACCATTCGAAGTTTTGTTTAAATTTACCCTCTAGTAAACTAACATAACTATGGAAAATCATTTTTTTAATGGGAAAATCCACTATAAATGGCCATTTTCAATAGCTATGTTAGTTTACCAGAGGGTAACTACTCAGCCCATCTCAGCCCTACAATCCAAAAGCCTATTGCGACAGAATGATTGGGGGGTCCGATGCCAACTTCCCATGGCCTCAAATGCCATCCTCAGGATATGCTGGATGCAACTTGCTTTATTACCCTATTTAACTGTATCCACTTTCTATAGTGTTGTTGTCCTACACCCAATGTAGATGATAATTGTTTTATCCAATTTGATCCAGTTCTTATAGCATTGGTGTACATTTACCAATTGTTTATTGGTGTTTTGGGTACTGCCGCGTTTCATCTTGGGTAAACCGTGCTGCGTTTCATCTTGCCACGTTTCGCCAAGGTGTGAGACGCAACGCGTGCTGAAGAAGGGGGACTACCTCAGCATGATGGGCGACGTGGCCAGTTTCGTCAACGCCAATGATAGGCGATTGATCGTTGACCTGCAACATTACCCATAGGATCCATGTATGGTATATATGGTAACATTTACCATCAATATACCCCAAATGTTAGCATATATACCATACATGGATCCTATGGGTTATAGTTTACCAGTTTAGTATACCCTAATCATTTGTGCTACCCTGTGGTAATTTAACACTATATTGCGATTGAAAATGGCCGTTTATAGTTGATTTAGCCTGTAAAAAAGCATGATTTTCCACTATTGTCCATAGCTATGTTAGTTTACCAGAGGGCAACCCCAATGCCATATCAAAAGGGCTGCCGCCCCTGCCGCCGACCCCTGAAAAGTGGCAAATCAACCATCTGTTAGGTTGGGCTATCAAGAACTGTCCATTGTTGTGCAAGTGCAAGTACGAACTATGAACCCTAATTGTGCCGATGCAAAGATACTTTTCAAACAGGGAGACGGAGACAAAGTGGTTGTCAGGACTTGTTGTTCAGCCACAACATCTGGTTCATTGCTTTATCGATTCACTGATTCTCTGATTCATTTATTCATCAGGTCACTACTTCACTCGTTCATTGCCTCGTTGCTTCATTGATTCACTGATATCTTGGTTGGCTGATTGTTTGATTCATCGCTTGATGCAGATTGCTTTGTTCTTTCATTGATTTACTGATTCACCGGTTCATTGATTCATCAATTCATTGGGTCATTGATTTATTCAGTCAAACTGCGCGCATGCATTCAAAATTGTTCTTGACTTCTTGACTAAAAGCTCTGGGAACGCTGCATGCCGGCGCAGAATCGACATTTACATAACATACATCATCCATATCACCTACATCTTTGACACCACCTACATCTCCTACACTATCTCCTATGCATCATCTACATCATTTGCAGCATCTTCTCGATCAACCTCATTAAACGAAAAAACACCTACATCACAGACACTTTCAAATCTTTCAACATCATCATCATCATCATCACCACCAGCATCATCATCATCATCATCATCTTCATCACCATCATCATCATCATCATCATCATCACGGGCATGGGATTCGTTTGCGGTGTGTGCCTCGTGCTTTCCTGGCCTCGTCGACTGCCTCCAGGAATGTATGGGCACCTCCTTCTGCATTGTCCAAGGAAAAAGCGGATTATGCAGAAGAGGAGGAGTTCGTTTGAAATTTTGATCCATCTATATACACAAATCAATGCTGGTTGATTTTTTCATAACCAAGAGGAGGAGATCGTTCATCACCAAGTTTGGAACCTCTGCGATTTATTCGTAGGCAGTTCCTTACTCACAAATTATGTGTGCGTTAAATCCAACTTGGTGATTAGGTTCAATGTTTGTGGTGAACTTCCAACTTTTCTCTTGGCAAAAGCGTCCAATTCCCGTTCGAAAAACCACGTGAACACAGAGGAGGAGCTGCAAGTCATCATCAAAAATGGCAAGGCCTTGAAAGCCAGAAAGCCACATTTGTGGTATCCCAATGCCGCTGACTTGTGATTTTTGGAGCATTCAACCCCATCAAATTGTGGTTGTTTGTGGTTTGTGGCTGTTTGTTGTGTGTTGTTCTTTGGTTGCTGGTTGTTGCTGCTTGTTGTGCGTTGTTGTGTGTTGTTGGTGTTGCTGTGTGTTGTTGTGTGTTGCTGTGTGCTGTTGTGGTTGTTGTGGTTGTGGTTGTGGTTGTTGTGGTTGTCGTTGTGGTTGTGGTTGTCGTTGTCGGTGTCGGTGTGGTTATTGTTGTAGTTGTAGTTGTTGTTGTTGTTGTTGTTGTTGTTGTTGTTGTTGTTGTTGTTGTTGTTGTTGGTTTTGTTGTTGTTGTTGTTGTTGCTGTTGTTGCTGTTGTTGCTGTTGCTTTTGCTGCTGCTGTTGTTGTTGTTGTTGCTGTTGCTGTTGTTGTTGCTGTTGCTGTTGCTGTTGCTGTTGTTGTTGTTGTTGTTGTGGTTGTGGTTGTTGTCGTTGTTGTTGTTGTTGTTGCTGTTGTTGCTGTTGTTGGTGTTCTTGTTGTTCTTGTTGTTGTTCTTGTTGTTGTTGTTGTTGGTGGTGGTGGTGGTGTTTTTTTTTGGGGGGGGTTTGTTGTTGTTGATGCTGCTGGGACTTGCGAAAAGCACAACACAACATTGTATGCAAAAAATGCCAGGCAAATCTTTGAAAACCTTTGGCACATGATTAAACTGTCTTCACGTTTTTGGATTATTGTTCTTGTTGTTGTTGTTGTTGTTGCTGTTGATGCTGTTGCTTTTGCTGCTGTTGTTGTTGTTGCTGTTGTTGTTCTCGTTGTTCTTGTTGTCGTTGTTGTTGTTGATGGTGGTGTTGCTGCTGGATCGGAGGATTTGCCATGGTCAAAACATGGCTTCCTTTCCTGGAGGATGGTCATCAATCCACTTCCAGGGATTCCTGTACTGCTACAAGGATTCCCACTGTGGGATGGATGGTCATGAAACACATGACAGATAGCATGTTTTGACCCCAGCACATATGGAATCAATGGAAATTTACCATCATTAACCAACAAATGAAGGCATTCATGTGAATATTTGGTATAGTGACAGTGTGGTAAATCCAGAAATACGCTTGGCTATACCCCGAGCAATGGGATATTTTTTTTTAATGACACCCCAACAACGGTTGATTAATTATGGGATGGTGTATCTGTTGGGTTTACCACATTATGCACCCTGCATACTGTTTTGCCGATCAACGGTAGTTTGGTGTACCAATATATTACAAATGCCCAGAGAGAACTACTATCCTTGTTTTTTTGCCATCAATGACCGAACCAGCAAAAAATGTTGCAGGATATCTCCAAGATGAGGGATAGGTCGTACATTTGGGATGATTTTGACGTATGTTTCGCAATGAGATTGCAGAGCAAAATACCAAAGATTTGGGAATTCCCAGGGGTAGTAGTACCATCTGGTTATTTAACATAGCCATGGAAAATCACCATTTTTAATAGGTAAACCATTTATAAATGGGCCATTTTCCATGGCTATGTTAAATAACCAGAGGGTATATTGATAATTCTTGGAAATCCGAGGTATGATATGATTGGTAGCGGGCCCCTTATGACCCTTTCAATACATCAGGATTTTAAGTGTATACTGTATCTAGATATTTTAGATATTTCTTTATATTCTATATAAACATCCAGGTACAATCTCAAAGTTCATTTTTTGCGACTTGCTGCATTGTTTTTGAAATGGAGGGAAAGGTTCACATGTTGGTATTCTATCTCTCCGTTGCATACCATCAAATAGATGAAATAGATATACCATCTGGTAAATTAACATAGATCTATAGACCCTGAAAATCACCCTTTTTAGTGGAAACTCATCTTCCAAACCCGATGAATGCCGGGGTCGAACTGTTAATTTACTGGAGGCTATAGATAGAAAATACGGGGAAGCTATCCATCCAGATCATCCAGATTCCAACCAGACCAGTCTGGTTCGAAGCATAACATGATCTTGACATTCAGAAAAACACCCTTAAAAACATCCACATGATTCCACCAATGTATGATGGTTACTAATATTTATTATTGGGTAATCCTCTATACAACTGTGATACCCTCTGGTAATTTAACATCGTTATTACAAATGGTTCATTTATAGTTGATGTATGAAAGATGGTGATTGTCCATAGATCATAGCTATGTTAGTTTACCAGAGGCTAATCCCAACTGCTAAGCTTTAAGCAGACATGGGCCGAGGTATCTTGATGCAGCTCCGCCTCTCGGAGTCACCGAATTCTTAACTGTGGTTTCAACGGTGATGGCTGGCCATTTATGAAAGTTATGGTGATTTCAGTGGGATTATACCCTCTGGTTATTTAACATAGCCGTGGAAAATCACCATGCTATTAATAGGTAAACCATCTATAAATGGACCATTTTCCATGGCTATGTTAAATAACCAGAGGGTACATTTTATAAATGGGGTTATAAGCTATAAGTACTTATAACTGGTATTTCGGGCCATAACTGAACCATCCCAAATTGGTGGTGCAGGATATCGCTGGCCCAGTATTCAGTATGACGAAAACTGATGATTGCTGTGAATGGAAGAAATTCTGCAGCTGGTTGACCTCTACTGTGAATGGAAGAAATTCTGCAGCTGGTAACTGTTGGTAGCTAGGAAAACCTGGAAACCCTGGGATTATAAAGGGATGAATTCGACCAACTGGTGCAGGATTTCGCAACCATCCACAGGGTTGACCGGGTTGATCTTTCTGGTAATTGATCAAATGTAAATGTGGTGTCAGAGATACATCGCACATGATTCTAAAATTAAACCAAGTCTGCCAAAGATTATTGAAGTAAAGGGTTCAAACAAGTCGAAGCACCAAAAGTTGAACGGGTCCCGCTAACCTGTTGGGAAATTAACTTTTTTTGGGGGAGGCAATGCGCTCAACGATGCAGCGATAGCTAGGGTGTGCCTGAACCGGTAGACATATTTTATTTCCAGATTGGCTTGGACGGCGCTCACGCATTTAATATAATATTATATATATAATCATATTTATATACACTATATTAATCTATATTACATTATTTATACCTGTGATCACCTAAACATTGTTCCGATCTGGCTCAATTTCACTTGTTTTTTGAATATCGAAAACCGTGCCAAGTTCACGGTTTGAATGAGTGATTACGACAACTTCAAACGTTTTCATCCTACTGGAAGGATGCTGAATTTCGTTCTAAAACCAACTTCTGCCCAATTTTTTGTCAACATTTTCTTGAAACAAGTTGAAGCCTTCCAATGGGAAGATACCCTCTGGTAAACCAACATAGCTATTGAAGATTGCCATTTATAGTTGATTTACCCATTAAAAATGGTGATTTCCCATGGCTATGTTAGTTTACCAGAGGGTACGCTTGGGTATGGCCAAGTCCCATCCCCACCTTCCCGATGTGCGAGGGAAGGTCTGCAATCACCCCGAGCTCTTCGAACCGAGATGTGCTGCAGCATGGCGTGGATGGGCGGGTTGCTTCCTGGAACCCCAAATGGACAGGACATGAAAAAAAAATGGTTGTCCTAAAGAACCAGTTACGATGTAATGTGGGGATTTTAATTTTTTTCACTACCATAGTGAACACCCATGTCTATTTCTGGTTGTCTGGGATTGCCGGTTATGATGAGAATTTGAGTGCTATATATGGCTATATGTCGCCTGTTTTCACGGATTTTCCAGCAAGTAACGTTTGATTATTTTTTGCTATAAAAGGATAATGGGGAGGTATACTTCATCGACAAAAACATATATTACAGTTTGTGTGACAGGGTGGTTATCACATAAACTCTATACATGGGTAAGAATCAAAAATGCGTCGCGCAGAAATGGAGCGGTCACGATTTAAAGTGAAAAAAGTCAATCCACTCCCTGGTCTGGGGGTGTTTGGCATATTTTAATCCAGGAGAAACAGTTAGAAATCCACTTTATTGATTCTTTTTGGTATTTCAATCGTCGATTTCAATCATCGTTTTTACCCAGTAGGTGATGGTTAAGCTAAATCCAAACTTCTCCCACTTGACTTTGGTTCAAATTCCAAAACAGAAATGACCTTCGCCCGCTTTTGGATGATTCGAATTCCAAAAAAGAAAGCAACCTTCTTGAAATGTTGGATGCTTCAAATATCTTCAAATATTCAAAAAGACACCTCTAACCCGGTCTAACCCATATCAATAGTCATGTCAGATCTATATATATATATGCACATATAGACTGTAAATCATAATAACACCCCCTTAACATCCCATTGAATCACCATTTATAGATGATTTTCCAGGAAATCAACCATGAAATCACCAATATAGATTATAAGATATTATAAGATATTTAAAGTAGCCATATATTAATCACTGGTTGATGGTTTGGAACATGAATTTTATTTTCCCCATTCAGTTGGGAATTTCATCATCCCAACTGACGAACTCCATCATTTTTCAGAGGGCTAGGTATACCACCAACCAGAATCACTATTAACCACGATTTTCACTATATATTAATGATCAACAACTTATAGTTATAATATGTTATAATCACTTATAGTTATATATAACCACTATTAACCACTGTTTTCATCTTGATGAGTATCTCACCACTATTAACCACTATTAACCACTGTTTTCCAATGGTAAATCCACCATTTTGAATCACCCAAAGGTCACGGCCTTCGTCATGTGCCAATTGGAGTTCCAGCTGCCGGGTGACGTGCTGCTGGCGCTTTGGCAGTGCATTGCTGGACGGCGGCCTGGGGAGGAGCGCGTTCTGCAGCACAAATGACTGTAGAATTTCTTAGTAACGCAATAGTACATATATGATGTGTATTCAATATGTATATATATATATATATATTTATAGATAGATAGATAGATAGATAAATAGATAGATAGATAGATAGATAGATATACATATATACAAGCATTTTATATATACATTATACATTTTTATTTACATATATATATATATACACAGGGATATTACGTGCAAATTACATGTTTTACTGTGCATCAGTACTGTGCGTATGCGATATGATATGATATAATACTTATATAAAGAAATATGTTGCATATACACATTGTAAATATGCACTGTGTTCATACTTATCATGTATGTAATATGTACTGGTATGTATACATATAGGTAGAAATCATGTTTGAATGCCCAAAAAATGGACAACTCAATGCTTACCATTTGTGGTGAGTAGCATCGATGATCGGCAAATGTGTAAACTATCAGCAGTGCATGGGAATATGCATAGTCAAAGCAGGAATGTAAAGAAGGGCAATTACGTTGGAAAACTGTTTCCTTTTGCACATATTTGCACAGTTATGGCCCTTTACCAGTTATAAGTACTTATAATCCCATTTATAAAATGTATAATCCCACTTATAACCACTTATAACTAATAAATGGCCATAACTGCAGGAAACCATTCCTATGTACTATCAAAATCAGGGGTGTCCTTACTTTAGATGTTCCCTTGAACCAATTCTGGGTGATGTCGGTTTCCCTTCTTCTGCATTATGATCCTCATTCATTTTCAAATCGCCAGACAATGTTTTTCCATTCATAATATTGTATTATCCAAAAAATGATCCTCATTCATTTTTCCATGTTTTCAAATCACCAAATCACAGTTCATGGATATTGTTGGTGGTAATGGGATTTAAGGTGCAGTTCCTATACTGCACCAACTCACCGAGATTTGATTCAAAACACTGTTCAACCATAGATGATGATCCCCAATGACTCTCCTAGAAAATTCAGGATGGTTAAAACATGTTATAACCAATAATGCCATTATTTAGATTGTATACGTGATATAAATACAAGTATACTTGGTTACTTGGTACGCCCCGCGGTTTCCAGAAACTGAAGCGCCCGGAAAAGCACTGTAAACTGTCATTGTGTCAGGAGAACTTTTGCTCGCTGCTGATGCCCTTGCAACTTGCCTTCCGGTGTTAGCTCCACCAGGTACCATGATTCCTAGGAATCCGATTGGCATATCACGTTGGGCTTAGCCACCTTATGGTGCGGTGTCGTCAAGCCGTGGTGTTGCCCTGAAACATTAATATAACATTATTAATAACCTTTACTGGTGGTTTTTTTTGTATCTAGTTTTTGTGTTTGTTTCTGACATTTTTTAGGGGCGAAGTTTCAACAACAGACCATTCTCAATTTCAGGGGATGCCCCCGATTGGCTTCATATGGTGCCAGATGCCTGACCTGACAAGAATGCCGATGCTATCCGATGCTTCAGCATCTGGAAGCGAACCATTTTACAGCCTCAACTCTGGCCATGTCCAACACTTCCATTTAAAAACCACTGGGCCGCTTTTTGCGGTTTTCATACAAAAAAGTGCAGCAACTTTCAGGAAGAAATACATGGTGGAATTTACACCCCTTACTTTGAGAGCCAGAACTGCTATGTGAATACAGTTGTTCGTTATATAAATTATATATATATATATTCAGACTTGTCATGATTTTTAGTCACCCAAAACAAGATGGAAACACAAAACAAAATACCCTTTGGTAATTTAACATAGCATAGCTATTGAACATGACCAGTTATAGTTGATTTACACACTAACAATCGTGCCTTTCCACAGCAAACTGTTAGTTTACCAGAGGGTAAACTCCAGTTTTTTCGTCCCAGCTTCGTCCATAACCCAGGCTGTCACTGTGGCGATTGGAGCTTTCCATGATGCAGCTGTCGCGTGCTGATCTGCCCTTGAATGAGGCTGCGATGGGCTGGCTATGGGCTGGGAAAATGATGATCAACCATAATGGGGCCCCCAAACGATAGCTAAGTTGGTTCATAGCTCCAATGACTATTGTTTATGGTACCTATAACATCCTATAACTATAGTATTCATGGGGTTTATAAACCATCTAACATCACTGGGGTGGCTAACATTGTAGGATTTCATAGGGAAGGTGATGATACAAACATCACATGATCCAGTAGAATTAATCCGATACAAGCCGATACAAACATCACATGTTAGTATAGTATCGATACTGTTGATTTATACAGATACTATACTAACAATATCCCCATGATTAAGCGATACAAACATGTTTTTCGGCGTATCAATTCATAGGACGCTTTGTTTAAAAGCGACAGAGATCGACCAGTTTCCGAAGAGTTTCCCCAGCAAAGATGGACGATTTGCCGGGATGGTGTTCACACTGTTAAGCTTTACCAACATTACCGGTTGAGTTTTGTGAATATAACTAAGGTTTCCACCATGTTCAAATCATCATTTTTTTGGTGTTTTTAGTGGGGTTTAACTTACTCAAAAAAAAACGCACACATGGGATACAGTCAGATACAGTTGATCAATTGGTTGTTGATGGGTTCAGAACTGGAGGGTTGCAGTACTACCGAACTGGGTTTATTCGGGATCATGACAAGATTTACGAACCAACCAGTATAATTTGAAAATATTTTGGGGATAGGTTTTTGCCTATAGGGCCCTGATCACAAGGTTCAATGATTCAAGTCTAGGCCGAAATCTACAGGACATTTCGCCCAAAATCAGGGTTTCACGGTTTCCTGCACAGCTTCCCGGTCTCAACCAGTTCCAGGTCATTGAAGTGGAGCTTCCAATGAAACGCAGGCGGGGTGGGAATCAACAATGGATAGCTTCATCTTGGGAAACCTCAGATTTTGGGCTGATCATCTTTTCATATGTCATGCTTACCTTTGGTAATTTAACAGTTTTCTATTGAAAATTGTTCATTTATAGTTGATTTCCCTATTAAAGATGGTGATTTTCCAGTTCGCTATGTTAGTTTACCAAGGGGTAAAGACAAGAGGACTTCATCGTTGCAAAGCCTTTTCGGGGGCTATGAATCCACATTGCACATGGGTGATTGTTCCATTTCTACCGCAACGTCCAGAGTCATACCAATACCTCAAATTTGATTCAATATATATTCGCATATCGCTCATTCCGACCTTGTTTCTCTCACAGCAAGCTTCAAGCCTTTGTTTGGCAACCATTTTGATTCTTGATATAGGCACATGTTTGATGCCCATCTAAAGACTGCACGTATTAGCACATATCTCTCTGTGTTGCACTAGACTTATGCACTGCCAAATCATTCTTAGTTCCTCAATCATTTGTGTGTATCATACATACACATATATATATATAACACATATATATACATATATATACACGCTGTATGTATACATTTATTTATATTATATATGTAGTGATTTACAACAAATTGTGTTGATTAGTTGTTCAATGCAGTACTCTTCTAATTCTATAGTCTACTTCAATTTCAATTTCACTTTGCATCAATGAGGATGAACGTGACATAATATTACTATGTTTTCTACAATGTGAGGCCGCCAAGATAGCTAAGTTGTTTTATAACTCCAAAAACTATGGTTTATGGTACTTACAACTATAATTATTGGGGCTTATAAACCAACTTATAACTGGGGGGCCCCACATTGTACAATTGATGATGATCATTTGAGATCCAACGGTTCAGGCGCTTCAGGCGCCACGCCAGGCGGATCATGCCAACATTGCCAGCCTCACCGTTGAGGACGGGTTACCGGACGGGTGACCTACGACGGACCGTTGGGCACCACCGGAGGTACGAGTTGGAAACATCGCCACCTTGCATCGTTTTGAATCATTCTGATATCCATATGGGTATGGATCAATACCTATTAATACCATTTTTAGGGGAATGAACATCCATTTACCAGCTATTTTGATGTTCACCAGGGGTACAAGGTTTTGACACACTGCCATATGTTTTTTCTTTTTTTTTTAATAACATGTTTTATACTATTTTATACGTATAACTATAACATGTATTAAGATCCACTATCCCCATGTTGTGTGCCGAAATTCGGGGATTATTCTTACTGTCGAAGATATCCTGCACCAGCTTGGATGGTTCAAACAAAATCATGGGACAAACCACCTATCAACTGTTTTCTTTTACAAAACCAGTATGAAACATTCACAATTACCATAGTTTGTTGCGTAAATCATAAAAAGTGTTGGACAGTTATTTGGGGACTTGTAGATTTTAACATAGAGATCTTATATGATCTTATGATATTCTTCCATATGATTCATACAGGAAAACCCTATATATTTGACGGTAAAAAACATGGTTTCCGGTTAAGATTTCCCTTAAACCAATCCATTGATACAACAATTTTGAACATCTTCATATCCCAAAATTGGGAGGTCAATTTTCCCGATGAATCCCTGGCCAGGAAGCACCTGTCGCCACAGAGCCAGCGATTTCTAGATGAGTTGGGGGTTCAGAGGTGGCACTGGAGGCTACTCTCTAAGACTTTAAGATTATGGAATAAACCTTTATATAATAATATAATCAATAATCCATCTTAATCCATGATCCTCCTAAACAAAGTACATCAAAGTACAGATCATGAGTGTATTTTTGTTTTTTTGGTTGATTCGTTTGGTTGATGGCATTTATGAATGTTTTCCTTCGTGGGTGACAGTTCAGGTTGCACCCATGTGGGTTCCACTGCTGTTTTAACCGACAAGTTTGTTGTTGGAAAGTGATTTTCTACTAATGTTCAACGGGCCATTTTGGACTGGAAAGTGATGTTCTAAATCCCTGCAATTTTGGGGTTAATTTGAGACAACTTCGTATGAAAGCACCTTTCATAAACCATGAGATTCCTTAGAGACGCAAATTATATGGAGGGCCCACCACATTCCATTGGAAAAGATATGGCTCCAAGTGTGAATTATTCTCATAAGCTTTTTGTCTTTTTGTTCAGACCCTTCCCGTCTACAAGGTCATTAGGCAGTGCTCCAATGATGCTTACCAGTTGCGTTCTAACAAGTTACACTCGGAGATGGGAAACCCTATATGCAATGTTGGAGCAGCTTAAACGAATGAAACAAAAGCGCTAGGTTGGTTTATACCGAGGCTTACTCCGGTCTATGATATACATATATATATATATATCATTGATATACATATATAATATATATCATTGATATACATATTATATATATATAGCTAGACGGGCAAACATTTATCTATCTATAGTTAGATGGGTGAACATGATCCAAATATGTTTTAATAGAAACAATTTCAATGTCAACAAGTATATTATAGTTATAATGGTAATAGCTAGAGAGAACTATAGATTAGTACTGTATTTTTCATAGATGACTCTTTACATAAATATATATATATATATATATGTGTGTGTGTGTGTGTGTGTGCCGTGTGATACTACCGAGTATGCAAACGGGACTCTGAGGTCGTATTTGGCCCATCTCGGACAAGAGGAAGAGCGGCGGGATCAGCGGCGGAGCGTGGCAGTTGCGGTGGACTATTTGATGTGGCTCGTGGGGAGCCTCAGTTGCCCGTGTGGACCCTTGGGGTTCCTGGGTGGTTTGAGGGTTATCAGTTATAAGATGTGGAGTACGGATTTATGTATTATACATATATATTATACATACATATGGTATATACAGATGTGTGTCTGTGATGTCTGTGTATTGTATTTTTTTGATGGCGATGTACTCATGATTTGATGGTGATGTGCTGGGTGATTGGACAGATTTGATGGTCATTCAATGTTTATTTGGTGCTTTGTTTGATGATTTATAAGTGATTGGAGTGAGGTTCGGCTTTTTCGGCTTATGTCATGCAGAAAACTATTTGGTCAGTGTCAACCCCAGATTAATAAACCATAGTTTATTAATCAGGGTGGTACTTTGCCAATAGTCATTTCATCTGATACTTAAATGTATTTAAATGGTACCCCCCAATTAAACAGCCCAATTATAGGGGTTATTAATCCAGGGTTGACATTAACTATTATTAACCATTATTAACCATTATTAACCATTAACCATTATTAACCATTATTAACCATTATTAACCATGGGGAAACGCTTATTAGCTCCCAGGGGGATACCCATCATTCCTTTGGATGGCAGCCAAATCCTGCATCAGTTAGATGATTTATCCCCTTATAATCCCATGAAATTTACAGTGTTTCATAGTTACCTATAATACTTATAGTTATACCCATAGTTACTGGTCGTAGTTTTACCTATCATATAGTTATACCCGTAGTTAGTAAATGATGAATAGTTATACCCATCTTATAGTTATACCCTTAGTTGCCTCAGGACTGCATTATTTTGGCATGACGAATCTGGGGTAAATTGCTGCCGATCCCCTGAAAACTTCGTGGTTGGTGAAGGTGTTGGGGTTGTAACCCTAATTAAGCCATCAATATATAGTGGTTATTGGATATGACCCGAGCGCTATTATTCAGTCATATCATATCCCCAGTTTTTGTTGGTTTAATATGGTTTAATTAATATGGTTTAATGACTATTGCATGATCAACATAAAATCCCACTGCGTAAATCTTACTAAACCACCATCTCTCCCATTGTTGCCTGTTATTATTGCTGGATCTCTTCCGGTTTAGGTCATGCAGGGACGGCCCTGGATTGGAAGCAACGGCCTGCAGCTGTTTCTCGGAGACTTCCTTGGAGGTTCAGCCATCCAAACGGCTGGAAAACCCGTGGAAATTCAGAGAGAGAGGGATTCTAAACCATCAACGAATCAACGGCTCAATGGATTCAATGGATTTTTTAATGGGATTTCGTCGGATAAAAAATCCCAGGGTAGTTATTGGTCAACAGATGTCAACAGGGTAGCTGTGCTTTTGGGCTTTTGGGCTTTTGGCAGTAACAGCTATCCCAGTGGCAAAGGGTAGCAACTGTGATGTCACTGGAATGATGGGAATCGGATTTGGAGAATCCGCAAATCCTTTTTTTAGTTCTTTTTCATGTCTATTGGAGCAATATTGAATAACGATTTTTTTTGATGTTATTAGTATAGTTCAGCCAGAGTTATGCACCCCGCAAGCATGGCCAAAGATGGCCAAAGGGCACGCTAGATGTGACATGATGCCGTGGCCTAGGGATGTCTAGCGCATGGTGGCAGAAAATGAAACAAGTTTTGAGTAAACAAATCATACAAATAACAAATACATACATATTGAGTGCCAGAGTTGTATCCAAAGATATCCATATGATATCCATACGATATCGTTTACATAAGGGGCTACACAACGAAAGCATGTCATCCAACCGCACGTCCTGAGGTTGTCCCAATGTGTTTCATCGTCACTGTGTTCTCGAGGCCGGCTGTGCCGGCTTTTACCGGTGTGGATCCACTGGTGGCACGGTAGAGACATGACGTTTTGATACCCGGCTGATGGGTTATGGTGGCATTTTAGCAACGGCCATGCAACAGGAACCGATTTATTGGAGGGACCGACCATATATAAGGCCTATGTAAGGCCTATGTAAGGGGATATCCCCACAAAATATGGCCAAAAATATGGTACTAACGTACCTCCATTGAATCGGATCCTGAAACTAGCATTGATTTTATATGGGGTTTTACTACCAGTATAGTATATACTGGTTATATCTGGTTATTATAGCCGTTACCCGTAGGATATTACAGGATGTCGTTTCGGATCATACAGGATGTTATGTATCAATTGATAATTATTCGACACCTGTGGGTTTAAGGCGTTTCAACCCGAAATTGAAACTGGGATATGTATTGGTTACCCTACTAGTAACTAGTACAATGGGATGGGATGGAGGTATTTATCAATATGTTTCATGCCTCACTTACAAGAATAGTTATTTTATAGAATATATATATAATATGTATATAATATATATAATATAATAAATATATATATATATATATAATATATATTATATATATATAATATAAATATATATAATATAAATAAATATAATATATATATATATAATATTCTACCTGGATGTGCCCGGATTGTGATCCCAAATGGCCGTTTAAAACTTGCAGCTGCAAAGCAGAAAATTGTTTCAATTAGAGATGCTCCCCGAGATTTCTACTTCCATTGTCGCAGCACCGGTATGTACCGGTCAAATTTTGATGTGCAAGCTGTTTTGCGAGCTGTTTTTGCGATGTGCAAGCAATATCCAAAGTATCCAAATGGCCTACCCTCCGCTAACCAATTAAACATGGCAAGTGGAACGTCCTAAAATGGAGGTTTCAATGGGAAAATCGTTCATGGTGAATGACGCTGGTTCTTCTTTGCTGTGAAGTCTCTGGCGTTGGAAATTGGTTAGATGTGAAAAATGTTTGGTCACAAATACAGCCCAGCAAATCGCTAACCAACATGTCTATTAAACCCAAAGCAGTGCCCAATTCTGAAGATTTTTGAAGATCAATTAGATTTGGTACAGTTAATGCTCACACAATTCATTTTATGATCATTTAATGCCGTACTGCAAACCCAATTGTAAGCCTCCAATTTATGATATCTGGTATAGTTTACACAAGCCATTTCTGTTAAATTGGGTTGACTTGGGATGTGCATCCAGGCATCGCAAATGGCAATCCCAAAGAGAAATGGATAATTAAAATAAGGATACCCCGATGTCTTAGGAAGCTTCCATTAATATAATGCATACTTGGTGATATTCCACATTTAAACAAATGTCCATATGTAACATATATACATATATATAATATATAATTATACATATATATATATATTTGTAATCCATAAACATCCATGTATAATCCATATAGAATCCAAATGTATAATCCATAAATAATCCATATTTGGTGGGTGATTGTCCGCTAAAATCACCGTGCTTGTTTTCCCTCGTGAAACAGTACAGGACGACGGAGCTTCCTTTGGCCCGAGCCTAGGAGTGATGTGGTGGGAGGGTTTGACTGGGAAAAATCAGGGGAAAGTCATGGAAAATATATGGAGAACATATGGGAAAAGCCGTATCAATGAAGGTCTTAATGGAAAAACCATCTAGAAGTATATAGTTATAGTGGATGTTTTATTGCCGTGCTGGATTATTGGGGATTAGTTTTATGTGCGTAAATGATGCTGAATTACAGCATGCAAAATATATGTTGTTTTTTTTGTGAACGCAGGTGAATTAACATGGGGTAAATCATCCAACGGCCAATCCTTGGTGGCAAAGGAAGAAACCTTCGGAATGATTGGAAATTGCATAGGTAGATACAACTATGAACAATTGATTTATTCCAGCCTAATGGGAATAGTTGCTGGGTTTGAATGGGATATGATTAATCATATGTTTCGGATGATTTGCCCTTTGGTAATTGGACAGTTTGCGATGCAACATCGCCATGTGTGATAGGTAAGTCCCATAGCGAGCTGAAACAAATTAGCCGGAGGGTAGAACTACTAGCAACTGATCAACTGCATGACAATAGAAGTTGGGAATAGCTGGGACAACTTCAGGAGCGGATAGCTTCAGGGGCTATTCTTGGCGACACCACATTCAGCCATGGTTTCTAGGAGTTTTGCAGCCGCCTGTGGCTGAAGATGACCCCCGGGCTCCATAAATTGGATGTACTTGGGCATTCAGATCATTCAGTGTGTGGCTTATTTATTGGTCAAAAATGGCGTAGCCACATCAACACCATAAATTGGGACAGCAACTGCAGCTCACAAGGCTCTAAGGTGGTTGGAAATGGAAGGGCGACCTCAATGGCAGCCCAGCAAGCCTAGATGAAATCGCTGCGGATCCAGATGCACATTTCCTGTTGAGTGCTGGAAAATCATGGTTGAGTTGAACACTGCAAAAGATTGATGCTAAGATAGGGTAAGAAAACATGTCCTGAACCAAAGAATACAATTCTTACCTTAAGTCTAACTATATAAAATCTATCATCAGAACCATGAATATTGATCATTATTAACAAATGGTTTAACCATCATCATCAGAACCATTAATATATAGTTCCCAGATGTTTCCATTCAACATAACTCACCGGTGATTTCATCCGCAGCAAAGTCTGCGGTGGGTGGCCATCGTCGCCATGGCGGATGGGATGCTACGATCACCCACCTTTTTGGTGGGCGCAGAGACTTGGCGCCATGGGATGGCGCCATGGGATGGCGGATGGGATGCCATGGGGATGCTCTACCCTCTGGTAAACTAACATAGCTATAGAAAATCACCATTTTTTTTTATGGGTAAATCCACTATAACTGGCCAATAGCTATGTTAAATTACCAGAGGGTAGTTCTCCAGTGACCAAAGATGGCCCAACTTGAAAAATACGTCGAATTCATCGGAAGAAGATGAAGAAGGGGTCGATTGTCCATTGCCATGCTTGATTACCAGAGGGTATAGAAAAACCATTGTTAACCCCATCAGTTTTTATTAACCATAGATATCTACCCTTTGGTAGTTTAACATAGCTATGAAAAATGGACCATATATGGATGATTTACCTACTAAAGTACAGATTCTCCACAGAAAATGTTAGATTACTAAAGGGTGATTTCCCTACTAAACCCCAGGAAAATCTATGATTCATACAATGTGGGGCCCCCCAGTTATGTTTGTTGGTTTAGATTCGCCCCAGTAACTAGTTCGTTATTTGCGTACCATAAACCATAGTGACATTGGAGTTATGTGCACCAACTGAACGCTATCTTGGGGGCCTCACATTGTAGAAAACATAGTAATATTATGTAACATTCATCCTCTTAGCTATCTTGGGGGTCCCACATTGTACCCATTGAGTTGATATTTCATCAGCATTTCTAGCGGATTTTCAGGGTGGCCCTGGCCAACCGCCTAACCGCCTCCTGAAACCAACCGTCTCGGCGAGGAAAGGCAGCGGAAGAACTTGGATGAGTTCCAACGGCGAGAGCACCTTGGTGCAACGCGAACTTGAGACATCGCAAGAGACCTGGAATTTACCCTCTGGTAAACTAACATAACTATAGAAAATCACCAGTTTGAATAGGTAAATCAACTATAAATGGGGTATTTTCAATAGCTATGTTAAATTACCAGAGGGTATATAGACATGATTATCCCGGCAGAGCCCAAACAGTGTGGGGGATTTTTTTTGGTGAGTTTATATAAAGATCATGCATTATAGTATTATGATGTTGATGATGTGGCCACACTGTTTGGGGAATTACCAGTTGGTGATTTAACATAGCTATGGAAATTTATGGCAAGTCCAATATATGGAGGTTTTAATGTCCTGTAATTCAAAGAGAATGATTGGAAATCCACGGTTTGAACCTACCATTTGTCGAGGTATGATCTGTGGTCGCGGGCCCCTCGACCCAGAGCACCACATCCAAGAGACCCGAATCTCCCTAAAGTTTAAGTTTTTATTACCCCATGACTGGGAATGGTTTATACCACCCATAAGCATGGTGATAACTGGGGGATGGTTTATGATTGTTTTAACCACATCATATGATTATTCCAGATCTACATTCAATAATTCCAGCTAGCTGGGTTTAGACATAGTTCGCCATTATATACTGGTTAGCTTGAAGATGACATGACATTATAGTATTATAATATGTTTTTTTTTGTGTGTTTTTCTTAGTATTGCTATTTTGTATTGCTATCAGCCTATTTACTATCGCTACTATTATAATACATGATCATTGATCAGTTTTATTTTTATTTTGTGAACCTTGGCGAAGGGAAGTGCAATGGTTTCATTGTTGCCATCAATGGGATTAATGTGTATGGACAATGTCACAGGTTGTTTTTTTGCAATGAACATGTCAATTTTTGACGAAGACAAATAGCAACACCGAGTCCTTCGTTTTGCTGGGGTAAGGGGGTCTACATGGGCCACAGTATTTACAGTATATGTATTTATTCTGGTGCTATTTTGACGACAAATTTGATACACATACACTGCTGAACATGGTTTGTTTGATTGAACATTGGGTGTAATTATTTCTGGTTCGCTGCATACTGTGAAGGTCTATTAAACTGGAGTAAATGGAGTATGTTTTGATGATGTAATCATCCAAATTTAGGCATGAAGCTACCAAAAGACCCAACCAAAAACGAACCTGGGTCATCCGCAGAATGTGGTAGTCCAACAATAAACCCCCAATGTTCCAAAAAACATCTACCATTTATGGTGATCGCCAAGCCTTTGAGCCATTTGAGCCACGAGGCAGCAGCTGGCTGAAGCCTATCACAAGAACAAGCCCTTGTGCTTCAATGCCAGCTCGTTTCAAAAAACGCATCCTGCAACTCAACTGACAGCGCTGAATCGAACGGGTGAATTTCTGGGGGACATAACCACGAGGATGGTGATGACTAGCACACTTCATTGAGGCTCCTATTCACGCAAAGAACGTTTAAGTGACAAACACTTAAAACAAACACAAAAAACAAAAACAGCTTAAATAGGATCATGATGAATCAGGTGATGATATAAGAAACCAAAAGTATCCAAAAGTGTCAAACCACGCATGATTGCAAGTCATTTGCGCAACTGCCAGAATTGGTCGCGGGGAAAATCCTGTGTTTCCCACAACATTCTTCTACCAGACTCCAGAGCTCAACAAGGTCAAGGCACAGAAAGGCCACAACGATGCGGATGCCTGTTTGACAGCGCCCTTGGTGCTGGGAGTGGCGGATGGCGTGAGCCAAATCGAGGTGTGGAGGGTCTTAGGGTCTTAATGGCCACAGGGGGCCTGCTTTTCAGCTGTACATTCTGGTACCCTCTGGTAAAATAACAGTTTACTAGGTAGACATACAAAAAAACGATGGAAAATCACCATTTGTCATGGGAAAACTCACTATTTCAATGGCCATGTTCAATAGATATCTTAGTTTATCAGAGGGTAAATCCCATAAAAGTCACATAAAAATCACATTTTCAATAGCTTTTTGTATGTTTCCCAGGGCGTGGAATCTGGCCATGGCCAGATCCCCTCTGTCAGAACCACCAGGAATTTGGGATCGACGCCTCGCTGCTTCCCAACGAGCTGCTCAAGGCGGATGCAGATGGACCAAGCTGCACCAAGCTTTTAGTGTTTTAACCAACTAACCATCAACCATCATCCATTAATCTGGGTAAATTATAACGACCTCACTGCGACCTCACTGGAATCATGGCTGATAAGGGAAATCATCCCCAAATGGCCTTAGTTCAAATCAGTGAATTATTATAATTTACCCAGATTAATCATTTAGTCATCATTGATCCATATCCCATAGGATCCATGTATGGTATATATGCTAACATTTGGGGTATATTGATGGTAAATGTATGTAAATGTTACCATATATATAGCATACATGGATCCTATGGGTATTAGATCATTTTATAGGATTGTCCATATTCGAATCTGGTTGGTGGTTTGGAACATGTTTTATTTTCCCCAAATATTTCCCATTCACCAGAGGGGTACCATCCTATATAGCCTCTGGTAAACATACAAATCATCTATGGTTTATAGTGATTTATAGTGATTCAATATGATTCAATGGGATTTTATATAGTGATTCAATGGGATATTAATGGGGCTTACCCTCTGGTTATTAAAATTGTGTTTTTCCATGGCTATGTTAAATAACCAGGTGATATATTCAAATCTGGTTGGTGGTTTGGAACATGGCTTTTATTTTCCCCAATAGTTGGGATGATGATCCAATCTGACGAACTCATATTTTTCAGGGGGGTGGCTCAACCACCAACCACAAATTAATAATACGTAATATGATAATATGAATAAGCACATGATATCATCATACATCATCATGTATATCATCATTGTATATTCACCAAACAATCACTTTAGTTGACGTTTTAATCCCTTTGGTTTCTCTGATTTCTCTAGCCAGGTGGTGCAGCAATTGGGCATGCACCAGCTGATTCCGGGCGCAAAGTTGCCTACGGCGGACACCTATCGGGGGCCGGTCGCGTGGCTGAATGGTGGTGTTGGAAGATGGTTCACCCCTGCATGATCTGCATGGTTGATTAGAATCATTTAATATTTTTTTAATGTTTTTACTTATCAGACTGCAGGAATATTTTTTTACATGATCTTAATCATCAGACTATATCGGCATATACGATGATACAAGCGCTTTGGATAAAGTACAGCGTGAAACCGCGACGTTCATCATGGCGCTGTACAGAGATCAAAGAGCTGCGGGCTCGAAATTTGAGACTCGAAGTTTTAAAGGAGGACGGCCGTGGATCACGACTTGGCGACTCGGGTGCGAGCTCTTTACAGGTTCAACAACCTCCTTGTGCGCCTATTTTGGGTGCTCATTCTGATGGCGGACGAGAGGCCAAAAGCAGAACTGACCTTTTGGATCCTTTTGGTTTGATCACTGCACCGGGGATTCAGGGGATAAGGGCAATTTATATCCACGCCGCATAGCGGCATAGCGCAGGTAGCAGCTGGTAGCAAATCCAATTTCCCCCAGTCCGACCGTAAGCCACACTTGGACCCAGCAGATTCTATTCATGGCATACGTGTTTTGGCCTTGTCCGTGCCTGCAGTGACAACGAGTTTCATTGTGGGATTATTATATACTACCTCTATTGGAGCTTATCATGGGCCATCATTGTCCATAAGCTCGGAATTCCGTTCTTAATCAACCAGAAAAATGGAATTAAAGGACCGGATAACCCCACATGTTACCAATTTCTCTAGATTAAGACTGGGCATAGGAAAGCAAGAAGGGAAGAGGAAGTATAAGAGTGATGGAGCGGTGATGGTGGGAGTTTGTGTGTATGTATGTATGCTCATGTACAGTGAGTGAGTGAGAGTGTGAGTGAGTGATGTGAGCGTGAAGTGAAGTGAGTGAAGTGAAGTGAATTGAAGTGAAGTGAAGTGAAATGAAGTGAAGTGAGTGAGTGGGTGAGTGAGGGAGGGAGGGAGTGAGGGAGTGAGTGAGTGAGTGAGTGAGTGACTGCCACGCCTGCCACGCAAAAGAGGCGGAGCCCAAGGGACGCCAGGGCGTACATCCGACCCCTTGGCAATGCACATTGTCCCACGCCTGCCACGCAAAAGAGGCGGAGCCCAAGGGACGCCAGGGCGTACATCCGACCCCTTGGCAGTGCACATTGTCCCACGCCTGCCACGCAAAAGAGGCGGAGCCCAAGGGACGCCAGGGCGTACATCCGACCCCTTGGCAGTGCACATTGTCCCACGCCTGCCACGCAAAATGGGACGCCAGGGCGTACATTTGGCACACATTGTCCCACGCCTGCCACGCAAAAGAGGCGGAGCCTAAGGGACGCCAGGGCGTACATCCGACCCCTTGGCAGTGCACATTGTCCCACGCCTGCCACGCAAAAGAGGCGGAGCCCAAGGGACGCCAGGGCGTACATCCGACCCCTTGGCAATGCACATTGTCCCACGCCTGCCGCGCAAAAGAGGCGGAACCCAAGGGACGCCAGGGCGTACATCCGACCGGAGCCCAAGGGACGCCAGGGCGTACATCCGACCCCTTGGCAATGCACATTGTCCCACGCCTGCCACGCAAAAGAGGCGGAGCCCAAGGGACGCCAGGGCGTACATCCGACCCCTTGTCAGTGCACATTGTCCCACGCCTGCCACGCAAAAGAGGCGGAGCCCAAGGGACGCCAGGGCGTACATCCGACCCCTTGGCAATGCACATTGTCCCACGCCTGCCACGCAAAAGAGGCGGAACGCAAGGGACGCCAGGGCGTACATCCGACCCCTTGGCAATGCACATTGTCCCACGCCTGCCACGCAAAAGAGGCGGAGCCCAAGGGACGCCAGGGCGTACATCCGACCCCTTGGCAGTGCACATTGTCCCACGCCTGCCACGCAAAAGCGGCGGAGACCCAGGGACGCCAGCGGAACCCCGGGGCGTACATCCCACCCCTTGGCAGTGCACATTGTCCCACGCCGGCCACGCAAAAGAGGCGGAGACCCAGGGACGCCAGCGGAACCCCGGGGCGTACATCCGACCCCTTGGCAGTGCACATTGTCCCACGCCTGCCACGCAAAAGAGGCGGAGACCCAGGGACGCCAGCGGAACCCCGGGGCGTACATCCGACCCCTTGGCAGTGCACATTGTCCCACGCCTGCCACGCAAAAGCGGCGGAGACCCAGGGACGCCAGCGGAACCCCGGGGCGTACATCCGACCCCTTGGCAGTGCCCTGCCACGCAAAAGCGGCGGAGACCCAGGGTGTGTGTGTGAGTGAGTGAGTGTGAGTGAGTGAGTGAGAGTGAGTGAGTGTGAGTGAGTGAGTGAGAGTGAGTGTGTGTGTGTGTGAGTGAGTGAGTGAGTGAGTGAGGGAGTGAGTGAGTGAGTGTGTGTGTGTGTGTGAGTGAGTGTGTGTGTGTGAGTGAGTGAGTGAGTGAGTGAGTGAGAGTGAGTGAGTGTGTGTGTGCGTGTGTGAGTGAGTGAGTGTGAGTGAGTGAGTGAGTGAGAGTGAGTGAGTGTGAGTGAGTGAGTGTGAGTGAGTGAGTGAGTGAGAGTGAGTGAGTGTGAGTGAGTGAGTGAGTGAGAGTGAGTGAGTGTGTGTGTGTGCGTGTGTGAGTGAGTGAGTGTGAGTGAGTGAGTGAGTGAGAGTGAGTGAGTGTGAGTGAGTGAGTGTGAGTGAGTGAGTGAGAGTGAGTGAGTGTGAGTGAGTGAGTGAGTGAGTGAGAGTGAGTGAGTGTGTGTGTGAGTGAGTGAGTGAGTGAGTGAGTGAGTGGGTGAGTGAGTGAGTGAGTGTGGAGGGAGGACGGGAAGGAGGAGGAGGAGGAGGACGAGGAGCGGATACAGAACTAAAAACAAAAAACCCACACGTCAATGTGGGGAATGACGGAGGAATATTCGGACACTGCTCATGTGAATCTACAGGTTGCAATCTGTTTCAGACAGCTGTTGAATTTTGTCAAGTACCGAGGCATTGAACGGCTTGATATGGGCGCCGGACTCCGGCAGTGTATCACCATTTTTTTGTTGGATGAATCACAACCAATCTCCAGGTTTCAAGTGTTTTAATTCTGTGTAGCTAAAACATGCTAAAACAGATTGGCAAAAAAAACATGTTTGACATCATATGTTTATTTTTTGATTGGTACGATCTGAGTTTGTTTGAAATAAATTGAAACGAAAGGCATCTAAAAAATTGATTGTTTGGCATTAGTTTCCCCATAAGAATTGACATTTATCACCCTTTTCAGACATACCATATCCAGTTGGTTAGTTAAACCCATATCATATCCCCGTTCTTATATTATATGATGTTCCCACAACATGGTTATATAAGTTATATAGTTGATTCCCACCCTGCTTTTGAAATCATCATTTTTCTACGGACGCACATATGTGTATATATATATATGTGTGTATATATATATATAAATTATAATATTGTTGACATGTGATTTTGAAAGCCCACCATTTGAAGATCATGTTCGGAACTGGAAAAAATACTGTTATCCTTCTTTTGGTATGTTTCCCGTAGGGTAGCCATGAGATACTGGTATATAAACTATGGTAACACCCCCACTAATAAATTGAGCCTTTTCTGCATCTCTTTTCGTTGTTTTTTGGGACCACACCTTGATTCTTGCCCCCCAGGTGTCCATGCTGCGGCGTGCTTTTCAAGCCACGGAACATCTGGGATCTTTGACAGTGGTCTTAGTGCCTGGGCGGAGGTGACTGGAGGATGAATGTGAAAATGTCCATTGTTTAATAACCTATATAGTCCAATGGACAGTAATATATAATTAATAGAACATCTAAACATCATGGTAATATGGCCAAAAGACTTGTTTCATTATTTTAAATAACCATTTATATAATAAATGACAATTTACCCTCCGGTAAACTAAGTATAGGCAAAATGGAAAATCACAATCTTTAATATCTTTAATAGGTAAATCAACTATTTCAGTGGGCCATTTTCAATAGCTATGTTAACAAATTACCAGATGGTACTAGAAAATCATGGTTACAGTCATAGTGGTCAATACATGCTTAATAATTGTTAATAATGGTCAGTCGAATTGCCATCAATCAGTCGGGTTGCCATAGTGATGGGTACTGGAAAATCACCAGCAATGGTTGCCATCACCGGAGGATATGTGGATGAACTATGCGGGATCTTAAAAAACCAGCTTTTGGTGGTCCCCCCCTCCCACCCCAAGATGGTGATGGTCCATATATGTATATGTAATTAAGTTTTATATATATATATATATATAAAAAATATATATATATACACACGTTCGTGTATGTTCAATGGTATATATATATATATGTACCCGGTAAATCAACGAACTAAATGCCCATGTTCAATAGCTTTTTGTATGTTTACCAGGTCGGGTACCTATTTTGTATTCCCATTGCTGGCAAGGCAGTCATGGACAATTCCACCCGCATCCATGGCAAACTGCACCCCATGTGCCTGGGACTCCGATAGGCAAACGGTCCAAGTTTCGAATGCCCGGAACATCGGAACTGGATCTGGTTGGTGGTTTGGAACATGAATTTTATATAATTTGATGACTTTCCATTCAGTTGGGGATTTCATCATCCCAACTGACGAACTCCATCATTTTTCAGAGGGGTAGTTATACCACCAACCAGGTATGGTTAAAAAAAAACGGGAAAGCAGATGGTACACCACTTGATTTTGGATGATTTTGGTGGCATGTGGCACGTCATTCTTATGCCGATGATTGCCGATGGGGGGAAGGAAAAGTCATTACCCTCTGGTAATTTAACGTAGCTATGGAAAATCACCATTTTTACTAGGGAAAACAAACTATAAATGGCCATTTTCAATAGCAAACTGTTAGTTTACCAGAGGGTAGATGATACATTTATCCATGATTTATCCATGGTTGTTGGCTATGTTCCATTATTGACCATTATTAACCATTAATTAACCATTGGTATATCCCATACAACATCTATATATTAGCACACCATGATTTCCTGCTACAGTATTCCCTGCAATCAATCCAGTGCCTGTTGATTTCAAACGGGGATTTCATCGAAGAAAGATTACCTGTTGACAAGGATACACGGTGATGATTGGTTGATAGTGATTTAGGGTCAGACAAAATAGTTATATATATATGCATTACTATATATATATATATATTTCTATACGTATATATATATAATTTTGTCATAATCCACGATCTGATTTGTATGAAGCAAATTATATTCATGGAGAATTATGAGAATTGACATGTCAGATCCAGTAGCTCAGTAAAAACAACATGAAATGATCACCTTTGCGGGGTGTTCATGTGATGTCCAATCCACAAAATATAACAAACACCCTCAAAAGATAGACACATAATTCACTAATTCACCACTGGTTTTATCCCGGAATCATACATAACTATACTTTTCGATCCTTTACTGGGTTTGCTATAACGGCATATCTGTATAGTCTTTCTTGAAACCTCTGCATGCCAGCACGGCAGGCTGTAACCATCCTAATGTTCAACTTACTGGTGCGTTTTACGTAGGGAATTTTCGGGAATGATCCAATTGCTAACTATCATTTTCATAATCCCAGCCCCAGCAACCCATCCAGCAACCCTACGTTTAGCAGCAGTACGTCAAGGATCGCCATCATTACGGTCGGGGATTGCGAGCTCGTGGTCCTTCGCCGGGTACATGGCAGTAGAGCCTAGGAAGCAGTGGCGTGAGAGCCCTTGGAGTTGATGATCACATGGGGGTTAATGCCATCTTGCACCAATAATACATACATGCATGCATACATACATGCATACATACATACATGCATACATGCATGCATGCATACATACATGCATACATACACACATACATACATGCATACATGCATACATACATGCATACATGCATACATACATGCATACATACATACATACATACGTACGTACGCACGTACATACATATATATATATATGGATATTATACATATTACATATATATATATATGGATATTATACATATTACATATATATATTATGTATTATATTCTATTTTTATATATATATATATATATTTACATATCGGCGAATCTTAACCCATGATTTGGTAATCCCTAGTGACCAACGAGCATAGCAACAGATAGATAGAGCACTGCTCAGATGATCCGTAGCCAAATATCGAGCGGCTGAGTGTGCTTGACTTATCATTCAGGTGACTGTTCCAACCTTGGTCAACCCATCGGCAGAACATGCTGCTTAACCAGACGTTTGACACTTTTGCTGGGTTGGTGTTGTGCGTGTATACGGCTTAAGGGCAAGATAGTGCAAGGTTGGTTTATCATGCTTCGGCATGTTTTTTAGCACCACGCAAATTGCAAAATACACGAAACTAAGGGTACTGCAAATGGTTAGTACCCCCTAAAATGACGAGCACCACCCACATGGCTAACACTAGCCAAAACTCTGCCACTCACTGTGTCCCGCACAACCACCCACACATTATGTTTTTCGTCATTTGAGCATACCGTTTGTATGAACTATTTCCTTTGATCGTTACTAGGAATATATGTGCATACGTGTGTGTGTGTGTGTGTGCATACATTGATAAACACAATTGTAGGTATAGATATATGTGCATCACGGTCATTTATACAACGACTCCTGTCACTGTATATAATTATATACATGACTCGGAATGACACTCATATTTTCTTGCTATTGATTTGCCATTGTTGATATTGTTGATGTTCGCGACACTTGGCATATTGTATGAATGTATTATAATATATCCCTATAACATATATATATATATATATATGTCACATGGTTTTCCTCTTTTGGGATCCACTTGGCTTCATGAGTATACTTGGCTTCATATTGATCCCCACTTATAGTGTTACTTGACCTATCAAACATGGTGATTTCTAGAGGCTGGTTGGTGAAAAATCCCATATCATATCCCAATTGATAATCCTATTGAACCACCATTATATCATATCATATCATATCATATCATATCAAGTTGGTTGGTTATATGCCATATCATTTCCCCTTTGATATCTTATTAAACCACCATTCGTTTATGATTTAAATGTATTTTATACAATATGAACTTTGTTATCTTACTAAACCACCATATACAATCACTGATTGGTGGTTTCAAACATGAATTTTATTTTCCATAATATATGGGACGTCATCCTTCCCATGGACCAATATTGCAAGATGGTTAAAACCACCAACCAGATTATTATTAACCATCATTAACCATTAATAATAACCATTAATTTATATTAACCATTCTTAACAGTATATCAACAATAATGGTTGATTTTCTCATAAAACAGTATATTAACCATATAATATGAACAGTATATTAACCATATAATACCCATTAATATTAACAGTTGATTTTCTCACAAAACAATAATCCCTCCCCACGTCCCCTCTGGATTCCCCATGGATTGCACCGCGAGGATCGCCCTTGGAATTGGTGTGTCATACCGAGATGCAACGGATCGACGGCCACGCGCAGACACCGCTGCAGCTGGCACGGGTCGATGAACCTCGGTCAGTCAGTTTTCGACCCGGAAAGCATCGATTTTCCTGGTGGCTTCCTATTAAAATGGTGCTTTTTATAATGGAATTTCTTATTGAATGGACATGGATTACATAATTCTACCAGGAATTTTATTAATTACATAAGAAACTATAATGGAAATTCTTGTCAAGATGGCGAATGATCCAGTTCTATGGTTTAATGGATTGGTTTAAGGCAAATTGTTAACCGGAAATCATCGATTTTCCCATTAAAAACATGTTTTCCCTTAAACTAATCCATTGTTCAGTGGAGAGTGCCGAAGTATTGCGAAATTTGTATTTTGCGAAATTCGTAAAGATAACTCCTACGACTTACTAAGCTGAAAAAGATGGGGGATGAAGACTCCAGAATTTTTCGGTCCCAGCTTTGAGGAGATGATTTATAAACATTTATACAATGTGGGGCCCCCCAGTGATGTGAATGTTGGTTTAGATTCGCCCCAGTAACTATAGTAGTAACTAGTTCGTTATAAGTATTATAAGTACCATAAACCATAGTGAAATTGGAGTTATGTGCACCAACTGAACGCTATCTTGGGGCCTCACATTTATAAACTATTTGGGGGGGCACCACCGTGTGGAAAATGAAGATTATGAAATATTATGGACGAAAATGGGTTTGATATGCAAAGATAGGAGTTTTGATTATTGGACTTCAGATTGTTTTGACAAGAGCCATTGAGAGAGTCTGAAGTCAAGGGGGCCCCGAAGTTATGTTTTCATGATAAACTGGTATATAATTAAGATATATAGCTAAACACTATATAGAAGATCCGTGAGGTAATGAGGGACGGCCAAATTTTCTGAAACACCCAGCTGAAGGATTTGAATGATTTAACCATATTTAACCACTCTTAAATAAGGGATTAGCCCATCCAAAGAATGGGGATAGATAGCGTATAGAATCGTGGGAACCCTAAGTAATCCCATCCCCAATGTTTGGGATTTCACTTAATGTATACAGTAGATCCAACACAATCGAACTTCATTGGGAACGTATCGTTCTTTAACGGGGAACATGGATTTTTGCGATTGGAAAATGATGGAACATGTGAATTTCCCCAGACTAGACGTTCCCTGGATCGATTGGCTCTAATCTCATCTCCCAGTATACTAAACAATACTAAACACACAATGTGAGGCCCCCAAGATAGCGTTCAGTTGGTTTATAACTCCAATAACTATGGTTTATAGTACTTATAACTATAGATAACTATAGTTACTGGGGCGAATCTAAACCAACAAACATAACCGGGGGGCCCCACGTTGCATCTAACATCTTCCTCCTTGAAACGACAAAAATACCGTGGTTTATCGTGGTTTCATCCCTTACACAGCCATGATTTCGTAGGATTCTTAGGGGGGATGTTTTCAAAAAAACTTGCGAGTCTCCATGAATGTCCCATGAAAAATCACGATTGATAGATGATTTTTCATAGTTGCCTTAACCTCTCCCCCCACCGTGCGTACCCCCAGATCAAAATGGAAAACCATGGGTTTTGTGCACAAATATGTTTTTTTTCCCCCATGAAATGCATTAAAAGTCCCATTGAATCCCTATGTTTCATACATAAACCCTGCCTGAAACCCCATGATTTTCACTCTGAAATCCAATCTGATATAAATCCCATTAAGCCTATGAGATCCCGTTAAATCCCATCAAATCTTACCCGGCCTGGTAAACATACAAAAAGCTATTGAACATAGCCCAGTCGAAATAGTGGATTTTCCCAGCTATAACATGGTGGAGCTTTCCATAGTTTTTTGTACAGTTATGGCCACTTATTAGTTATAACTGGTTATAAGTGGGATTATACATTTTATAAATGGGGTTATAAGTACTTATAACTGGTAAAGGGCCATAACTGGGTTTTCCATAGTTTTTTGTATGTTTACCAGAGGGTACTCTAGGTTTATCACCTCAGTTGCGATCCCTTGCAGGATCGAATCGACCCCGATTTCAGTGAGGAGTTAACACTGGAAGTCATCGAACGCGGCAGCGCGGTGCATTGCGTCCGGGAACTCGGTGGAGCGAAATCGGCAAGATGGGAGTCCAATACATTGCTTCCCCCAGCTGAGGATCCCCCAGCTGAGGATGAGATTTTTTTTCATGTACCCGATATGGTTATGACTAACAGTTTGCCATGGAAGCCATGGCCCATAGAAATAATTAGATGGTTTACCTATTAAAAATTGTGTTTTTCCATGGCTATGTTAAATAACCAGAGGGTAATAGTCATGTGTTCTTGAAGTTTGGTTTCGATAGTGGGGACGCCAATCTTGAAGCAGGTACCATACCATTTTTTGACGTCTCAGGGTCAGCATCACAGCATGCCACAGCTGATTTTTGTAGACAAAGGTCTCCGCCTATGAGGGTGACATTGTCATCATGGGCAGCGATGGCGTTTTCGACAACCTGTGCGCCGACAGCGGTTCCGGGGGGTCATCCCCATGGAATGAATGTTGTTGCTGGTTTATTTTTGAAAAAAAAAACGCATCAGGACGTCACTCGAAAAATGATGGCTATAGTAAATGTATGTAAATGTAAATACTGTATGTGATGTAAAGGTGAGGTAGAATGATCATTCGATTGATTTTCAATTTCGGCGGATTAACATGTTTTGGGGGGCCTGTTGTGTTGTTTTTGCAGCCAGGTACCTAGATGAGATCATGGAACTGGCCAACAACATGCAGCCTGGCGCGCGATGCATTGGATGGATGGATGGATAATGTATCTATGTAAATTATATAAGTCAGTACGCATAGCTAGATCATATATCGTTCGGTAATTTAACATAGCTGTGGGCAATCACTATTTCCCCACCTGCCAGGTGAGGGTTGTTAGATTTTATCTAAGTTGCCTGGTCCTCCTCCTCCTCCTCCTGCCGCCTCCTCCTCCTCCTCCTCCGCCTCCTCCTCCTCCTCTCGTTGTCCTCCTCGTCCTCCTGCTCAACTGCGACTCGCGATCCACAGTGTTCGCTGTCTGACCTCAACCACGACCATCCACGCCCAGTGTTCCCTGCCGGACCTCAACCACGACCATCCCCGCCCAGTGTTCCCTGCCGGACCTCAACCACGACCATCCACGCCCAGTGTTCCCTGCCGGACCTCAACCGCGAGTATCCCCGCCCAGTGTTCCCTGCCGGACCTCAACCACGACCATCCACGCCCAGTGTTCCCTGCCGGACCTCAACCGCGAGTATCCACGCCAAAAGATATGCCACATAGAGTGCCAGAAGATATGCCAGATAGAATGTTAGAAGATATGCCAGATAGAATGCCAGAAGGTATGCCAGATAGAATGCCAGATAGAATGTCAGCTAGAATGCCAGAAGATATGCCAGATAAAGTGCCAGAATGTTTGCCAGATAGAATGCCAGCAGATTTGCCAGATAATATGCCAGAAGATATGCTAGATAGAATGCCAGATGGAATGCCAGAAGATTTGCCAGATAATATGCCAGAAGATATGCCAGATAGAATGCCAGATGGAATGCCAGAAGATATGCCAGAACATATGCCAGAAGATATGCCAGAAGATATGCCAGAACATCTGCCAGAAGATATGCCAGAACATCTGCCAGAAGATATGCCAGGTAGAATGCCAGAAGATATGCCAGATAGAATGCCAGATCGAATGCCAGAAAATATGTCAGATAGAATGCCAGAAGATTTGCCAGTAACAAAATGTATAAATGTCATGGTGGGGATCACACGAAGTAAAGTAATTTTTCATTGGCACATCACCGTGATATATCTGTAAAGGGATCATGTTCCATAGCTACGCTCAATTTCCAGGTCCGATCCGTTCAATCGGAGGACTGGTCATGTCTGAGAAGTAACCAGCATCCTGGGTAGAGGGTAGATGGGTGCAATTCTGTGAGAGGTTCATGGTGCTGAACCGTGTGTTGCCTCAGGTTAATGGACCAAACATTAGCCATGTATCTCCATCAGCAATAGCAAGAGCAGAACATCATACCCTGAGGAAATGCATGTCTTTGCCGTGCGAACAGGATCTACAGAAATGGTAGAGGTTTCGCTATATCTTTCAATCCGAGAGGTTTCCTAAATTGGGAGTACCCCAAAATCATTCGAAAGTTGGTTATGATCAGGAAAATCAATGGTTTGGGGTAGCCATATTTTAGGACCCCCCCGGCAATATCTAAACTTTCATAAAACATTTATTTGCAGTTGAACTACATCCTACTTTCATAAACTACCCTCTGATAAACTAACAGTTTGCTATGGAAAATCACAATCTTTCATAGGTAAATCATGGTAAATCAACAAACTAAATGGGTTATGTTCTATAGCTATGTTAGTTTACCAGAGGGTATATTTTGGTGGTATATCCCCTGACATAGCCCTTACATAGTGCTTATATATGTTAGGTACCTAAGATTTAGGTTCCTGAAATGGCCATTGAAACTATATCATTGAACTTCTCCATCTGCAGTTTTTCACTTCTGGTCCATCGGTCCGTCAAGGCTTCCGCCGCACGCGGGCACATATCCAGCTGCTGCGCTGCATGCCTTATCTCAGCGCAGCTTGGTGTCGGTGGTTGCCTCTATCCGAACATAGGAAATAATAGTCAGTCAACAATAGTCAATAATTCAATGGATTGGTTCAAGGGATTTTTTACAGGAAAGTCCATTATTTGGTGGTAAAATCTATGGTTTCCTGTAGGTTTTCCCTTAAACCAATCCATTGAATAATAGTCAATCAACATCAACAATAGCAAACAAAAACATAGCAGTATGAAATGGGTTCTATTCGCTTTGGTCAGGTTCATATTTCCCATTCACAACTTCGAATATTTAAAGGGTCAATGAACAATTGTCAATAATAGTCAACAGCACATGATTAACAGACACCCATAATAGTCAATGAACCGACGCTAACTCATAAATTAGTCAATAAGCATGTCAAAACTAGTCAATAATAGTCAATACACATTCAATAATAACCACAATAGCAGTCAATAGTCAATAATAATCAACAATTGTCAATAGCTAATATTACTAAACGTCAATAATCATAATAACCATGAACCGTAATTCTTTATAACCCCCATTAACTAGTCCGTTGTACCTACCATAAACCATAGAATTCAACCACTTGTAAGGCAACTGAACGCTATCTTGGGGGCCCCATCCTGTAATGATCTGTATTACCCTCTGGTAAACATACAACAAACTATGGAAAATCACCCATGTTTAATGGGAAAACTCATGAAAACTCACTATAAATGGCCATGTTCAATAGCTATAACTTGACATAACCAGAGGGTAAGAACCCCAAAAAAATGGGAAGATCCACCACAGGCATCGTGGAGCTCTGTCATGCCAAGACTCGACCGATGCCCAACGGACTTCTACCCGATGCACCCATCGGACGAGGCACCGAAATTCCTTGGGGATTTTGTTTAGGACCTTAAAATGGAGGTACCCGGTACTAGCTATGGAAAATCACAATTTGTCATAGGTAAATCAAATATAAATGATTATCATTGGGGCATTTTCAATAGCTATTAGCTATCTTGAATTACCGGAGGGTTATTTATATATATACATATACTTGGGGAGTAATTATAGATAGGCTTTATGGATCTTTATGGTAGGTACCTCCAATCAATCGGTTCCTGAAGTGGCCATTGATTCGTGGCCTTGCACCGCTTGAGGATCTGGCCATTGATTTCGAAGAAAAATGAGCTCCAAAGTCTGTGCGGTTATGTTTTGACCCTCATCCACGTGTACCTACAATGTGGGGCCCCCCAGTTATAAGTTGGTTTATAAGCCCCAGTAACTATAGTTATAAGTACCATAAACCATAGTTATTGGAGTTATAAACCAACTTAGCTATCTTGGGGGCCTCACATTGTAGCAATAAGCAAATCTTGAAGATGAACATATGGCAACCTATGGTGTCAAACGCGATCGCACCAGCCTCCAAAAAACGACCTCTGCCAGGAGGAAAGAAGGACGACACCTCATGTGTGGTCGCGGAAGTGATTGAATGGACCAAAGAAGCTCGCCTGTGTCCCTTTTTAATTCCAGATCTTGTGAATTTCTGCAGAGGCTTTGCTGAGGCTCCCGTTGGATCCATGTTGGAAAAATATGGAAAAATACTGGCTGGTGGTTTGGAACATGAATGTTATTTTTCCATATATTGGGTCATCCCAACTGACTTTCATATTTTTCGGAGGGGTTGAAACCACCAACCAGAATGGACATGGGTTTGTTTGAACATGGGATACACCTAAATTCCACGATCTATCATCAATGTCCCCCTTTTTTTGATCTGCAAAACCAAGGTACGCATGCAAGGTTCACCGTCTCACCGAGGGTTCCTTCAATTTCTTAGAAGGATTGGCCTCAAGTATCATCAATGCCTCTATTGACCACACAATTTTAGGGGTATGCGGTATGCACCATGTTCAGACAACCCCATATGAGCACCGAGCATATCGCCCTAGGACTTGCAGAAACTCTGGACTCCGAAGCCGATGCTTGGCTGTTTTCGGGTGTGGACCATCACCGGGACTAGGAGCCTTTCCAGGAAACTTCCATCTGATGTGGTCATGGGGGTACCCCAAAATGGATGGTTGAGAATGGAAACACCTATGAACATGGATGATTTGCGGATATTCCCATGACTGAGGAAAGCTCCATCTGGATCTTTGATTTGGGTTTTGTCAAAGGACATCTAGGAAAGAGCTTGCACTTCCCCCCGCAAGCCGTCATAGTTCCAGGACCTTTTCTTTAAGGGAGGAGCCCCTGTAGCTGCGACATACCATAAAATCCCATGATGCCAATGAGTATCATGACGCCAACCTGTTGCTTCTACTTGGTCTCCCATTACCCTCTGGTAAACATACAACAAACTATGGAAAATCACCTATGTTGACATAACCAGAGGGTATATCCCATGTTTATCCATTTTCACTATGAATCGCCATGTTTCCTAGGTGCATCAGCGATTTTTCTGGGTCATTGCGATTCAGCCATGGCGATAAATGGCCGGAGGGTATCCAAGTTCTGGTGAAAGTCCGGGTTTCTGTGGAAACACCAGAAGTGTTTTGGTCAGAGAATGCCTCATTATTTGTTGCTGCAAACCCACCTTTTTAATACTTTTTAATGGATTGGTCGATCTATAACTTGGTTGACTAGGGTCAATGGATGTCAATTACAAGGGTTGTTTATGCACACACACACACATATGCATACAATGATAAATATGAATGAATAAATAAATAAATAACTAGTATTAAATAAATAATAAATAAATAAATATATATATATGCATTAGAAACTATAATATATATTATAGCTAATGGGATTCACATCACATGGGGATTATCGTGTCAGGATGCCAAGCACTTGGCCCAGCTGGCTGCGATCGCTTGGCCTGGGGCCTCCACATGGCGTGGGCTCGATCTTGAGCTTGGATAGCTGTGGCGCGGCGGAACCGGGGACCCCCGGGGACCCCCAAGGAACTCGGTTTTTTTTTGGAGGAACATGGTGGATTTCATAGGATTTCATAGGGATTTACGACCAAGCATATAGAGTCATATAGACTTATAGGGGGATTTGATGGGACTTATTCATAAGAAGCGGGGCGGGGACCTCTTATCAATGGGAATACTTATCAATGAGAATATTAAACAGCAATCTAGTGAACTAAAATGTGAATGCAATGGGAATGTCATGGAATATAAACTGTTCACCCTTCGGGAATCAAACATGGCTAGCCGGGAAATCCACCATCAAGGTTTTAATGGGACAATTTTGATCTATACAGAGGGTTCCATTGCTATGTTTGGTTGCTGGAGGGTATCACTTCCTAAGTCGGTTGAACTTCCAAGCACTGAAACCTCATTGAAGTCACAAAAAAGCAAATGGAAAAACGATATTACTTGAACCTTTACGGAAGCCTTATTCTGTTTGGGGCAGGAAAAGCATGCTGTAATGAAACATTAAGAAAAGGAACGAACACAATTCTTGCTTTGGAGAGGGCGATGGAGAGAGAAATTCTTGCTTTGAACCGTTTTTTGATCTACGTAACAAGGCCTAAGGCAATGGTAGATGAATCTCGTATATATATATATATGCATATATATATATATATATGCATATAATTGGTTTGTTTCCATTGACAGGTTTGATAATTGCATTACTCCATTATCCAAGTCGAAAACCATGGCAAACCGGTTGCTTTAGTGTTCAACTATGTCTCTGTAACTATGCGTTGTCGAGGGTCAACCCACCAAAAATCCCAAAACAAAGAAGGCAAGACTAGATGCAATGGGGAATGGCTAACGTCCGGGCATCAATTTGAAAAGCACCAGTTATTACCATACCTTTCCGCCTGAAGGAGTGATGTATCACCCTTCCATTTCTATGATTGTTTGAAACAGAGTTGCTAGCAGCCCGAAATCATGGTTTTGGCCATGATTTCCCCAGGTGCTGCTAACATCGCCGAAAACTTTGCGGTAAATCTATTCAAACATTTGTGTAACATTGTGGAAAAAACATAGGTTTCCCCATGGTTTTACCCAAACCTCTGTCATGTTGACTGTTACAGATACAATCCCATACCGGCCCATACCACTCCCATGTGCGAAACTCTAAGACATGGGTGTCCCACATGTGTTTGGGGGGTCATATCAATGTGGATTGATTCAATGGAAGATGTACAGAACACAATTCTCTTTAACTATGTTTACCACCGAACATAGGCATTTCCTGCAGAAAAGACCGTGAACCAATTGGGCTGCTACCATAAACCCTAGAGTTATACTAGTTACAAACATTATATATAAACCAACTTAGCTAACCCAAGCCCAATCTGCAGGCACTACTTTGGTATAACTTCCCTACAAACTCTGCCATGTTCCCATCATCTTCACATAAATATCTTGGTTAAAATCAACATGTTGGGTTTAACATATTAAAGGCACTATTTTACCAATCATCATCATCATCATCATCATCATCATCATCATCATCAGCAGCAGCAGCAGCAGCATAATCATCATCATCATCATCATCATCGTCATCATCATCATGTTTATCACCACTGTCAATATCATTATCATCATCATCATCAACATCATGTTCATCATCATCATTATCACAATCATCAATATCATTAGCATCATTAGCATCATAATCATCACCATCATCGTCATCATTCTCAACATCATCAGCATGATCATCACCATAATCATCGTCATCATCATCATCATCATCATCATCATCACCATCCCCCACGAAGAGAAGTTGATGTTTCTATGAGATTCAGCATATTTGCCACAGGGGGTGGAGGATTCTTTGATCCCTTATGATGACATGTTGATGCTATGATCAGATTTAGCATATTTGTCAAAAGGGGGTGGTGGATTTGTTGACCGCTTATGAAGATAAGTTGATGTGATTACCCCATTTAACATATTCGTCAGAGGGGGTGGTGGATTTTGGCCCCTTATGAAGAAAAGTTGTTGTTGTCTCTTTTTCAACATAGTTGTCAGAGGGGGTGGCGGATGTTGATCTCTTATAAGACAAGTGGGTGTGATTATCCCATCCAACATATTTGTTTTAGGGGGTGGTGGATTTTTGATACCGTATGAAGATGAGTTGATGTGATTAATCCATTCAATGTATTCGTCGGAGGGGTGGTGGATTTGTTGATCCCTCTTGAAGATAAGCTGATGTGATTACACAATTCAACATACTTGCCAAGAAGGGGGTGGTTTGTTTGTTCTTCCTTTTGAAGATAAGTTGATGTGATTACACCAGTCAACATATTTGCCATAGAGGGCGGCGGATTTATGATTCCGTTTGAATACAAGAAATACAAGTTGATGGTATTACCCCATTCCACATGAGTTGACACTGGTGATGGTGATGACGATGATGATGATGATCATCATCATCATCATAATCATCATCATCATGGTCATCATGATCATGATGATGATGTCATGATCGTAATCACGGTGATAATGGTATTAATGATGACGAGACCATGGTGGTGATGGTGATGATCATCATCATGATGATGAAATGATGAAATGATGAAATGATGAAATGATGAAATGATGAAATGATGATGATGTTGATGATGATGATGATTATGATGATGATGATGACGACGATGACGATGACGATGACGATGATGATTGTAAGTGTGGAGCAACGTCTGGGTTGGACCGAACATGTTAGATACACTATCTTACCAACCCTTGATTGATTCATACAGGTAAACCAAGTTCAACATTATACTTAACCACCATTGACTCATAGATTTCATAGTTAAACACTATCTCAACCACCATCCTTTGCATCCTAACCTGGCCATCCTCCATTGCATCCGACAAATGTCTGCAGGTTGTGTGGCCTCCTACGAATCCGACAACGAGTTGGACTGGCCCGAAGACCTTCCCCGCCGCCGCGGCAAGGCCACCCCTGCGGCTGCGTTTCAGCCGGAGGACGCGGGGAGCGCGGCAAGCGCGGCAAGCGCGGCGCGAGGCTTGGGGGATCTTGGGATGTTGGGATTTTTTTAAAGGATTTTTTGAAGGTTTTACTAGGAAGAAATGTATCAATTTTGTGTATTTTGCATGTTTTTACTGGATTTTATAGAGTTTTTACTGGGAAGAATTGCGGGGGAAATGTATCATTTTTGTGTATTTTGTTTTTTTAATTGATTTTATGGATGTTTTTACCCTTTGGATCCCTTTGGTAAATTAGCAACCCAATGACTGGCAGGGTCCACCTGAATTTAGTGGAGGTGTTAATGCGAAAAAATAAATGTGATTCAAGAATTCCCGTATCATTAGTAGTGATTAGTGATTTGATGTGGCAAACGCAATACCATATGTTTTTTCTCGGAAGAATGAGTGGGAACTTGTATAACGTTTGGGTATTTTTGTTTTTATACCATCAGGTTTCTAAACATGAAAGTGGGGATTTGATGGTATTTGTGCATCCCACCTCTGAACATGTATATTAGACATTATCAAAAAAACGGATGTGTTTTGGAAGGGACGGAGAAATAAAGTAGTTCGGGAAGGTGATGTTTGTATGATGGCCGTACATGATAGAAGTTACCTTCTTTTTTGTTTTATTTTGGTTGGGGTTGCTGTACATGTGTGTATGTATACATTTGCCTCATTTGACACACTGACACACTGTACTTTCCATGTTTGTTTAGTGTGTTTGTTAGTTTGTTCTACCATTGTTTGTCATTATTACTGGATGATATGCGCAATTCTGTGTTGTTACAATGATACCTTGTATTACAGTTACATGCAGGAGATTTGATAACATGTCTTCTTTTCTAGAATTATTTCGAGTATTCGCGAGTAAAGTAGTGAAATGCATTGCGATACATTGTGATCCTACATTGTATGATCACCATTTAAAAGGTATCATGAGATCATAGTTCCAATCACTTTTTTTGCTGGGTATATCTCCCATGATATCCCATGATACAATATACCCAAAAAGTGCTTGGTCATGGTTTGTTTATGTTCTTTAAAATCAATGATATCCACTTATATTCAGTTGATTTCAGTTGTTTGCGGTTATATTCCATGATACCCCAGCAACATGTTTCTTATTTACCCCTAAGATGCAGTCAAATTGATGCCCCCAGTTATCTTAATGTTTGTTGGTTTGTAACCCCTTCGCTAACAGTTCAATATATCTATCATGGACCCTATAAAATATGTTATTTTTACACCAACTTAGCCATCATTTGTAGTGATCACCTTTCTTATATATCCAATTCTATCCAGGTCCATCCGGTTGCAATACTTAATGTATCCCGTTGAATCACCATACAATGGAAAGTGACGTGTTTTAACTTCAAGTAACTTGACATATATTCCCTGAAAATAGGCCTTGAACATAGCCGATCTTGAATTGAGTAGAAACTCAGCTTCCAAGCCCCTGTTTGGCGGGGTCTATGTTGATTTGGGGGATGGTAATCATTATATAAGTTTGGTTATTATACAAAGTTATATGTATATATTATTAATATAGTTATACATATATATATAATATGTGTGTGTGTCCACAAATATTTATGACATGTGCATATATAGATCTCTCTCTCTCTCTCTGCGTGTGTGTGTTTGTATATATTTCCCCCCATCACCCCCCCTAAAATCCCAGGAAATCCCCTTTTTTCCTGGTAGCTTCCCCCTGAGGCCTCAATGGTTTCCGCCCAACCGACCCCATGCCCGCCGCCGCGGCGCGCGGCGGCAGCGGCGGCAGCGTGCCGCGCTACAACGGCGTCGCGCCGCAGGCGGCGCCCCAGGCGGCGCCCCAGGCGGCACCTCGGGCCGCTTGGTACAACTGTTGCTTTTGGTACTGTTAACTATGGAAAATCACCATTTTGAATGGGTAAATCAACTATTTCCATTGCCATGTTCAATAGCAAACTGTTAGTTTACCAGAGGGTATGTAATGTCTAACTATAATAATGTCTAAACCGAGCTACCTGGAATTATTGAGTGTGTATGTATATATATATATATGGAATAATCATACTATGTTGTTAAAACAATAGTAAACCATCCCCCCAATCACCATGTTTGGTGATATAAACCATTCCCAGTCATGGGTGGTTTATGTCATTGTTTTATATACCCACATTAATGTTATAGCAAAAATAAACTAGCCATAGAACTTGATGGTTTCAATCCCACCAATAAAAAATTGTCAATTTGTGGTAAGCACTGTTGTTTTACCAACATTTGTAGCTATTGAATTGCTATTGAGACTTTTCGAGGGCAGATTTCAACTACTTACCAACTGTTTCAATGGTAACGTGGACCTTGTTGGACAATTTTGATTAATTTATGATATTCAACAATCTTAAAATATGAAGTTCAGGAGCACTAGAAGTTCAACTTTGAGCTGGGAACCAAGCAGCTGCGTCCAGTTGCTGGTTGCCATTTACGAACTGGGACTGGTTAGTGGTGTTGGTGGTTTAGCTTGAAAAAAAGGTAATTCACCAACCAGAAGCTTGGATATCTGGTAAACATGATTATATGTATAAGCAATGATTGGGTGGATGCAAAGATAACATATTTCTGTTCCATACCGGTATCTCCCTGGTAATCAAACGTGGTTCGATGGAAGATCCACCGTTTAGGTCGATGATCTTCTTATCAAAACCTTCATTTATATTCGCCCATATGTCCCCTGGTGTTTCCACATGTTTCCACATTTTTACAGATCTTACAGGGGATTTTGATTCCCAAAGAGTGAAAAGGCGAAGTCCAAGGCACAAGTTCGCCCGAGGTTCCTCAGGCTCCGCAGGCGCCGCAAGCCTTTGGGATGCCACATTCCTCGGCGGCACCCTGGATGGCTCCTATGGCTGCGACTTGGCGGAAAGAAATCCACTTGGGTCTGGAACTACTTACCCTCCGGCAATCTAACAGTTTACTCTTAAAAATGACCCATTGATAGTTGATTATGTTGATTTAGCCATTAAAAGTGGTGGTTTTGTTCATCGTTTTGTTAGCTTACCAAAGGGTAACCTGGATGGCAATTGGATTCATATATGATTTGCCCTCGTGACTCCAGGTGTGTAAATCCTTCGTCCAGGAAGCTCCCTCATTTTATGAACTCGGAGCTCAGAGCAAACAGTCCAAGCTAGGAACCCACTCTCAAAGATCACCAAGATGTCCAATTTTTCGAAACCCAGAAGCACAACTCTTTCCATTCATCTTCAACTCCCACAATCCATCCCCAGTTCGCCAGGCACCTGGTCATCCCTGCCAGATGTATCCCATGACTGGCAGCCTTCCCCATGGCTTCCCCGGCAGCTTCGTTCCAGCCGGCGCGCCGGGCGCGCCGCCGGGCGCGGCCGTGCCCTACGCCATGGCGCCGCCAACGGCGGGCGCCTTGGGCGCCCCCGGGCGCTGGCGCCACGTTCCACTGAGCGCCCTGAGCGAAATGTTAGAAGTGATGGATTCAGGGCGCCTCGGATGTTTGATGTGTGAACAGTGAAAAGTATTGAAAAAGTAAGTTTTGAATTTAGAAAGGTGAAGTGATGATGGAAAGGGATGATAGATACACGTAGCTGGATCAGCAAATGACCAAGAACAGATCTTTTTTAAATGGCTTTTGTCCAGTGACGACGTTTTTTGGACAGGTCCAGGTCGAAAGAAACGCACAAAATAATTACACCTCCAAAAGCCAAAGGCATTCAAGTGGTTTTGAGTTGATAGCTGCATGTCCAAAGTGGTGTTAGCAAACATCCCAGGTCATGCTTGAAACCGTCGAATTTTGAGGTGCGACTTTAATTGATAATGCAGCTGGAAAACAGAACGGTGCCGTCACGTGGACTCTTCCCTTTTGTACCACGTGGAGTGTGATGTTGCCTGATGTTGTATAGTTTTAGGCCACGTATCACCACTCAATTCTGTATGTATGAAACACTATATTATATTACATAATATTACAATATATTACGTTTATAGTTGATTATTTAATTATATGTGTTAGACAATACTTATATCCATATGTACGTAATGCATAGTCATGTGGGCAAAGTGTAGCGTTCTGAAAATGACCAAGGTAATCACTTTACAATGGTCTCAGATATCCTTCCATCAGGTCTTGTGAATTGTTTACAATCACGGTACTTTGTCCATGTTATGTGTACATACATTTTCACACACGCATACTGTATGTACTGCATATATATATATATATATAATCTAAAATCAATAGGACTCTCTCTCTGTCTCTCTCTCTCTCTCTCCCTCTCCCTCCACACATATATATATACATATACATGTAAACATGGGGATGGATCACAAGCTATGGCATAGCATGCTTAGCATACTTGGCTTTTGGGATGAACATCCAATGATCAGCTTTTGGTTTGGTGCCTCCAGGAGAAGTAGCTCCGTTTTCTGTGATGCACGGTGCCCTGTCTCAGCGGCGACCTTGAGGGCTCTTATAGGTCCCAGGTCGGGTCGATTTCAAGATGATTATAGGCAATAATAGCTATCAACAATAGTCAATAACTGGTTGGTGGTTTGGAACATTTGTTATTTTTCCATATATGGGAATTTCATCATCCCAACTGACTTCCATACTTTTCAGAGGGGTAGGTCAACCACCAACCAGATAATAGTCAATAGCTAATACTGAACATCAATAATCACAATGTTTGTATAGTTTTTTTTTTGCGAAAGAAGAACTGAACGTGACAATATCTAAGCTCAGCACATGGGTTGACAAGTCTTGCAAAACTCACCTCGTTTATGGTTCCTAAGGCCCTCATTGTCGGTACATTACACGATGACAATGTTGCTTTGCGGAAACAAATGCAGGATATCGTGGTTTTGAGCAAATTTCTACGGGGCAATTTGTTTTTTATAGGCCTATTTCTTGACAAGCTGAAAACCAACTGGCACGGTGTGAGCCCACTTCTTTCAATGTCAGGTCTTGATGTTGACCGTGTTCAGAGCGAACCGCAACTCCGAAAACACAAAAATGTCGGAAATCCTCTAAACATAGCTGTGAATCAAAAAAATAGATACAAAAACACGTATCTGGTTGGTATTTTGGCACATGAATTTTATTGTTCCATTCAGTTGGGAATAATCATCATCCCAACTGACTTTCACTCCATGATTTTTCAGAGGGGTAGGTCAACCACCAACCAAAAAACATTATTAACCATCATTAACCATATAATAACCATATAATAACCACGAATATAAACCATTATTAACAGTATATTAACCATTGACAGACGCCTTTCTGATTCGGATCACTTTGGGGTTCCCTGGAGCCGGGACTCCTCTGGCTCCAGGCAACTTCGGCAGGTGAGAAGCATCCTGGGAGTGCGGGGATTGCGTTTGGGGGACATTTTTAGATATTTATTGTTTTTTTTATTGTTTTTAATATATATATATACAATGTGGGGCCCCCCAGTTATAAGTTGGTTTATAAGCCCCAGGAACTATAGTTATAAGTACCATAAACCATAGTTATTGGAGTTATAAACCAACTTAGCTATCTTGGGGGCCTCACATTGTAGGATATACTGTATTTTGGAATTTTGGAAGATCACCAACGGTTCATGGGATTTAGATGAATGACTGGAAATGAGATGACTTAGATGACTGGATTAGTATGGATTAGTTGCTTTGGTTGCCTCGGCTTGCCGGACAGTTCTCCTACTTCGTTCGCTGATCCAGGATCACCCCACCAGGGGCACAAACAACTACTGTATACAGACACAAAAATGGGGGATGTGCCCCAAGAATTTCGTGAGATCTTTTTGTTGGGAGGTATAAATGGTAACCTCGGTGTGATTCGGTGTGTACCAATCGAATAATAGGATAGATATGGATAGATATGGAATGGACAAGTCCCATCAAGATGGAGGAGGGTTAACAGGATTCAACGATGTTCAGTGTTTTTTGTTTGGTGGGGTGAGGCCTGGTATTTAGAAGCTGAGACCCATCATATATATATATATTATGATCACATTATATTTATATGGGCATACATGGACATATTTCATCATCGAATTGCCTCCAAAAGGCCCTGAGCCATTGCTGGTGATCATACTATATAAAAACATCATAAATAATTGTTTATGGTTATATATTGTTTATAACCATATATAAACACAATAATCATTGCTGATGGTTATATATGCCATTGATTGTTTTTGTTCAATCCTGCTCTTTGCGAGCGTGAATCCAGCAGGAGAGAGACAGTGGTTTTTTGTGATCACCAGACTTAGAGAAAAACTACCGCTGCGTATTACACAGCTGGAAAGGGAAACCTCTCGACAGGACGGACAATGACCAATTCTTTTGGTTTATGCCATGCCATGACCAATTCTTTTGGTTTATGCCATACCCAAACTATGTTTAGATGTATTGTTTTGTGGTTTTTGTTTCTATGTATTTGATCACGACGTACATAAACGGCTTATCGAATGGGATTGTGTTACGGTCATCCAGACGTGTTATACCAAAGCAAATTTCACCATTGGAAAGTTAGGAGCATCATATCATGCCCAGACCTTTTATGATCATACTGCTTAATACAGATCATAAAACGTTTTTTGTGTCTCCATTGTAGTGTCTCCCTTTATGATCATACTGAATCATACTTAATTTTATGGTACCATTCAAGTTTTTTTTTGGGGGGGTTGGTCTCCATCTGGGGATGGGTCAAAACCTACTAATACCATTTTTAGGGGGATGAACATCCATTTACCAGCTATTTTGATGTTCACCAGGGGTACAAGGTTTTGACACACTGCCATCTAAATATCTAACAAAACAGCCCAGCGCCTTGGGAGTGGAAGCTGCAGGTGGATGGGAGTGCTCTGGAAAACTTGTCCGGTGCCATCTATGGCGACCTGGGCTACCATCCGACCTGGCAAGGATTGAAGCTAAAATACCCTCTGGTAATTTAACATAGCTATTGAAAATGGGATTTTAATGGGATTTTTATGGGATTTACCATCTGATAAACTAAGATATCTAGTGAACATGACCATAGAAATAGTGGATTTACCCATTGAAAATGGTGTTGTTCCATAGTTTTTTGTATGTTTACCAGAGAGTAGCTAAAATATGAATCAAATCATGACTCGACTGAACCCAATAGTGATGATCTGCTTGGTGGTTTGGAACATGTTTTTTATTTTTCCATAATATATATGGGATAATAATCATGGAAAATCCTTCCCATTGACGAAGTCCATCATTTTTCAGAGGGGTAGGTCAACCACCAACCAGGTTATATATATATACATGTCATGACCATCCTAAGTTGGTTTTGCATAATTTCCAAGCATTTTTGTTGCTAGTATAGTTCCCACTTTAGCTGGAAGCAAGTTTCATGTTCAAGTGGCAAGTGGCATTGGGGACTGAGATGACAACCCTATTCAATGAGCCCAACAACCAGCTGGGGATGAGAGTTGATGCACAGGGAACATGATGCTTAACATATGTTGGATAGTATATATTCGGAGAGTATGTATTTTCATTCCAATGTGTTAGTGATATCCTGAATTTGGATGATTTGGGATATGCTTGGGTCGGTTATGTTGCGCATGTTTGTGTTAGTGTGGGATAATTTAAGAATTGAGATGTTCTTTCCTGTTGGTGAAATGCTAGTGGTGAAAACCCTGCCCAAATGGGTGATCTATGTTTAAGCTTAACAGTGTCCAATCATGTCCACCCTTGAGTCACCATACCCATGTACATATAACTCTTGTATATGTATATTATATATATATTTATTTATTTATCAAGATGTACATATATGTATATATATATGGGCACACACATCTAATATATAATAGATATAATATAAATATTATATTTTATATATACATATTTATATACATATCCCCTAAATGTTTGGTTCAAAGAAACCCTGCTTGTCCTGGAGTGGCTAAAGGTGATGTCTATCACTGGTAGACATACAAAAAAAACTATGGAAAATCACCATGTTTAATGGGTAAATCCACTATTTCCATGGCCATGTTCAATAGTTATGTTAGTTTAGCAGAGGGTACACCCGTTTTCATTAAACATGATTCACCTTGTAACTAACCATTGATCCTGGATTGGTCAAGCCTAAAAAGGATCCTTTAGGGGCTTAAGTTGGAGTTGTTTTCTATAAATACCCTGTGGGAAAAGGATGGAAAAGGACATCTATGACCTATGAATCTTTGATCTACGATCATCTGCAATTGGGGAATCTTCGGGATAACCATACCAAATGTGATGTGGAGATGCATAGATTGCATCCCCAAAATCCTGTCAGAATTCCATGGCGCCATGTTGGGTTACCCACAGGACGGGGTTTGCCCCAGCAACACATGGGAACTATCATCCCGATGCCAACGGGTTTTCCAAAAGCTATTGAAAATGGTGATTTATAGTGGATTTTCCCATTGAAGATGGTGATTTTCTATAGTTTTTTGTATGTTTACCAGAGGGTACTTCTATTTTATTAGGGTTTCATTTAGGCTTTACAAAGGTAAAAAAGATCTCCCCGCCCCACGGAACAAATTGAACAAATAACCATACTTTTATAAAAGGGTTTCATTTAGGGATGCATACAATGTGAAGAAATGCAGATGGCTGCGGCAAGATGACATATGAACACTCCAGACTGGCCAAAAAAGTGAAAAAGGGGAAAAGGCCGAAACGCATGAAGTCCGCAGAGTGTTCACTTTTCCGACTGATTTTTTTGGAAATTTGTCTTGGGACATACTAATTCGCAGATGTACCAAGGTCGTAAAAAATTGCGCCTGCGCAGTGAAATGTGCCTCCTTAAGACGTTAATCAATCCGTTCCATGCAAATGCAAACCCTCAGTCCTGCCCGTTAGGTTGCCAGGTTGATTAACAGAGGGGTACCCCGCCCATGAAAACTAAACAATATGTCAATCAATGATATTCATTTGATAGTGAATGTATCAAACAGCCCCCTCTATTTATGATACTAAATACCTTCTGGTTATTTAACATAGCCATGGAAGCCATGGCCCATTTATAGCTGATTTACCCATTAAAAATGGGTGGATTTTCCAGTTCGCTATGTTCGTCATAACCAGATGGTATAGATCTAAAGTTTATCCCAAAGCGACCCCTAAACATCCTAAACGGACGGCCGAAAAAAGCACGGCCGAGGCGATCTGCTGATGAACTGGCGCAGCCGTTTGGGCCTCTGGGCCTTCTGTGTGTCCAAAGTCCAGGCAGCTTTGGACCAAGTGGGGATGGAGATGGATGGAGGTGTTTCGTGAGACCCACCAGAAATACCCTCTGGTAAACATACAAAAAGCTATTGAAAATGGTGATTTATAGTGGATTTACCCATTAAAAATTGTGATTTTGCATAGTTATGTTGGTTTACCAGAGGGTAGCGGATGAGCTTACAATTCAATTGTTAATTCACTGGGCTTTGATGAATTAAATGGAATTAAATGGGATGTGTTTGCTGGAAAGTGACGGAAATGGTGGTTCTCAACCTATCATCAATAGCGGATTTGCAAATGTTTAACCGCAAATTCGTGGTAAAACCAGCATATTTGGGTTCCATGTTGGTTTGTTCAAAAGGGACTGAGGCATACTGAGGCCCCAAAATGATAAATTTGGTGGGAAAGTTGTCATAAATCATGGGGGTTGGGAGCACCTCATTTTCGGCGAAACTCAACGAACATGCACACGCTTTGATTCGCATCGTACGGGGAAGATTTGCCCCAAGTGACCAAAATTTGCGGCGGTTCAAGGCACAAACATGTGATGTGAGCTCGAACATGGCCATAACTGGTGCAGCCAAAACATATACCCTCTGGTAAACTAACATACAATGTGGGGCCCCCCAGTTATAAGTTGGTTTATAAGCCCCAGTAACTATAGTTATAAGTACCATACACCATAGTTATTGGAGTTATAAACCAACTTAGCTATCTTGGGGGCCTCACATTGTAACTATTGAAAATCACCATTTTTAATGGGAAAACTCCCTATAAATGGTGATTTTCCAATATTTTCCATAGTTTTTTGTATGTTTACCAGCTGGTAGACCTTGTTAGTGGCCATGGTCCCTTTACACACCGGAGCCCCTTCCCCCAGATTTCGATCCATTCATCCCATCACCAGGCCATCGTTGCGATGTGTTAACGTTCGGTTGTTGGTGGTTAAGGTGATTTTTTTCAAAAAAACATTCCATGGATTCCATGGAAGCCGAGCCGTTTTTCTGGTGTCACAGGCGTTGGTCAATGTTCCATGCAGTTATGGCCATTTATCAAAGTTATAACTGGTTATAAGTGGGATTATACATTTTATAAATGGGGTTATAATTATAGTACTTATAACTGGTAAAGGGCCATAACAGTGATGGTCCATGTTTCAGGATGTCAACATCACTTTCGAGTATTCATTGGAGATTATATTCCCCATAGTTGGGTGATGTGAAAAAAATGGACGTAGAACCAACCCCTGTTGTTTCAGTGGGAACAAGAAACATTAGTCAATCATAATGGGAAGTGTTCATGGGACACACACACACATATATATATATAATGATCCATAATATGTATATATATATATTATGTATATATACACATAACATCAAGTAATCACTGAACATTCGCTGAACTACTTGGAGGATCATCCCACCTAGTCACTGGTCAGTAAGCCTCGTGAGTGACGTAAGTCCCCACGAATCGCGGCTTATCCCATCTACAAATGCGTCAAATAACACTGGTTATATTAAATGTTATTAACAACTTATTGAGGATAATCATTGTTATACTTAATACTTAATAACCATTGTTATCCATTTTACGACCATCATGCGTGTCTTGACATGTAAACTTTTATAGGTAAAACCCTCTGATAGGGAAAATCATCATCTTTTATAGGTAAATCAACTATCAATGGGTCATTTTCAATAGCTATTTTGACATAACCAGAGGGTAACAATGGTGATCCCATCCACTTTTGATCTCTGGTGATCCCTCAACGAAATTCCAGGTGTACACCTCATCCTTCGCCACGACACCGTCGGATCCAATGCTGGGCCATGTGAGGCGCCGTCGGCATAGTCTCACCAACGGCCTTGCAGCGGTGTTCCGAGAGGAATATGCTAATTTAACCATCAAAAAGGAGGATTTAATGAGTTTTATAGCTGATTCATGGTAGCTAAGTTGACCCATAGCTACAAGGTCTTCATAATTTGGAGGATTTAAGCACGTATGTTTTCATATACTCGGTTTATACACCAAGAAAAGGCTACTTTGATTTGTTTAGCCCAACAAGATGAGGCTCTCCAGTTTTTACTTAGTTTATATCGTAAGCCATCAACTAGTTCGTTATACTCCTCATAAACCCCAGGCCAAGTTCTAAGTCAACTTAATGTCAACTTAGCTATCATTTGGGGGCCTCACCATGTACACCTTGTGCTATGTATCGCTCTATGGCAGGTCACGGTTGCCCGGCTCTTTGCCTTGGGTCCCCCTGAAACCAAGCCAAAAAAAAAACTTTGGTGATAACATCGGACTGGCTCAAAAGTAGATATATATAATGATATATACATGTAGATGTAGATATCCTCCAAAATGATCCAAAATGAATGGTTGATTATTGAAACTGAAAATCACCAGGCTTTTGCTTGTTCATGCTTGTTTTTTGTTTTCTCCTTTGCCTTTGGCCTTTGGCATCCCATTTTTGGGCCAAAGCCACTAGCCGCTACCTGCGGCAAATCGCAGGTTGGTCCCTCATTTAAGTGCCATGCAACTGGCACCGTGGCTGCGCTTCCAACAGCTCTCGGCCCTTTGTTCAAAGCGGATATGCTCAGGCGCATTTCGTGAAAGCGCAGCTGTTATTGTAAAGTTGATTTATCCTTGGGCTAAGTGTCTCTATACAACCTTTAAAGTGTCCAAATTGTGTCGGCCCCTTTGATCACCCTATCTATACATAAACTGTCCGGTGTAATCACACGTGGCAATGGAAATTCATTACAAAAGGATGTTTCTACCGGGGAAAATAACCTCTGGTAAACTAACATAGCTATTGAAAATTGCCATTTATAGTGGGTTTTCCCATTAAACATGGTGATTTTCCATAGTTTTTTGTATGTTTACCAGAGTGTAACCTATCAATATTACAAATCTTTGATTTGCACTTGCCACGTTTGATTGCTGGAGGGCAATTCGCATACACTGAACCGCGAATGGACAGTCAGATCCCGGATCGGACAAGCCTTGGGTTCCACGGGAAGTTCTATATATATAATATATTATCAATAGATTTTGGATTTTCCAATAGATATATATATATATATCTATGTTTTTATGTTTAGTATCAATAGATACCATCTATTACCATATATAGTATCAATGAGAGTATCAATATGTAAATTTAGATGTTGTCTTTTTGGGAAGCCAAGTGGGGCTGCGCTTTTTTACTTCCTCTTTGGGAGGGAAACTGTTCGAGGAGCGGAAGCTCCTCCGGGACGGGCCTTGTAAATCTAGGCTCTCCTCATGGTGATTTGCATGGTTGTTGTGACCTTGCTTTGAGGGGGTCGCAAAAAAACTTCTCTGTCTGCGCAAGGGAACTTTTTTTTGGATCCAATGATATTGCTGTGACGGTGTTGGCTGTACAAAGATGACCACCTGTGAGACCAGTTGCAGTTGCCCACGAGTTGACTTACCCTCTGGTTATGACTAACATAGCCATGGAAAATTGCCCATAGAAATAGATGATTTATGATGATTTACCTATTAAAAATGATGATTTTCCATAGCTACGTTAAATAACCAAAGGGTACATCAACACTTTTTTTCGTATGATTCGACATCACGCATTAAAAAAGTACCCATATACATTGCTTGCCCAAAATATCTACCAGGTGAACCCTTCAACAATAAGACCTTACTAAGGGCTTATGAACCACCAACCACTAATAACCTGGTTGGCGGTTTCAAACATGTATTTTCCATAATATATGGGATAATCCAGCCGATCCAGCCCAACTGACGAACTCCATCATTTTTCCAGATGGTTAAAACCACCAACCATTAATAACTATATCATAGAATTGGATGATGGGAAAATTTACAGGAAACCCCTATATTTGATGGTAAAAAACATGGTTTCCTGTCGATTTTCCCTTAAACCAAGCCATTGACTATAGAAATCTGCTTATGAAACCGTTCAGTATACGGGACCACCGCCATGTTTCCCCTCTGAAAAACAGGCGCTGGTGGTCCCGTGGCCGATGTGTGGATCTCAGATCCATTGCTGAAAATTCGCTAGAAATTGGTGAATCTAACGGGAAAAAACCGGGGAATTCTATACAATGTGAGGCCCCCAAGATAGCTAAGTTGGTTTATAACTCCAATAACTCTGGTTTATGGTACTTATAACTATAGTTATTGGGGTTTATAAACCATCTTATAACTGCGGGGCCCCACCTTGTATAGATTCTATATGTGTTGTTTTGGCCTCTATGATCTCTATGTGCAAATTCAGATTTCTTGGGAAAAAAGTGGTGATCCATCGGGAAAAAGGGGTGATATTGGAGAGTCTACAATTTTGTCTCCATGTTTGGGACACCTTTATTTATAATTTGGTATGTGTGTTGGTAATTGGTTTTGTTCATGTGTCAAATTGTCACCGTTGATCCTATCCGATTTCTGATCCCCGGCATGTCTCACCCAGATGGCAGAGTCCTACTGAGGCGCTTGCAGGGCCCTTGCGTTGCCATTTGCCGGAGAAGCAGTTAGGCTGCATTGATATTGAACACCAATCAATAATCCTTCATCCATGGCCATGGCCATGATGGGATACATTTGCAGTGTTGCTAATACCATGGTGGTATCGGGATCCTAGAAGTCTAGAAGCTTCCCTTAAGTGATCAATCTACTATTGTGGCTTGGCCAGATACAAACCATGGTTGTATATATATATATCTGGAGGAATAAAAACGACTTCACTGCCACCTCACTGGAATGATGGTCAGTGAGGGTAATTAATTATCCTAATTTAACATTGCCTTCTTATTTCAGGTCAGTGAGTTGTTCTGATTTATCCAGATAAATGTATCCCGCATTCAATGTAGGATACCCTGTGCCCAAAAAAAGCTAACTACGATGTGGTGAATGTGTACCCATTGGACCCACCCAAAAACATAACAAATCACTTAAATCACCCCCAATTTTTGGTACTATCATCTAGTAGTGAAAACCCAAGCTATAATTCTTATTAAGTAGTGGGTTAACCCTACTAATCCCTACAACCAGGGACAGGTCCATACGATTTTTGGGGATGGGCCACCTTTCGTACCTGTCGTGTCCGAAACAAGGCACTATTTGGAGTCCGACTGTGGCAAGCTGCGCGCCCTTGTGTCGACCTCGGGCATCCTCATCGTAAGTACCAAGCATGTGAACATGGTTATGTTATGAACTGTAGAAACAGGTTAATCATGTTTAACCATAGTCAATGGGTACTAACCCATTAAAAAAAAGAACCAGCTGACACATTATTAACTCTAGATATTTCTAGGTGATGTTGATCTATTGAGGGATCAGTCCGACTGCCAGGCTGGACTGCTACAGCGCTTCAAGGAGCGGAAAGACAAATGTCACTTGGAGAAACAAAGATGGAACTTACGAATTTGGTGCCCCCAAAATGTGATGTTTTGTTGGCTTTATGTTGGTTTATAGATCCCAACAAATAGTTGGATGGGTGGTTAAAAATTGTTGATCAATATTGGTTAAAGAAACCAATTCATGAAGGTGATGTTTTACATTAAAGCGATGTTGGTTGCTTCACAAACCCCAGTATCTATCTATCTAATCCTATCTATCTATCTATCTATAGATATAGTTGGATGATCTATATACAGTATAAACTTCTCTGTGACATGTTGGTGACATCAACTGGGCCGCGATCGCGATCGGAGCTTTGTTCAAACATGGAGGTCCACTGGCTGCGGGTGATGCCCCAGAGATGCTGCTGTAATGTCAACATTTACCAATGGTTAATCATGGCTAATCATGGTTAATCAGGGTTAATCGTGGTTAATCGTGGTTAATCATGGTTAATCGTGGCTAATCATGGTTAATCGTGGTTAATCGTGGTTAATCATGGTTAATCATGGTTAATCATGGTTAATCGTGGTTAATCGTGGTTAATCATGGTTAATCATGGTTAATCGTGGTTAATCGTGGTTAATCATGGTTAATCATGGTTAATCATGGTTAATCGTGGTTAATCATGGTTAATCATGGTTAATCATGGTTAATCATGGTTAATCATGGTTAATCATGGTTAATCATGGTTAATCATGGTTAATCATGGTTAATCATGGTTAATACGGTTAATAATGGTTAATAAATGGTTAATAATGGTTAATAATGGTTAATGCCAACCCTGGATTAATAAACCCCAAACGTTTGTTTAATTGGGAGGTCACCATTTAAGTATCATATTATGACTATTGGAAGGGTACCCCCCTAATTATTAAACCAAGGTTTATTAATCCGGGGTTGACATTAATAATGGTCAATAATGGTCAATAATGGTCAATAATGGAACATAGCCAACAACCATGGATAAATAATGGATAATTTTATATAGTCTCTGGTAAACATACAAAAAGCTATGGAAAATGGCCATAGAAATAGTTGATCTACCCAGCTATAAAATGGTGATTTTCAATAGCTTTTTGTATGTTTACCAGAGGGTATATGTATTGTCTATCGTGATGAGAAACTAATGGTTTATTGAATGGTGTATAAAATAGCTCTTCCCTGGAATCATTGGCAATTGGGAGGGAGCGATTTTGAGCTATGCTTATTTATTTCCCCTATAAGCTGATAAGATGGAAAGCATGGGGGGGCTACAATCAGAGTTCTCCAACATGTTCCAACCACATGATCGATTTTGACTCTTAACCCATGGCCTTTTGGCGGGTGGTTTTCTTAAATGTTGAGGCATCATTTTCACACAGTTCATCAAGATGCTGGACGTGTTGGAAGCCTTCGCCCCTCGGATTGATTTTTCTTTCAGAGATTATACTACCCCGATATTGATATAATATGGAGATTAATTATAATATACTGGTTATAAATACTGGTTATAATATGACTAATTATTTATATCTTACCGTGGTTGAAATACTATAATATACTGGTTATTGTAACCCAAGAACGGGGAATCCTTATTAACCAAGCAGTATGATACAATGACAGAGGGATTTTGAACACTGCTCATATGTGTACGTAAGTATTTTCTTTTGGGTTTACACTATGCGTCCAAACTGGTAAACCAATCTCAGCCATCAAGACTTGTATTTAAATAAATATCTCTCTGGATTGATATCTTCGGGAAAGGGCCGTGGGATTTTGCAAGGTCAGCCTTGTACAACCAAAAACGCTCCAAACTGTTTGATAAACACCTAGAGGTTCGAATAGGTACAAGGAACTGCCAATTTATCACGGCAGATCATCCAGCCACACATGTTTTGTATCGGGTGACTGGGTCCCACATCCATGGATTGTAGAAAACACTTATGGGGTCAGTTGATGTCAATTGATGCATATTTGTGATTATTTGTGCCACAAGTCATGCCCTTCATACCCTTTAGATATCTTTAGATTCGATTTTTTTTTGGGAGGTGTTATTTCCAGTTGAAATTTGCAGCAAGACCCTCCCCTATTATTGTTTGGCTTATAGCATTCTATGACCCCACTTAACACGATGTATACGTGAATCAATCTCCACCACACATACCTGGCGCGTTCGCCTTAGACACAGTGGCGTCAGGTTTGCTATCATCGCTTGACCTATCTCCGCTTGGACGGAAGTGTGAAGGTGAGCCATGGGGAAAATCGTGATAGGGATCCAACATGTAAAAAAACCATGGATTTAGCCATTTACCATGGGGAGTTTTCAGTGCCGTCCCCAGAAGATGATGGCCAAAGAAGTCAACTCCGGGATATATCCCAGGATTTTTATTGTGATTGATGGTGATTCATTGGCAATTCATATAGTGATTTATATTGGTCGAATGTGTTTAAGTCGGTGATTCACAACTGGATTTGCAAAGTCGGTGATGATGGAAAAACTCCCATTGGATCCACCAGGACTGGGGAATCTACGGAGATTTCTGAGATTTCTTACCCTTTGGTTATGTCAAAATAGCTATTGAAGATGGCCATTTATATATAGTGAGTTTGCCCATAAAAACAGGTGATTTTCCATAGTTTTTTGTATGTTTACCAAAGGGTATTGCATATTATGGCCGCCTTAAGCATATGAAAGTATCCGTTCAAAATTCCCGAGTTGGCCTATGTGAAGAGCGCAGTGATGCAATGACATAGGGAGAAACATCAGCCAATATCTTAGGACAGTTTCAGATCCAAACCAGATACATACCACAGTCCTAACGGCTAGCTCATCATGGGTTTCGGCTCACAGCCAGTTGATCCATGTCCCAAATTCCCACTGTTTGGTTGATGACTAGAGGCTTCCCCCAATTCAACAACCAATAGGTAGATTATGAAAAATACATTATACATATATAAATATAAATATATAAAACTATAAACATATAAAAAGTATAAAAATACATACATGCATGCATGCATACATCCATGCATGCATGCATCCATGCATGCATGCATACATCCATACAGACATACATTTATACATTTATATAAATACTACATACATGTTTATGGGTGCACCAGCTCTTGCTTATCAATCTCCCATTTAAGGTCGGGTCAAGAGCCAAGCTCATTGCTAACCAAAATCCCTAGGCACCTCAAAATCCTCAGCTGTTTAACTCTTTTTACCTGATAGGAGCATCACATTTCAATTGTTCAATACAAAACATACGAAATGCCGGAAATTCCGCTGATATGTTTCATGTGTTCAGCTCTGGGTGCATCCCTTGGCAAATCCAGCATGTAAAATATAAGTTTCCTTCGCATCGTGATCCATTTGGTTCCACCTACAATGTGGGGCCCCCCAGTTATGTTTGTTGGTTTATAAACCCCATTAACTATGGTTATAGGTACCATAAACCATAGTTATTGGAGTTATAAACCAGCTTAGCTATCTTGGGGGCCTCACATTGTGCAAAAAATAGGACAGTGAAATCCTACTGAGGTAATGATATAAAGAACTATAGGTAAATTACAATTGCTAGAATCAGAAACACAAATGGACGCAAGTTTTATGTTAAACTATGTTAATGATTTAATTTATTCTAAGATGTTCTATGCTGGGAGTTAGTGACTATCATACTATCAGAATATTTAATGTTAATCATACTATCATACTATCAGTTACTATCAGTTACTATCATACTTTAATGTTAATCTTTACTGGTTGGTGGTTTGCAACATTTTTGATTTTCCATTTCATATATGGGATGTCATCCTTCCTATTGACGAACTCCATCATTTTTCAAGATGGTGAAATTGCACCACCAACCAGTAATTATTATTAGCCATCATTAACCATATAATAACCATTACTATTCACCATATATTAACCATATATAAACCATATAATAACCATTAATATTCACCACATATTCACCATATATTAACCATAAACTGACATAAACTAACATTCGTGATACATCCACTGGGGCTGGTCCGGTCCGCCGAAACACAGGTGGACGTGCGGCAAGACTTGGTGGATCGCTTCAACGAGGACGATCCTCGACGATTCATATAGTGAATCACCATCAACAATAGGGATTTATATATGATTCATATAGGATTTATATGGGTTTATAGGATTTATATATCTATAAATCTATAGTTATAACTAATGTCATGTATATAGGATATATATATATATATATGGCTTTATATGGTTGTAATAACTTATAACTTATATAACCAATGAACATTGGTGAGCTAGTGCCAGTGGCTAAACAACAATGGAAGATGCTTCGAAAACCCATAGGATTTTCAGGAGATTGTTTTTCTTGTTTTTTGTGTTCGTTATTTTGCCAATTAATGGGGTTATTAGTTATAGGCAGGCCACTTTTTGAAATTGACTCAGGGGATAATTGGACAGAGTTTTATGAAGTTTTATGGTTGAACGGCGGGGAAGAAATGCATCTTACCCTCTGGTAAACTAACATCGCTATGGAAAATCACAATTTTGAATTGGTAAATCAACGAACTAAATGGCTATGTTCAATAGTTTATTGTAGGTTTACCAGAGGGTAAATCCCATAAAAATCCCATAAAAATCCCATTAAATCCCATAAAATCCCATAAAATCCCATTAAATCCCACAAAAATTCCATTAAATCCCATTAAATCCCATTAAATCGCATTTTTTCCAGGGTTTTTTGAACATTCTCAGGGCGCGCTTGCGCATTTTGGACCCAGGAACGCGTGTTCCTCTTCATTTGCTCCACCCGTGCTGCTCGGTGGGACATGATGGGACTATGGGATGGACATCAGTGACCTGTTTGCTATGAGTTTCTCCGTTTGTTTACTATGTTTCATACAACCTGAAACTTATTTGTTGAGTATAGTTTACTATGGTTTCTCCAAGTTTTGATATATGCTATGATTATCTATTATTTGTTTCTGAATTTCGCCTCCTGTTTGGGTGAAATGGTTGGAATCAGGTGTCCATTGCCGTCGGGGCCCGAGGCTGGAGGTGTTGGAATCAACCTGACCAGTGCGAATGTGGCCTCTCGGTGTGGATGAACCTGTGGATTTCAGGGCTTTGGAACATAATGTGACCTACAGATACCCTCTGGTAATTTAGCTATTGAAAATGGCCATTGAAATAGTGGATTTTCCCATTAAAAATTGTGATTTTCCATAGTTATGTTAGTTTACGAGAGGGTATCAGGGAGGTTGTTGCTTTGTATGTTTTTTTTTTAAAATGGGATTATACATTGTAATGAATCAATATCAATCATTGAAGCTGTGTGTTCAAACGATGCCAGCTTTTTTGGTAGCTTGCTTCGAGAAGCTTCGTTGGCAAAATGTGCATTTTCAAAGGGGGCGGTGTTCTTTACAAAGGAACATATTAAAACAACAGGCTCCCAGCCGGAAAATAAAGTTTTATGATTGTTTTATTGTTCATTACGGGAACATCAGATGAACATCAAGTTTTAACCATGTTTTATGATTGTTATATATATAACCATCAAATGTTTGGCTTTCCTCATAGAATTGGATGATGGGAAAATTTACAGGAAAGCCTGTAGATTTTCCCTTAAATCAATCCAATGATTTCCATGTTAAGTTCAAGGGCGTCCATGGGGCTTGAGCCTAGGTGATTTTCTACGACTCCGATTGGAACCCTGCCATGGACCGGCAGGTGCCTTGAAAGGGGCGGGGCTGTGGTGAATTCCTATGGCCATTTAGTCCACTTGATAAGGCGAAGATAGGCTAAGATGATTGCTATACATATGATATGTAGGTATGATATATACATATGATATGTAGATATGATATATACATATGATATATACATATGATATGGATTTTTTGGTATGTAGTAAATTGTAATATGAAATTGGAATAATTGAATAATTTAGATATAGATACAAGGTGGCCCCCCCACTTATAAACCCCGTAGTGTTAGTCACCAACTTTTGCTATTTGGAAAAAAGGGGAACCATGATCATGACCCTGGGCTATGTTTATCACATGTTTCCTGGGTTAAAGGGAACATCTTCACCGGAAACCATGGAGTTTTTGGCCCACAAGTCTGCTAGGGGCTTCCGGTGAAGCCTGCAAGGTGAGTGTGTAGATATCATACAACTAGCCTGCTCGTGGGTGCAAAAGGCATTTATACACTAACAAACGGCTAACAAACGTGGTCCTCACTTTGTATTATCTTCATTGTTGCCCATTTATGATCATAAAGCATGACTATGCATTACTATGCATTACTCATTACTCATCAATCAGTATTTATTAGCGTATCAGGTTGTATTCTCACCAATTATGAGTGCTTCAATGGGACAAAAAAAATGTAAATAGCCAATTTGACACGGTGCAAGTGGATGCAATCAGATTGTGCATCCCAACGCATACCCCAACGGACACCCCAAGCCATTCCCCAAACTGTACTGCCAACCGTACTGCAACCGTACCAACGACCGTAGCTTGAAACCGTAGCATTTTTGTTAGCGGTTATTTCAATATTATTCTTGGACTTAGCTAGATTATATAGTATTATCATTGCCATTGAACTAGCTAATATGTTTAGTGGTTATTTCACATTAATGATTATAATAAATTGGTTAAAATGGTGAATATTATTATCATGTTTGCCAATTTATTATTTTATAAGGATAATATTATGAGTAGGATTTTTTAATGGTTATTAGGGTTATTAGATGTTATTAAATATTAAAATGGCAAATAACCATTAAATGGCATATATTATCATCATAATAATGTTTCATGGTTATTTGCCATTTACTAGATATGATATGATATGATGATATATACCATTTAATGATAACACAAATACCATTTAATGGTAATATATACTATCACCATCTAACCCCATTTATAACATGTATAATTTCACTTATAACCAGTCATAACTAATTAATGGCCATAACTGTATCACCAGAATGATATTTCTTCCTATAGATTTCTTACTTCACAAGCGGTGCATCACCGGAGAGTTTTTCCGGTTGAAAACTCGCTCACCAAGGCCACGGATCGGGCGCATCGCATCGGTCAACAGCGCGAGGTGCACATCTATCGCTTGATCAGCGAACACACGGTGGAGGACGCGCCGGGGACGCGCCAAGGGCCGTAGGGGGCCGGCTGAGGGGGCGGAAGTGGGGATGGGCTGGTGGGAATTTGTTGCTGCGACCTGGAGAATTGTCATTTTTTCCCCACCTGCCAGGTGAGGGTTGTTCCCCACCTGCCAGGTGAGGGTTGTTAGATTTTATGTCAGTTGCCTCCTCCTGCTCCTCCTCCTCCTCCTGCTCCTCCTCCTCCTCCTCCGCCTCCTCCTGCCTCGTCCTCCTCCTCCTCGTCCTCCTTGTCATCCTTGTCGTCCTTGTCGTCCTCGTCGTCCTCGTCGTCCTTGCTCAACTGCGACCCGCGATCCACAGTGTTCTCTGCCGGACCTCAACTACGACCACCCACGCCCAGTGTTCCCTGCCGGACCTCAACCACGACCATCCACGCCCAGTGTTCCCTGCCGGACCTCAACCACGACCATCCGCGCCCAGTGTTCCCTGCCGGACCTCAACCGCGACCATCCGCGCCCAGTGTTCCCTGCCGGACCTCAACCGCGAGTATCCATGCCAACTGTTCCCTGACATATCTTCTGACATATCTTCTGACATTTTATTTGGCATTCTATCTGGCATATCTTCTGGCATATCTTCTGGCATTCTATCTGGCAAATCTTCTGGCATTCTATCTGGCATATCTTCTGGCATTCTATATGGCAGATCTTCTGGCATTCTATCTGGCATATCTTCTGGCATTCTATCTGGCAAATCTTCTGGCATTCTATCTGGCAATCTATCTGGCATATCTTCTGGCATATATTCTGGCATATCTTCTGGCATTCTATCTGGCATATCTTCTGGCATTCTATCTGACATATCTTCTGACATTCTATCTGACATCTTTTCTGACATTCTATCTGGCATTCTATCTGGCATATCTTCTGGCATTCTTTCTGACATTCTATCTGACATCTTTTCTGACATTCTATCTGGCAAATCTTCTGGCATTGTATATGGCAGATCTTCTGGCATTATATCTGGCATATCTTCTGGCATTCTATCTGGCATACCTTCTGGCATTCTATCTGGCATTCTATCTGGCATTCTATCTGGCATTTCTTCTGGAATATCTTCTGGCATATCTATCTGGCATATCTTCTGGAATATCTTCTGCCATATCTATCTGGCATATCTTCTGGCATATGTTCTGGCATTCTACCTGGCAAATCTTTCCCTGCCGGACCTCATGTAGGAAGATATGGGACAAAGAATGTGCAGAAGAAAGTTAGAAAGAATTTCAGACAAGTATGTGATATATTACTTGCGAACTTGCAGGTGTGTGGTAGTGTGATCGGGGCAATGCCACTATTGACTTTGCGGGTGGCAAAGTTTGAAGCAATCAGTTTGAACAGATGACAGAGTCACTGGGGTGGACAGAGACATTTCCATTTCTGTACCTTTGGAGCTGTTTGCAAAGACGCTTGAGACAGGCAACATCTTACAGCAAGTTACTACAAATTACTTGAAGGGATCTCATGCTGGATTGATGCTTGAGACAGTCAACATCACACAGGGTTTCTGTTGTGTATCACAGCTATGGTGGCATGGTGGATATGTGACATCGGAGCATTGGTTGGAGCATTTGAGCCCTCATCTACTCGATCGCGGGCCAGAGGCAGGATGGACACCATCATAGAAGAATTCAGCAGGAGGAGGTTATGTGATCAGTAGTGTCTTCTTGTGTGTTTTTCCCCACCTGCCAGGTGAGGGTTGTTAGATTTTATGTCAGTTGCCTGCTCCTCCTCTCCTCCTCTCCTCTCCTCCTCTCCTCTCCTCCTCCTCCTGCTCAACCGCGATCCACGCTCAGTGTGCCCTGCCGGACCTCAACCACGACCATCCACGCTCAGTGTGCCCTGCCGGACCTCAACCACAACCATCCACGCCCAGTGTTCCCTGCCGGACCTCAACCACGACCATCCCCGCCCAGTGTTCCCTGCCGGACCTCAACCACGACCATCCACGCCCAGTGTTCCCTGCCGGACCTCAACCGCGAGTATCCACGCCAAGTGTTCCCTGCCGGAACTCATGTAGGAAGATATGGGACAAAGAATGTGCAGAAGAAAGTTAGAAAGAATGTCAGAAAGAATGTCAGAAGATATGCCAGAAGATATGCCAGAAGATATGCCAGATAGAATGCCAGAAGATTTGCCAGATAGAATGCCAGAAAATATGCCAGAAGATATGCCAGATAGATTGCAGATGCCATAGCCAGAAGATATGCCAGAAGCCAGAAGATATGCCAGATATGCCAGATAGCCAGAAGATATGCCAGATAGAATGCCAGATAGAATATTGCCAGATAGAATGCCAGAAAATATGTCAGAAGATATGCCAGATAAATATACCAGAAGATATGCCAGAAGATATGTCAGAAGATATGCCAGAAGATATGTCAGAATATATGCCAGAAGATATGTCAGATAGAATGCCAGAAGATATGTCAGAATATATGCCAGAAGATATGCCAGATCATATGCCAGAAGATATGTCAGATAGAGTGCCAGAAGATATGCCAGAAGATATGCCAGATCATATGCCAGAAGATATGCCAGATAGAATGTCAAATAGAATGTCAGAAGATATGTCAGATAGAATGCCAGAAGATTTGCCAGTAAGAAAATGTATAAATGTCATGGTGGGGATCACACGAAGTAAAGTATTTTTTTTCCCCACCTGCCAGGTGAGGGTTGTTAGATTTTATGTCAGTTGCCTGGTCCTCCTCCTCCTCCTCCTCTCCTCTCCTCCTCCTCTCGTTGTCCTCCTCCTCTCGTTGTCCTCCTCGTCCTCCTGCTCAACTGCGACTCGCGATCCACAGTGTTCGCTGTCGGACCTCAACCACGACCACCCACGCCCAGTGTTCCCTGCCGGACCTCAACCACGACCATCCACGCCCAGTGTTCCCTGCCGGACCTCAACCACGACCATCCACGCCCAGTGTTCCCTGCCGGACCTCAACCACGACCATCCACGCCCAGTGTTCCCTGCCGGACCTCAACCACGACCATCCACGCCCAGGGTTCCCTGCCGGACCTCAACCACGACCATCCCCGCCCAGTGTTCCCTGCCGGACCTCAACCACGACCATCCACGCCCAGTGTTCCCTGCCGGACCTCAACCGCGACTTCCAGATCGCAGTGGGCACTGCCGGACCTCAACGGCAAGAATGTCAGAAAAGATGTCAGATAGAATGTCAGAAGATATGTCAGAAATAATGTCAGAAGATATGCCAGACAGAATGTCAGAAGATATGCCAGAAAGAATGTCAGAAGATATGCCAGATAGAATGTCAGAAGATATGCCAGATAAAATGCCATGAGATTTGCCAGATAGAATGCCAGAAGATAGAATGCCAGAAGATATGCTAGATAGAATGCCAAATAGAATGTCAGAAGATATGTCAGATAGAATGCCAGAAGATTTGCCAGTAAGAAAATGTATAAATGTCATGGTGGGGATCACACGAAGTAAAGTAATTATTCATGTTGAATGTTTTTTTGATAAATTAACACACTACATGGCCATTTTCCATAGCAAACTGTTGAAGTTATCAGAGGGTAAGTTACCACAATGGAGCAAAAAAAAATGAGGGGGGGACGAATCGAAATGATTCCAGGATGATGTTTGGGCAACCATAAAATGGCACGCTGTGGCTCGAAGATGATGTTTGACCAACCCAAAAATGAGCACACTGTGGCACGAAACACTTCAGACTGTGGGGATATTCGGATATGCATCGAAACTTTGGAATGGTTTTGACCTACTTAGCAAGTCCTTAACTGGGGACCCAAGCCTTAAAATGCAACAACACACTCTGAAGTTCAATGATTTCAAGGAAAATCAACCGGAAACCGACTTTGACCCTCAAAGTCATGGGATCCCTATGGTTTCACAGTTTCCCATCCAAGTCTGAGATTGTTGCGCACGTGTCTTATCCACCAAATAGATCATCTTATCTCCCCTTGGCGGCTCCAAATATCATCAAATATCGATCTCCCCAATTCCATCCACACAGAACTTTTTGGATGGGTTGAATATGTTTGCATCATCTTGAAACCACCAGCCATGCGGAAAGAGGCGTCACTTTCATTCTATTACCCTCCAATAAATTAACATGGAGAACCCACCATTATTTAGAAATGGAGAACCCTTTCCCATCCACATATATCCAAATAGGATATTATATATAGATATATAGATCATTATGTGTAGTTTTTTCCTAGGGGAACCATGCTTGTTTTTTTCCATACAATATCATATTTCCCCAGCCCGAAGGAAAACATTTGGCAGAGACAACTGCAGCGCCTTGATTCTTTAAGGGCCATGATTTGGACGAATCTCTGAAGTCAGGGTTGTGCCATGGGCACAAGATGGCACAAGTGAATAGATAAACCTTCGTTTGGTGGCTTGAGTTGGGTTTGTTTTTAGATATTTGATATGTGTTAAAATGTTTAAAATATGTTTGGCATTTTTTGGCCACACGTATGGAGGACACTGAGTCTATAAGGTACCCAAGGGTCACGCTGAAAACTGCGGGGTACACACCCATGTAATGTCTGGGGAACATCAGGGACTACATTTGCGGGACTTGTGTGATGCGATCCTGGCCGCACAATGGATCCAATGCCTATGGCATGTGGAAAAGGATCAAGACTTGTTTTCTTTAGGGGGACCAGCGATATACCAACTATTTTGTTGGCTACACCAAGAGCACCAGTCTGGTATTTAGGATATTAGGTACACTAGGCCTTGATGATTTTTTTTAAAGGGCCATTCGTTAATTGTCATACTGATCTTACTTATTTGAAAGTCGTGGGACGTTAGTAAGAAAAATGGATTAACGGCATGACTCTTAGGAGATTGCACATAGCCACAGAATTTCTGCCCCATTTGTCGATGATCTGCGTTTTTAACCAGTAATTTTCCGCTAGACTATGTTCGATTAGAGGATACCCTCTGGTTATGTCAAAATAGCTATTGAAAATGGCCCATTTATAGTGGATTTTCCCATTAAAAATGGTGATTTTCCATAGTTATGTTAGTTTACCAGAGGATAACTGTCATCACATGTTGCTTCCGTTGATCCCTTAAATTCATGGCAATATCTGCGATATCTGCCAGGAAGCGCGCGCTGGATGATATCGTGGTGGACCAAGGGCAATTCAACACGGAGAAGTTGATGAGTCTACAGGGACAAGGAGCCTTGGATTCCATGGGATTCCATTGGATGCAGGAACTTCAGAATTACCCGACCTGGTAAACATAGAAAAAGCTATTGAAAATGGCCATTTATAGTGGATTTACCCATTAAAAATGGTGATTTTCCATAGCTATGTTAGTTTACCAGAGGGTATGTTCCTGGGATTCCTGGGGGTGATTTTCATTCATTTTCCACTTTCCTCCCTGATCGAGAACACATTTCTGGTGGGCAGGTCATGCTCCTGTTGAGAGCTGCTTCAAGTTACCTTGTAATTCAGGGGTTTGCATAGTTGATGATAGTTGATCATTACCCTCCGGTAAGGAAACATGGCAATAGAAAATTTGCCATTTACAGATGATCATCCAAATCAACATGCTATCTATAGAATTCTAGGGATATTTATATAATTTTATATTTGAATAGGATTTTCAATTGCCATGTTTGATTGCCAGAGGCTAATTGACATGTGCAGCCGCTTGCCTTTAAAAGGCCTGGCCTTAAAACGTCTGTGAGGCAGCGAAGGCGGTGATGTGATTTGGACCGCTGCTGAGGCGCGCCATAGATCAACTGGCTAAGAGAACCAATCCTTTCAATCCATAAAAAACAGATGTAGAGATATGTAGAGATATGTCATGATCAATCCATCACTAGTTGGTGGTGACTGGAACCATGGAATTTTATGACTTTCCATTCAGTTGGGAAGAATCATTATCCCAACTGACCCAATCATATTTTTCAGAGGGGTAGGTCAACCACCAACCACTATATAAATGATCAATCCATCAGGGTAGTTCATGTCATATGTCTTAATCATTGCCACCAAGTCTGTTTGAACACTACTCCACCCAAAAAATAACGGGTGACCAACCAAACATGTCACCAGGATGGTAGTTCGAAGATTCAATGGCCATTTCAGGAACCTAAATTGGAGGTACCTACCATATATAAGGCCTATGTAAGGCCTAAATTTCAGGGAATATCACCACAAAATATGGCCTTATATGGTACAGTACCTTCATTTTAGATTCCTGGAGATCTCCCATTGAAAGATGTTTCCGATTTTCCAGTTGTCCAGTTGTATTTTGGCCATCCCCAGGTCAGATCCCTCCTAGATGCGTCCTGTGCCGAGCCTGGGGAGGCGGGGATTTGAAGCTGGGAACCGGCTGCTTTCAGAATGTGTTGATAGTTTAAGATCTTAAAAGGAATGGTCATCCCCCCATTTTAACAGGGATTACTCTCCAGTAAACTAACATAGCTATGGAACATGGCGCATGAAAAAAAGTTGATTTAGCCACTCAAACGACGGTTTTCCGGAGCTATGTTCAGTTTACCAGAGAGTTTTCAAGAAATGGTCATCCCCCCATTTCAATAGGCAGGCGTTATATACTGTAAAACAAGTAATTACATGCTTTATATGTAGATATGTGTTTTATATAATCCCCTAATTTATAGGGGTTCAGATACTCATTCCAAGGGATATCTAAGGAAATCCAAATGATGATGGGATGGCAATACCCCATGCATTCAGTGAATTTAATCACGATTCATGATATTTCATGATCATCCCCAAAAATTGGTGGTTTCATAGAACCAGCTGCCAGCTGCTCCCGATTAGCCCAGGCTGCCCCTTGCAGCATGGAAGAATTTCAGCGTCTTGGATGCACCGAAGGGTGCTTGCTGGAGCTCCGTTCTGAACGGAGCTACAAAAATCTCGAAGCATATGCAAGTCACAGTTTAAAAAAACTTGCGATATATATATATATATAATATATATATAGATAACATTATATAACTATATAACCATTTTTTGTCATTTGCGAACTATGCTAAGAAAATCAGTAAATCTATACGGGATAGGCCAACTCATCCTATGCCAGAGGCACCACCAAGTTTCACATCGCCAGAAGTTCACGTTGTTAAACCTGGAGTTCCCATGTTTTTCAAAAAGTTCTTCCAGATTAACATAGGTTAACCGGTTAACCCAGGATTTCCCATGTTCTTGTCCCCATGTTTCTCACCCTCCCCGGTGCCGACCTGGGACCTTAACCTTCCCAGGGCAGTGCTGCAGCGCGTGGAGGACAGCTGCGATGCGCAGATGACCAGCGACGCGCTGAGCGAGGCGCATCAGGCGGAGAAGATGCTGAAGGCGCGAGGCCCTTCTTGGTGAGGGGAGGATGCACCAATTTCAGGTTTAGTTTCCGGGAAAATCCTCTATGAATAGTGAAGGATGGATATACATATCGATAAATTAGGATTCTTCTGGGTCGATGATAAACTTTGGGCATTTTCCCGGAAATTCTCATACTTTTTTGGCCTTCAGCCAAGCCAAGCTTGGGGAATTACCCTGGGGTAACAAAAAGATATGGTGCTAACCCTGGATTTCCTGATTCGAACATAGCAATTCGAGGTTTTCCACATTTGTGTGACAGTTTGCAGCCGGGTATGAAGAAAAATATTAGTTAACTTGGGTCAATATCAAACAATCATAATGATTGATAATGGGGGTGGTTTGTACTTATAAACGTTATATAAGATATTTTGTAAAGATAGACTTAATTAATTGGGTGATTACCCTGGGAGAACTAGCATAGGCGCGGAAAACAACAATGTTCGGAAAGTTCTCCACATTGATGGTGGGTTGTCATGGGTTTTCCATATCTAAGTTAGTTTGCGGGAGCGTATGTACAGTTAATAGTTCAGTGGGGTTAATATTGAAAAGTAAGTCTTGGAGCATCAAAGTCATTGAGTTTCATTGGTGCTTACAGGTATGGCCCGAAATACCAGTTATAAGTACTAAGCAAACCCCATTTATAAAATGTATAATCCCACTGAAATAACCACTTATAACTAATAAATGGCCATAACTGTAATATTCAACCATCAACACTTAAGTAGATCAAGTCCTCGATGAATGCCCATCCTCCACCGGGGTTCAACGACCATCGGTATCCGAATCTCGAAGAAGACTTAAGGAAAATCGTGTCCTAACCAGATACCATCTGGTTATTTAACATAGCCATGGAAAATCACCATTTTTAATAGGTAAACCATGGCAAACCATCTATTTCTATGGGCCATTTTCCATGGCTATGTTAAATAACCAGAGGGTATAAACATTTTTTATCTTATCAATATCCAAGAAATATCATAACAAGAAGTTTGCGCATGTTGTAGCTGATCATTGGCCTGATCATACCTCATACTTCCAGTTTCACAACTCCTCGGCATTTCTGCGGCCAGGGTGACTTTCATACCGCGCCTGCGCGGGAGAAAGAAGCCACGCAGAAGATGGAATGGCAACTTGTCGCCACAGTTTGGATGACATATTTATTCAGTGGCCATTTCAGGATCCTAAAATGGAGGTACCTACCATATATAAGGCCTATGTTTTAGGCCTATGTAAGGGAATATCCCCACAAAATATGGCCTTATATGGTACAGTACCTCCATTTTAGGATCCTGAAATTCCCATTGATTTATGGAAAGGTCTCCGCCCAAAGGTGCCACCAGTACATGGGGATCAGAACGTGTCGAGGGCTATACCTTTATGTCCATCAATCACGGTGGACGCTGGCAAGTTGACAAGTTTGAGATTTTATACCTGCCTGCTTGTTTCCTGGAGAATTGGCCCAAAACAACTATTGTTCTGGGATTGTTGTGCTCTTTCGGCGGGCATTCTTGGTGACAATTTGTATATATATATATATATATATATATGGGAGCCGTCCGTAAATGCAGATAACAAATTTATGAGTTGATGCGTTTACTCTGCTTTGCGCGATTGCCAAAACCTGCATCGCGATAGGCTGAGCGATTGGTTGGCGATTGGTTATACGGCTACGACTACTACTACTGCTACTACTACTACTGCTACTACTACTACTATTACTACTACTACTCTACTACTACTACTGCTACTACTACTACTACTCCTCCTCTACTACTACTACTACAACAACAACAACAACTATTACTACTACTATTATTACTACTACTACTGCTACTACTTCTATCACTACTACTACTACTACTACTCCTCCTCCTCCTACTACTACTACTACTACTATAACTATAAGTAGCTCCTGCCGATCACTTTAAGCGGTTCAACCAACAGAAGCGGGTGTACCCCGGACCGGACGTATTCTTGGGGGGAGCGATCCAAGGCCCTGCGCAACTTAATGCATACCCCTAAAGGAATGCGTCGAAAACAGAACGGCGCTGGTGATCGGTAAGGAGGATGGTAAGATATCCGAAGCTATTACAAGATATATAGTGGCATTATACTGGCAGTCTCCACTATTACATTTCGAAAGTTCTGCCTTTGCTTTTTTTCCAAATGACAAAGGTCCCACTGAGGGGTCAGAAATCAGTCAGAAACCAGTCAGAAACCAGTCAGAAACCGGCCAAACGCAACCTCTCTCTCTCTCTCTCCCTTGCCTATTCCCTCACCCTCCTACCAGAAATCCTACGCCTACTCCTATTCCAATTTCCACTACCACTACTGCTACTGCTACTGCTATAGTGCTGCTGGTACTACTGTGAGTTTTCCGGACCGATTCCGGACCGCGCAAGCTTATTTTGCTCCCAAGTTTGAAACAATGCGTTCACGCATGGATCCTTCCTGTCATTACTAGACTTGCTATTACTCACACCCGCTGCTATTGCATCACCACTACCACTAGTACACCTAGGAATTTCTGCCTTTGCTTTTGGATCCAATTGACGCGGGTCCCGCTGAAGGGTGAGAAACCAGTCAGAAACCAGTCAGAAACCCGTCAGAAGCCGGCCAAACGCAACCACCTGTTTCCCTCCCTCCCTCCCTCTCTCTCTCTCTCTCTCTTTCTCTCTTTCCCTCCCTCTTTGCCCTGCTACTAGAACTACTACTACTACTACTACCACTACCACTACCACTACCACTACTAGTACTACTACTACTACT